ACAAGGTGGCGATGGCCTTGGGGGCCAGGAGGAGCAGGAAGGTGATGCCTCTGCAAGAACTCATGATGGCGCTGCTACCGCTGCCAAAGTTCACAAGGCTCACCAGCCTGCCCCCATGGCTGACAAACCAATCATTCCAAGTGGAGGAGACGAAGGGCCGAGCCAGGAGACCAGTGGTGGGGCCTTTGACGATGGCGAAGAGGACAATGCACACTTGTCCGTACCTAGCAGTGGTGCTGAACGACCGCCACCGCCTCCGTTTATACCTAAGACGAGGAAGGCCGCAGCCACGGAAGACCGTCCGTCAGGTCAAGCCAAAGCGCTCCAGGGAAGGTCGATCACCGATGCCCTTCAGAGTAATATCCCCAGCAGGATCACTCGCAGTCAGCGTCAAGCGATGGATGAGTCGCTCGCCAAGAATACCCGCAGTCAGCATCCACTAGGAGCTGTGAAAGATTTGAAGAAGCTTCCTGATCCAAAGCGGAAACGTCAACCAGCACGTCCCGAGCCCGATGGCGAAGACAGCTCTGGCGAAGACAATCTGCCACCTCGGAAGCGTGGACGTGGTACTCGGGACGAGTTGGTAGTGGCCTCACCGAGGAAGAAGAATGCGAGGGCCGAGGACTCAGATGATGGTGACAAGCCTCCCGCAAAGCGAAGACGAGCTCTGCCTCAGACCCCGGAGGTCAAGGACAAGGGAGAAACCAAGCTGAAGCCGGTCCGTCTGGGGAAAGCAGCCGCCAAAGTGAAAGAGAGTGGCCAAGTTGGCGCAGGTCGCAAGACCCGCAGTGGCGGCACCAGACCTTGACAATATAACTCCAGTTCAAAGTAGACTCGTAGGCTTCCACATTGTTTAATGTGACCCATAGATCTACATAGATAAAGCCATGGAGATGGTGGCAATGGCGAGGGGAGTTGGCGAGAACTTCAGCAGGCATTCAGTTGACTTGGAGCGGCGGTGGTGAATCGAGTGCATGGAGATTCCATGCTAGGTTAAAAAGCATGTATATCAATACTCTAATGACTACACATTGTGGCTATCTGGGCGAAAGGCGGTGAAGACCATGGCGGAGTCGACCTTCTCTCGGAATGCATCCAGAGACTTCGCCACCAGCGAGGTTTCCTCTCTCACCGTCGCCACCTCCTTCCCCACCTTCTTCGCTTCATCCAAAGCAGACGTCGCCACCGCCATCGAATCCTCTTTGGCGAGCGCCAATTCCATCTCCAGCTTGCTCGCTTGAGCGATCGCCTCTGCCGCTGAAGACCTGAGCTCCTTCTCCATGCTGTCTGACCGCGCTGCCTGGAGCTCCATCGAATGACGGAGGTCGGCCAATTTGCCCTGCAGCTTGTCGACATCCGCTTGGCTCACCGTCTGGTTCGCGCCTTGCTCCAACCTGTTGACCTTCTCCTTGAGCTCTGGCAGGCAATGTCACTTGGCGATGAGGTCCGCCACCGCCAACTTCACGCTCTCCTGAAGCTCGATGGTGACCGGCCTGCGAAACTCCTCCATGGCCAACTTGACCTCTTCGCGAATGCTCCGGGCATTTTCTTGAAATGCGGATGGCGGGTTGATTCGCTGGAGTGCCGCTGTGATCTCTGCCTTGACGGTGTTGAGGTCCGCCATCCTCTCCTGGAATTGGACTTCCATCCCGTCCTTGTGCGCCAGGAACTCCTGTCGCAACTCGGCACAATTCGCGCAGTCATCGTTGGATGACTGCGAGGTTTCTTCGCCACTGGGGGTGTCGCCTTCGTTCACCGGAGCGGGACTTCCTGTAGACACTCGCTGGACGTCGCGCAAGTGGGGTGCTGTATCCCTGGTCAGCGCTGCATGGATTCGAAGCTGTGGCGGGCGCACTTACCCTTGCTGGTCGGAGGCACTGCTCTGAGGCGGTTCGCCTTCGCATCCCTTTTCGCCTCCGCCTCCTTCTTCGCTGCATTGCGGTCCAGTGGGGCGCCCCTCTTAGCTGGCCTTCGCCCTTCATCGAGATGTCCTGCCTTCGCCAATGTGGAGGACTTCGCTCCCTTCGACGCCTTGGATATCTCCAGGGAGGGCATCACCTCCTGTGCCACCTTGGCAGCTCCTGCGCTCGTCTCGTGGTGCATCAGCAGTGAATGCCGCCGATCGTCGTGTGGCCGCTCCAAGGACGTGCGCTGTTTCATGGTTACATCGACTCCAGCTGCGACAAGATGTCCTGCTTACCTCATCCTCCGCCACCTCTGCCTGAAACTCTGGCACATCCTCTGATTCATCGGCGACTGGTGTCAGCATGCGCTTGCTGCTGCTAGCTTGCGGCGGAGCAGCTGGCCCTGTTTGGAAGGCCATAGCCCGCACCGCCTCCATTGCCAGCCTGGCGGCTTCCTCCATGCCATCGCCTTCCGCCAGAGGCATCTTGGCTGCTGCCTTCGGAGCACTCGCCTTCGCCTTCCTGGTGATCACGGGCACCATTGGGCCCGAGCGACCTCCCATCGCCACCCTTGTCGTCTGCCCGCCCTCCTTCGCAACAGACTTGGCAGGCAGGACCTCATCCGCCTCACGTACTGAGGTCCTGGTGACCTCGCCACCATCTTGTGCACCTGAGTTTTGGCTCCTCACCGGCTTTGGCTTGGGTCCTGATTTCTTACCTTCGCCAGGTTTGGCGACCGCACCAGACTTGGCAGGCGCGCCAGACTTGGAGACCTCGCCAGAGTTGGACAGAGCCACAGCTCCAGTGGCGGTGGCAGACTTGGTGGCGCGCTTGGACTTCGACGATTTCTCCACCGAGGCCTCGCCTTCAGCGTTGGCTTCATAGCGCGTGACGGTCGCCTTCTGCTTCATCGCCTCGACCTCCTCGCCACCCTTGACCATGGAGCTGGATGCTGCAGCATTGCGCGTCTTGGTCTTCTTCGGCAGCTTGCACTTCGATGCTCCCATGACCATGGGTTCTGCACCGTCGGGCTCATCGGAGTCGACCTTGACGTCGTATGGAGGTGGCGATGTGGGCAGTGGCTTGCCCTCTACCACCAGCGCTGCGCACATCTCTTGGAACTCACGCTGTGCGGTGTGTGAGTTTCCTCGCAGGGGCACGCCGTCCGTGTTCCTCGGCGTGATGCTGCAACTGACGCCTCGTGCTGCACATTCGAGGCAGCGACCGAAGTTGGCGGTGTTGAGCTTGCATGGCCACTCTTTCTCCTGGCAGCCAACGCAAGGGACGAGCTGCAGGAACATTAGCACAGGTCAATGTCTCACAAGATCGTTACTCACCGAATCTGTTGCATGTGCCCACATGAAGTCAGACACGCGGGTGGACGTCTTTTTCCACATGTCCTTCTGCGACACCGTCACCTTCGCCTTCCCCTTCGCCGTCGCCTTCCCCTTCGCCGTCGCCTTTGCCTTCCCCTTCGCCTTCGCCTTCGGTGCGACATGAGGCGTCGCCGTCATCCTCGTTGTCTGTTTGACAGGTTTGGCAGGGGCGTTCGTCTTCGCAACACCATCGTTACAGTCCCCTGCGGTCTTGGCGGGTAGATTGGAAGGCGGTGCCGGAGTCTCGTCTTCGCTTTCGATGAACTCCTTGCTCTTGTATTCCTTCGTCGCATGCTTCTTCTTTGGCGGCTTGACGGTCGGTACTTCCTCTTCATCGCTTGACTCCTTCACCTTCCTCTTCCCGCTCTTCTTTGTGCTCACCTTCGAGCCCTCCACCTCGGTCTGTGCCATCCTCTTCTGCGCACGCTGCGCTCGGCCAGAGGTGGTCGGGGCCTCGCCTTTCTCCTTTGCGACCTCGATCGGCTTCATCTGCTTCGCCTTTGGAGCCGCCTCCTCATTCTCACTCTCCTCACTCGACTCTGTGATGACCGCCTTGCACTTTCGGAGTGATGGGGCACCTGGCGAGATCGATATTGGTCTGGCAGTTGGCGGAGGGGGCGACGCCACATCGACCTCGATGGATTCGGGCTGGCCTGCACCCAGCACGTCTTCCGCCATCTCATCGTCATCATCTTTGTCGGCATCGTCGTCCTTGTCACTGTCGGCATCGTCGTTGTCCTCGCCCTCCTGCTCCTCTCCCTCTCCCTCTCCCTCTCCCTCTCCCCCATCCTCTTCCTCGCTCATCGCATGCACCGCCTTCCCCTGCGCCTTCTCCTTGCTCTTGCCCTTTCCCTTGTCCTCCCCCGCCTCCACGTGGACGATACGCTCACCCACCATGCCTGTCCCGACATCATTGTCAGCTCTTTCCTTGCCTTTCCCCTTGGTGACGAGGTCCCCGGTAGCCAGGTCCTCCTCGCCACGTCCCTGGGTGTCGTCATCGGCTGGCACATTGCCCCAGCCCTCCGCTGGCATACTCTTCACCAGTGGCAGCTTGCAATATGGATCTGGTGCAGTCAGTGTGTCGCTCGACGCCTCACAACGCTTGTGACTCACCTTCAGTCCACCACTGCCTTCCCAGGTCCTCACACTCCCCATACTCGCGCACAGCCAGAGGGTACCTCTTGTATATCCTCTCGTCGTCGTTCGATATGTGGTCCAGCCGCGCCAGGGCCTTCTGCTGGTATGCCCGGGTGAATTCCAGCAACGCACTGATGACGATGCCAGGCATCCTCAACGACTTCAAGGGCTGCGGGAAACTCTTTTCAAGCCGACTCTGTGTGGCATATTCGGTGAGGGTATGCCAGACCTGCGACCGATGACTTACCACTTCGAGGTAAATCCTCGCCTCCCAGTCCGAATAGCGAGGGTCGTCCTGGCGAGGCGCCGCTGCAACAATGGCCGTCAGTCGCGCGGCCTGCAGAACATAGTTGGGGTCGATATCCAGAGTCATGGCGAGCTTGGCAGAAGAAAGCGTGAGGGTGTTTCAAAAGCAGAGGTTGCAGTACAGCGGAGGTGGAGCAGACGACGCTATGAGCTGGCAGACGCGATCTGCACCAAGTTCAACTTCACACGCCACGTGACCACGTGCTTTGCACGTGATCGCTGGACTTGCGCGATTTCTCAAGTCTCTCAAGGTCAGTGTGACCTGCCGCAAGTTCTCATGGCTCCCAACAGTAAGTTCTATTGCTCTCCTTGTGGAATCTGACTCCTTTGTGATGTTATCTGACCTTTCTATGTCATATCAATCCCCTTTCTACAACTGATCTCCTGCGATCCAGGACTGATCGAAGACTTGTCTGCTCACCACAATCTACCTGCCATGGCCAGTGACGCGGAACCTCCTGACACGCTGGACATTACGATGGGCGAGTCGGATGAGGAGGATAGTATCGCTGAGCCCCGTCGTCCACTCATTTCGGATCTCCTTGACTCTCCTGGATCTGCCCAGATCTCCTTGCCTCTCCACTCTGCTTCTCAGACACCCCTCACGCCCCGCCACACTACCCCGTCCCTGGCAGCTCCATTTGCGCCATCCAACTCGCCACATGAGCATCTTCACCGCCATGCCTCGCCAAAGGTACAGGCGTCATCTGGATCTGTGGCGCCTGTGGAGGGAAGTCGCGCACTTATTCCTGACCCTCTGGCGCCAGCTTGGGATGAAAGTCGTGGCAGTTCGCCAATCCATAGGCGTGCACTCATCTCAGATTCCACCCCCACTGCGCCCGGTGGAATGTTCGACTTCGACACTCCTGGCATCTCGCCAATCCCTCGACGCGCCCTGTTGGAAGCTACTCCCCTTCCTCCACCAGCTCACACTTTCGACTTTCGCACTCCTGACACCTCCCAACTCCCTCGATGATCGCTCATCGCTGAGCCCCTTGACGCTACACCACGTACATCCATCCACTTCGATAGTCAAGCAAGTACGCCGATGGCGAGGGGCATGCTGGTGGACGAGACACTTGACGCGGAACCAGTGCCGAAACTGCTGGACTTTGACAATAGTCCTCCTGCCACGCCAGGACGACGGTGAGCTCTGGTGATAGACAGCCCTGGCGCGACGCCTGTGCGTAGCCAGGTCCGGTGGCTAAATAGTCCCAGCACTTCGCCTCCAAAGAGGCGGCCTTTGTTGGACGATGTTTTAAGTCCACCGCCTCTGCCATCGGCGCTCTCTCACTCGCCAGCTCGCACTTTCGATGACAGCAATTTCCGCCACGATGCACCTGTCATTCACTATATGAAAGGCAGCATCGAGCCAGTCACTGTTACTTCCAGGATGCCAAGTCTGGCAGCACTTCCAGATGAGCTGCCGATCCATCGTCCCACCCATTGGGAACAGGTTCCAGGCTTATTCCCAGATACCACACAGCTGCTGCCAATGGCAGTCCCTGGAGAGACGAATGCCGCTTCTGGCTCACAAGTGGCCCGCCTCGGTAGATCGTTTGCGCAGATCGCAGCAGAGGCAGACAGTTCCAGTGAGTGCATCCCTGGCAACCTTCAGTCTGATGTTGACCTTATTCATAGTGGACGATGATGAAGGTGATAGCTTTGCGGTTAGTCGTCGTCGCGCCATGTTGCGGGAGCGCATTGTACGTCTTCAGCGTGAGCTCAACCTCACTGAGGATATGCACATTGCGAACCTCAATGCCAGCTCGACCGTGTTCCAAATGGGGTACATTCTGAGGGACATTCGTGGCGAGGCGTATCGCAGCAACTGAACTAGTGTCTTTGAGCGTTTTGGTGTTAGCAATATATGACCGCTATGTAACAGCTTGTATACCAGTACAAAATGGATACATTCACTTCTGCATCACTAAGCTCTAAAGCCCATCGCTCCTCCAGTGTACTCTTCAGATGGGCGGACTGCGCTCGCCATCACCAAGGCATGTTGTTGCCAGCAATTGGCCCATCGCCAAAGGACCTGAGTGAAAGCTTCACTGCATGGGAATATCGCTCCGCCAGCAAAGGGCCCACTGCCAAGGGTCAGAGGGTTGGCCATCGCCAAGCCGTGTTTTCGCCACCAATTGGCCCTCCGCCATGAGTGCTGGTGAGTGATGGGCCCACCGGCAAAGGTCAGAGGATTGGCGATCACCAGAGCACGTCATCACCACCAATGCGCCCGGAAACTGCAGGGCTGTATGTGACAATGGGCCCATTGGTGGCGATGACATATCCTGGTGATCGTCAACCCACTGGCCTTTGGCGGTGGGCCGATTGCTGGCGATAACATGCTCTGGCGTTGGCCAACCCACTGGCTTTTGGCGGTGGGCCGATTGCTGGCGGAAACATGTCCTGGCGATGACCTATCCCATGGGTGCTTGCAGTAAGGCCCTCACTGAGGGTGCTTTGGCGATGGGCCGACTGCTGGCGATAACATGCTCTGGCAATCGTCAACCCTCTAACCTTTGGCGGTGGGCCCATCCTTCAGGTTACACTCTGGGCGATCGGCCCACTGCTCATTCGTCATACTTTGGCGGTGGGCCGATTGCTCAGACAAACATGCTCTGGCCATGGCCAACACTCTGACCTTTGGCGGTGGGCCCATCCGTCATCTCATTCGTCATACTCTGGCGGTGGGCCGATTGCTCAGACAAACATGCTCTGGCCATGGCCAACACTCTGACCTTTGGCGGTGGGCCCATCCGTCATCTTACACTCGTGGCGATGGGCCCACTGCTCATTGATCATACTTTGGCAGTGGGCCCATCGATGGCGATAACATGCTCTGGCGTCAGCCCACCCTCTGACCTGTGGCGGTGGGCCCATTGCTTAACGGTTACAACACTGTAATATGCCCTGCTAGTGGGCCGAGCACTGGGATAAGAACACTAGCGGTGGGCCCACTGCTAGTATCCCACACATGAAAGGTATGGGCCCACTGCTGGTAGAGGTCAACATGGTGACAATGGGCCGACGTCCGCTGGCTGTCCAGTTCATGACAATGTCAGGGTAAATGGGAGTTCAGTTCAGGTAACATGACTGAAAGGTGTGTATCGGCGTGGCGTACTGCCGGAGGTTTGTTTGGTCCCTGCGAAATTTCTGGCGACTGGCAAGTGCATTCCCCTTTGCCCCACTTACCAAAGCTCCATATATCCTTTGTCTCTGCATCCTCCAGGGTCTTCGTTATCCACTTGTCCCTCGAGGTCTTGTATAGGCGTTTGAAGTAGTTATGGCTCTTCTTGATTGTTGCTGCAATGGCCGGGGATTGCATTCCCCATCGCTTGTTGTGTTCCAGGTTGGCAGAGCGTTGTTGTGCAATCCTCTCGTTTACCTTTTCCAGAGCGTCATTCCACCACGGTCTGGCCTTGTCGCTTGGTTTCCGTATTGGAACTGTCATTTTGTTCGCTGCCTGCATTGCTTCTGTCAGTGCATCAGTTGCCCCATCCAACTGTTCTGTTGTCATTGTATCTTCTAAGTCGAGCAAGACATTCAGGTGGGCCTGACGCTTGTTCAGGGCCACCTGAAATGCCGCCTTCCATTCCTTTGGGTCTGCATCCTTGAAATTGTACTTCTTACCTGTCACGTTCTCTATCTCGACTGCTCCGTAGTCAAGCTCCCAGCGCAGTGCGAAGTGGTCAGAGCCGAATGCTTTGGTCCTGTCGATGGTCCATTTCTTGGTGGCATTCAGCTCTGTTGCTCTTGGGTTCAAGAAGGTCAGATCAATCATCGAGTATGTTTTGTGTGAGTGAGAGAAAAAGGTTGGCTCGCCCTTTTCATTCTGGATGCTGAATCCTCGTTCTGTCAGCCAATCAACTGTGTGCTCCGTAATCTCATTTGCAGGTGTTGCGTGTCGTGACCAAAGTGGGTGGTGTAGGTTCCAGTCTCCCGATAGGATTACCAGTATTTCGTTCGGTAGCGCTACCTTCTGCAGCCTTTTCGCTGCGGATCTCTTACCCTGCTTCTTGTTATCATTGTAGATGTTGACGATTAGAGTTGTTGGATGGGGGGCCTGTTGTACCTCGAGGATCTGCATGTCTAAGTCGTTAGCTAGGTCAGATTGTAGTGTTACCGTGAAGTCTGCTCTCTTGTGGACATAAGCCATCGCTCTTGGTCGCTTTCCTTTCAGAACGGCTGAGACCGGTATTATGGCTGTCCAGCCCATTGCTGATTCTGCAACTGGTCCTTTGTTGCCACCTCCGATGTTTCCCCACCATGGCTCTGTTATTAGTACAATATCAAATCCGTCCTCACCGACCGTTGAGTTGAGTAGGCTGTGTATCGCCCTGTTCTGTGTGTTTGCATTGAGTTGTAGGACGCGGATGGGTTTCGTGGTTATTGTCTCTAACATGGTTGTGCATCATCAACATTCATCGGGTGTGGGATGGGCATTCTCACCGGGTCTCGGATCGCTTCAAGGGCTGCCACTGCTGCGGCAAACTCTCCTTTTGCAGCTCTCAGGGCCTCCATCCGGGCTTTTTCCTCCATCTCGGGGAAGTGTGCTTTCAAAGATTCCAGCGTATTCTTGTGTTGTTCATCTTCGAGATCTCGGAATCTATTGTTAGCAGTATGGGCCTGTTTCGCTCTCACTGCCTGGCTCGGAATGTCAGTGGCCTTACCCGTTGTTGTCTTCTGTGGTCCTGTCACTGTTTTCCAGGCATCTTGTGTGTTCACTCCTCCTGCGGGGGCCTTCGTCGGTCGTGCTGCGGATGTTCCGATCCATCTCAGCCGCATCGGGCAGTTCCTGAAGTTTGCTGTGTGAGTTCTGTGGCAGTTCATGCACTCGTGTTCGTGGGGGCATTCCTCATCTCCCATTCCCACATTACCTGCCTCGCATTCCTTGCACATGTGGTCATCTTCATGGTGCTTCCCTCCGCACCTTCAGCAGCTTGTCACGTTCTTGCATCGAGCACGTACGTGTTCGAAGAACCAGCAGTTGTTGCACTGGATGACTGGGGGTTTGTCAGCATAGTGTTTTACCTGGGCAAATGTTCCGGCGATGGCCAGGTTCTTCACCCGCTTGATCAGGTACTCAGCATCTGTTTCGTTAGTGAGTGCAATCACGACTGATGAGTACATCACCGCTTTGAGGTCTGACGTGTGTCTCATCCATCTCGGCATCTCTAGTACTTCCATCTTTGCATATTCTGGGTTGTTCTCGATGAGCTCCTTCTGTATCTCTTCTGGTGTTGGGATGTTGTTCGTGTATTGGTTCCAGGTATTGACCCCATTTAACTGGATCTTGTACCACGGTCGGTCCGCTCTGATGTGCGTTTGTCAGCTACCTGCGAAAATCTCTACAAATCTATTTGCGAACGGCACTAGGTCTGCCGCTCGCTGATCAGCTCTCATGAATATTATGCAATTATTGATTGCGTTAAACTTAGCATTGACCACTCATAGGTGTTTGCTATCCTCGTGTTCTTGGAGCCTCTCGTTAACCTGTCTGACAATTTCAGCTTCTCCCGGTCTTTTACCTGCCTCTGCTCCATTCTGAATCTCGACGATCATCCTCGATGGGTGGTGTGCTGCAAGAGGGTTAGCTGGTATCTGTTTACTCGGTATCTTGTTGTCGCTGCCTTTCAGTTTCAGTATAATCAGTTTCGCGGTCGCCGCCGCCACTTTCTTCGTTGTCTTAGGCTGAGTCGTGGGCTCGACCGTGGTCCTCTCCTCGTAGTTTAAATGTTGCATCTGGTTTCTTCCTGTCTGGTGCGTCAGTTTCGTTCCTGAGTTTCTTACTTATGCTTCTATCTCGTCCATCCTCATTGTGAGCCTCAGTAGGAGGTTTGCCACTTTCTCAATGTGGCTGTCCTCCCTGGGCGGGCTCTGGGTTGCTTTGCTGGTATTCTGCTGTGCGGCATGTATTGTCTCGTCATTACCTTGTTGTGGTTTCTCCTTCCTTATCCTGAACTTTTCAGCAATCTTCTCGACATTGGCTATGATCTGGGCCGAGAAATCAGCGTGATCTGGTATGGTACTCATGATCCTTATCGTGTTTTGGAGTGCTTCTTTGAGTTTTTGCATCGTGTTTTCTCGTCCGTTATCTCAAGCTGTGGTTGCCTCTTCGGTATCTTCTACTTCCATATCAGTGTGCTCAGGTGTGTTCAAGACATCACCTTTCGGTCCCTTTCTCGTGACTCCTCCCGGCGTGGGACTCGGGCTGGTCTGGCATTCTAGAACTCCTTCAGTGCTGTATCTATCCTTCTGCAGTGACCTTGTGGTAGCATTCAATGCCATCTGGCTCATCTCTTTTAGAGTACTGGGGATCCCGATTTCCTGGTGCGTCTGTTCGGTCATGTGGTCCTCCTCGACCTGCATATTATTTTTCTGCTCAGCTCGTTCCAGTGCTGCGTTAGCTCTGGGAGTGTATGGGGTAGTCCTCATCTCTTTTAGAGGGTGAGGGTTGTCCTCCTTGCCTATTTGCTAGGATTTTGCCCCAGGGCAGACCGTGGGAAAATTTGTAGCAAGTGGTGGTAGCGGCAAGAGCTGTGTTAGAGCAGGGGTATGGGTAACCTGCACGGGTACCGGTACCCTTACCCACGCGGGTACGGGTACAGGTCACAATCTTGTGACCCATGTGACCCGCAGTATACCCATGGCTGGCGCCCAGCCACATCATGCCGCAAGCCGCCGTCCACTGCCACCTCCACCTTGCACTCCCCTGCACCGTCGAATGCAAACGTTTGATGGTGCGTTCATTCTGGATGATTCGAGATGGACCAGGTGAGTTGAATAAAACCCTTTTGTGTGTTCTTAGCCATGCTAACCTTTTACAGCGGCATTGTTGTAGCGCTGTGTCTCGGTCCCGATGATCTCTCTCCCTGGCGGTGCAGACGATGAGAACGATGTGGATGGGGTGCCCACTATTGCGATCTCCATCACCGATGCGGACTCTCCACCACGCATTGCGGTTACTGGCCCCTCGATGTCCACGGAGAACGTGTGCACACCCTCACCGCCGCAGGGCATGGTGTCCTCTGGGTCGAGCCAGTCAAGCATGTCCTCGCTGCAGTGCGTGGAGCCACTGCGGTGCAAGATCTTCAAGCACGCAGAGGGCTCGCTTGCATGCGACAGGTGTGGGGGCACGATCGTCGGGCGCATGGTGAGCACGATGGGCATGCAGTGGCATCCGGCGTGCATGGTCATCCTCCTTGTGTGCTTGCGCCCACCCTCCTCCCTAAAAGCTCGTGCCCGCCCTCCCTATGCGCATGCATGGCCGTCCTCACTGCGCACATGTGCTCATCCTTCCTGTGTGCTCACATTTGCACTCCCTGCACACCCGTTCTCCCTGGGCACTCGTGCCCATCCTCCCTGTGCGCTCACACCCATCCTCCCTATAGCGTAATATACATATATATTTTAATAGAAATAAATCCATCTGAGGGTAAGAATTGAAGAAAACCCGTGAAGGGTATAAAACCCATGGGAACCCATAGGTACCCATGTAAAACCCATACCCATGAGCGCGGGTACAATACCCTCACGGGTACGGGTACGGGTAAGCCTCAGGATACCTGGGGGTATACCCCTGCTCTGCACTAATGGATGCACTATGTCCTTTTGTCCACTCGAAAGTTGTAGGGGCAGCTCTGGCTCAGAGGGAGGTGGCAGTCGCGTGGAAAAGCCGGCTGTTGGAAACACCGAGCCAGCCTCGATCTTCCCATCTAGGAAGGTGGGCGGTGAGTCTATCAATGGCATATAGGGAGTCGCTAATAATGTGTAGTGGTGCCGCCATTGGGGTAGATTGAGAGGCAATCAGTATCGCTGCAATTTTGCTGGCTTGATTTGACTGATCAGGTCCTGGAAGACGGAGTGCACGATTTTGGGGGTCATCGGGTCTGAACCATACTCCAGCACCTGTACTAGCATTAGCATCACCGTTGTTGATACAGGATCCATCAGTATATGTTGTGACAGCTTTGTGGGGGAGGCCTCATTTTAGGCGATATGCTGGGATTATAGCGTGTACGGTAGGATCTGTAAAGATGCAGAATCCATTTGCGAGGTAGCCCGATACTGTCAGGAAGGGGTCAAATGTCAGAGTGCCACATTCTTGGCGTGCCGTTCAATTTTTTTGTTTTCTGTGACAAGTCAGGATAAGGCCATCTGGTGGAGGTGTTGAGTCAGGGTGCCACTTCAGTTCTATGTTAGTCATCTTTGTCAGTTATGAAAGATAATCTTTTCTATCAATAAGTAGCAAATTTTCATAAGAATTGCTACTTTTAAGTAGACTTATTTGTAGGTGCATAGATTAACTCAGGATAATTGTAATATAATCTTTCAGATAATCTGAGGATAATCTTCTGGATAATCTGAGAATAATCTGAAGATTAGCAATAAAATACAATTTTAACTTTGACACCAGCCAGGATTGAACCCTGGACCTTAGGTTGATTTTATAGAATATAATTCCAAGTGACACTTTAGACCACTTGACCATTAGGCCATACATCACAACTATCTTATATTAAATTAGACGTCTTTTTCTTGAAAAAGACTTAGCCAAATTCTGTCTATTAGAAAAGAGTAAGTAAAAGACACTTGACTTTTATCATAGATAGACAAGCCTTATAGACAAACAGTACTCTGCATCTTATTATAGTCTTGTTCTACAGCTTACAGTTTTTGTAAACTATCATGCAGTACTATAGAGTATCTTAATATAGTCATCTATAATATATAACAAGTTATTGAGAGACAGTATTTTATTTGTTCATTTTAGGCTTATACTCTAGAGTCTATTATATTATAGACTGAGCACTTATATATCCAAAATCCTTATAGCTATCTTCTAATTGTATAGCAAAGTTCTGTTTTGCTGAAGTAACTGTAGAAACATATATTCTATTAATTACATATTGTACTACATTATATGAAGGCTGCAAGCATTAGAAAAGACTGTAAGACTCAGAGTAATGTTTGTTTATAAGTCTTGTCTATCTATGATAAAAGTCAAGTGTCTTTTACTTACTCTTTTCTAATAGACAGAATTTGGCTAAGTCTTTTTCAATAAAAAGATGTCTAATTTAATATAAGATAGTTGTGATGTGTGGCCTAATGGTCAAGTGGTCTAAAGTGTCACTTGGAATTATATTCTATAAAATCAACCTAAGGTCCAGGGTTCAATCCTGGCTGGTGTCAAAGTTAAAATTGTATTTTATTGCTAATCTTCAGATTATTCTCAGATTATCCAGAAGATTATCCTCAGATTATCTGGAAGATTATATTAAGATTATCCTAAATTAATCTATGCACTTACAGATAAGTCTACTTAAAAGTAGCAATTCTCATGAAAATTTGCTACTTATTGATAGAAAAGATTATCTTTCATAACTGACATCACTGCACAGCAGCCAGCCAAGCCCTCCCCGCCACGCATGCACAGACCTTAGCCAGAGAAAAAACCCGTGCCTGCCAGGTCATCGTTGACGGAGCTACTTGTAAGCACGCTGATGGCACAGGCCTGAACGAGGACGAACTCCTCACCAAGGCAAACACTGTGATCGACCTAATGGGAGTGGCGCGGTCAGATGCCCCCCCGGACTTCAAATTTAAATCAGTCAACTGCATGTGCAACGGAGGAATTGCTTACACCTTAGACAGCCCAGAATCAGCTAAGTGGCTTTGTACTCCCGACGTGATGAAAAGCTTCTTAAAACACTTTGGTGACCAGGCCTCCCGCGTGAAGGTGCACATGTACTCGGTCCTCATCGAGTTTGTCCCTGTAGCTTGCAACCCAGACAACAGTGGCTACCTCCGGGTCATTGAGGGCTCCAACAACCTCAACCCGAACGTGATAGAAGAAGCCCACTGGATTAAACCCCCAGAATGCAGAGCGAAGGGTCAAAAAGTCGCTCACCTCATTGTACGCTTCAATAATCTGAAGGCCGCTAATCGCGCTATATGCAATGGTCTCGTTATAGCCAGTAAGCAGGTCTCGGCGAGAAAGCTAATCCGAGAGCCCCGCCGCTGCCTGAAGTGTCAGCAGATCGGAGTCCCACACCTAGCTAGCAACTGCAAACAGATCCATGACACCTGCGGGAACTGTGCCTCAATCTCCCACAGGACCTCTGCATGCGAGGCAGACCCTACAGACTTTAGATGCAGCAACTGTATCCGGGCAGGACGTGTGAATGCAGATCATGCAGCTTGGGACCGTGACTGTCCGGTTTTCCTGGAGCACTGTCGCTGCATGGAAGAACGCCAACCAGAGGTGAAGTACCGCTTCTTCCCCACTGAAGACCCATCTACCTGGGAACTAACAGGACAGCCACTGATGCCAGCCACTCCCCCCTACCGCCGCATCCCTACGCCTGAGCGTAAGGAGCCACCGTTGCAGAACTGGGCAGATGAGGCAGATAACCTCTACCCACAACCCAACCTTTTCCCTCGCCCGTCACAGGCCTGCCGGGCCAGCGAAGCAAGAAGCTCCCAGAACGCATCACAGCCACGGCCCCAACTCCACCAGACATTCATACACCGCTCGGGCTCCCGGGCGTCATCTAAGGTCTCATACGGCAGAGATTCCCCCGTAGGCTTCCATGTCTAGTACACCAATGCACGACAACTTTACGTTGCGAATACTACAGCTGAACCTGAACAAGTCGCTCACAGCACAATCAGCCTTCATCAATTCCTTTTCCACCTCCGACTTCGACATCGTTCTCTTACAGGAACCATACCTCAATCCCCGCACCTCCCTCACTCGTGCTACATCACACTGGATAGTGGTATATCTCCATACCCACTACTCTGAAGCTAGAGAATGCACACGCTCCATTATCTTTGTCAGCAAGCGGATCTCAGGAGAAACCTGGTCGCAGGTTAAGGTCGACTCCCCGGACATTACTGCCATCTCCCTGCGCACTGTGTCCAGCCCACTACACATCTTCAACATCTACAATGACCAACATCACCAGGACTCCATCAATCTACTTGCGCGAGCCACCACGCAACTCGCACAACCAGGAGAAGCGGAAGTGAACGTAATATGGGCAGGAGATTTCAACCGACATCACCCCATGTGGGACGAGGAACGGAACCACCACCTTTTCACTCAGGAAGCTCTGACGATGGCCCAGCCCCTTCTCGACAACATTGCAGCCTTTGACCTCACAATGCTCCTTGCCCACAGCACACCAACGCTGGAAGCATCACTTACAAAGAACTACATGTGCCCTGACAACATCTTCGCCTCCTCAGACACGGCCAGCCAGCTCTTGTCATGCGACACCATCCCCACACTCCGCCCTCCATTCACTGACCACATTCTCATCTCACTTACACTGGACGTCTCCACATACACAACGCAGGAGGTCCCACGTTGGAACTTCCGCGAGGTTGATTGGGAGGATTTTCGCTCATGCTTGAAGAGCAACCTGAGCTCCCACATGCTTGGGGAAGGGGAGATCTCTACTCCAGAGCAGTTCAACACTGTCCTGAAGAACTTGACAGATGCCATCACTGCGACGATTAAAGAAAAGGTCCCGCTCTCGAAACCAACGCCGTTCACAAAGTGTTGGTGGTCCAAAGACCTCACCAAGTCTCGGAAACATGTACAATGCCTTACACGAACCTCCCACAAATTCCAGCACATTGCAGACCACCCATCACACACGGAATACCGCAAGACACGCAACCGATATGGTGAGGAGATCAAGTCTGCCAAGCAAGACCACTGGGAGGCGTGGCTGGAGTCTGCAGACTCAGAATCTATCTGGACGATCGACCGATTCACTTCAGCAGGACCGACAGATGGTAGCCGACTGCGAGTGCCCCCACTGAGGGAAGGTAGTGAGCCACCTGTAGATGACAACGCAGCCAAGAGCACAATTCTGTACAAGACCTTCTTTCCACCCCTGGGTCCTCCACCGACCATACCCAATGGCCACAGATATGGATGCCCCGCATTCTGCTTCTCCCCTATCACAGATGCACAGATCGAGGCCGTTATCAAGAAGCTGCGTGATCACAGGGCACCGGGGCCGGACAGTGCTCCTAATGAGGTATACAAACACTGCATAGCCTTACTCCTTCCACATCTAGGTCGTCTCTTCCGTGGAACCTTCAACCTGCAGGTCTACCCTACTGAATGGAAGACATCGAACACAGTGGCCCTACAGAAGCCTGGCCGCCCAGACTACTCTGTAGCCAAATCCTACCGTCCTATCGTGCTCCTTAACTGCATCAGTAAGATCTTATCTGCATGTGTTGCTAACATCCTTGTCTACAAATCAGAAGCACACAACCTCCTTGCCCGCAACCACTTCGGAGGTCACCCAGGCCGACGCACCACAGACTCCCTCCACCTGCTGGTCAAATCTGTCAAGGATGCGTGGAGACAAGGGAAAGTAGTTTCCATCCTCTTCCTGGACGTCAAAGCTGCCTTCCCCAGTGCAAGCCTAGACCGCCTTTTCCACAATATGCACAGGCGGGGAGTCCCCATAGAGATTGTCAATTGGCTCCGCAGGCGCCTCAAAGGCCGACACACCAGAATTCTCTTCGACGACTTCAAATTGGCACTCTTCGAGATCCTCAGTGGCATAGACCAAGGCTGCCCCCTCTCCGTCATCCTTTATGAGTTCTACAACTCTGATCTCTTTGAGATCACCTACAGGGTCCCCCACTCACTAGCGCTCGGTTACATTGACGATGCAGTGATCATTGCCACAGGAAAGGACTACACGGAAACACATGCTACACTCTGCAGCTACATGGATGGTCATAACAGCGTGATGACATGATCTAACACCCACCAGTCGGAATTCTCACTCGACAAGTTCGGCCTCCTCAACATGTCTGCAACGTCGCGCGACCTGGGCCAGTCACTCCGACTCTGTGCAGCAACGATCGAACCTGCAGAGTCGCACAAATTCCTGGGCATCATCATCGACCGCCACCTCCGATTCCACGAACAACATGCAGGGGCACTAGCGAAAGGCACCGCCTGGATACAGCAGTTCCGACGTCTTGCCAGAGCCTTTGGTGACATACCCTTCTCACACATGCGACACCTCTACCTTAGCATAGCGGTTCCACGCTTGCTATATGCAGCAGACGTGTTTCTCACCCCCATCAGAAAAGTCCCAGGCTGAAAGACGATGTACGGATCTGTCGGTGCGATTAAGCTGATGTCACGAGTGCAACGCCAAGCTGCTCTCCTTATCACAGGTGCAATGAGAATGACGGCGAGCGACATGCTGGACACACATGCCAACCTCCTTCCATTTCCACTCCTGGTCGACAAGCACTGCCACCGTGCAGCTGTCCATCTGTGCACTCTCCCTCCGGAACACCCACTACATGTGCATATGAAGACAGCAAGCACACGCTTTGTCAAGCACCACCGGTCCCCAATCCATAAACTCCTCCATGCCTACCAACTACAGCTGGACACCATCGAGACAATCTCCCCGGCCTGCTTCCCGCCAGCATGGTCTCCTCCCTTCCAAGTCTCCATCACTGGCAGCAAAGATGATGCCCTGAAGGACGAAGCCCGATGGGCAGGAAAACAAGGCATCCGTGTCTACTCAGATGGATCGGACATTGATGGGGGAGTCGGAGCAGCCGCCATGCTGTACAGATGAGACCGCGTGGCCTCCAAGACCCTGCGTTTCTACCTCGGAAAGTCCACAGAGCACACAGTATACAAAGCAGAGGACGTCGGCCTCATCCTGGCCGTCAAGCTACTCCACGATGAGTTCATTGTCTATACTGCCTCGTGTGCAGCAGACAATAAGGCAGCAGTACGAGCGACTCAACTACGACGCCCCGCCCCCAGTCACTACCTCCTTGACATGCTGCACGAGGACATCAAACGACTCATCCGAAAACACAAGATCAGCTGAAAGGACCTCACGATCCGTTGGGTACCTGGTCACAAAGACGTCCTTGGGAATGACTGAGCAGATGCCGAAGCCAAGAAAGCTGCCCATGGAGACTCCAGCCCAGTTGCAAAGCTGCCCGAAAGCTTATGCTCCCCGCTCCCGCTCAGCACGTCTAAGCTCAAGCAATTCCATCTCGAACTCCTGAAGTCCCAAGCCGCTATAGCCTGGAAGAACTCAGAATGCGGCCACATGTTCGGTTGCATCGACCCGTCCATCCCCTCTGCCAAGTTCGAACAACTCGTCGCGGACCTGCCACGTCATCACGCCAGCCTCCTCATTCAACTCAGAATGGGTCACGCGCCACTCAACATGCACCTCCACTGCATCAAGCACTCCCCAACTCGATCCTGCCCCGCCTGCCACAACCACCCGGAAATGATGCACCACTTCCTTCTCACCTGCCCCGCATACAGCCGACAATGTGACGTCATGACGCAAGAACTGGGACGCACAGCAAGATCACTTCCCAAACTGCTCACCAGCACGCGCGCCATCCGACCCCTTTTCCGCTACATCCATGCCACGGGACGTCTTACCGCAACATACGGCCGACTGGGCACATTCGACAGCTGCCGCTGAACCGAGCGTTAACACAGACTGCACTCTCAGTCCGATCAAGTGGCAACCTACGTTACTCACATCATGCCCCCTGTTCCCTTTTCTCTAGCACATACCCCCCCCTACTGTACGTACCGGCAGCCTAGAGACACATCCTCGCCCTAGAGACTTGGGGAGTTTTGACGTCTAGTGGGGGACCACCAGGCGTATCCCTGACTGCAGCAAGAGGAAAATCCCGGGGGTAATTTCTACCACCCACAAGGGCAGCAGGTTTAGAACCTAGTTTCTAGCGTTCACTCGCTGAGGGCCTTGGATGTGTGCCTGCAGGCTTGCCTTACTGCTACCAACCCCCCCCATGTATACTCACATTCCACTTCTTCACCCCACAGCTCCTCCCAATTTCCCATCTGCAAAAGCCCCGTGCTTGCGTGGGCACAATGTTTCATTTGACACTCTATTAGTACGTACATCAGCTAGCTACAGTAGATATTGTCTACCATAGGGCTTTGCCCTCGAGGACAATAAACCGGAACCAAAAAAAAAAAAAAAAGGCCTCAATAGGCCGCCGTTTTGATGGTGTGCCATCTAGGGGAGAGTCTCCTCATTGACTTTCCTGTCCCATTTCGTGGTCAGTATATCGGGTCGTGAGGAGAGTCGCGTTGCATGCGGGCATGTATGTGGGCGGAGACATGTTGTGGTAGGCTCGAGCTATCACGGCATGTCTTAAAGAGAGACAACAATATATCCGGGTATTTTACAGCAGTGTAGCTACTGACGTAGTGTACAGGGGCTGTTAAAATGGACAGAGGGGGAAAGTCCGTGAGCTTTCAGTAGGGAGAGCTATGTATGTGGGGTTTGCTTTTCTCTGGACAACGGTGAGCCGTGCCATGCGTGGGTTTCATATTTTCTATAGATAGCATGAGTGGGGTGCAGTGATTACGCGCAGGTAAGAAGGAGAAAACATAAGATGACATCCGCATTCAGACGTGAGTACCTTCGCCTTCAGCGGCGGTTCTGGGTGCGACAGCAGGATGGTCCAGCACGACCCGGCTGCGCAGGGCCAGGATGATCGTCGTCGTTGACGTCCGGCCCATTGGTCTTTGTGTGGCCATTCCAGCCCGGGAGCGAGGCGAAGGGGCAAAGTCCTCTAGGGTGGTCGCAGCCGTGGCAGCCGGTGCAGTGGAAGTTCGGGCGAGCTTTCCCAGTGCCGTGGAAAGCCGTTGGAAAAGTCAGCTGCGTGACGTATGTACACCATAGCTCCCAGGTCTGGAGCTCGTCAGAGGGGGAGTCTGCATAGACATTAACCGCGAGCGAGGGGAGTCCACCGCGGACCTTTATGTCGAGGAATTTGATGGTCAGCGAGTTGAGTGTGCGCTGAATACGCACTCTGCCATCATTGTCAGCTCCAACGAGATGGATGAGGGTGTTGAGGGTGGCATTATCGGCAAAGTGTCGCTGTATCAGTTCTACAATCTGTTCATGGGAAAGATTGGAGAAACCCTCGAAGGTGGCGAGGAAGGTCGGAAAGTCCCACGATATTTTGTGGACGAAGAATGTGATCTTCGGGGTCGAGTAGCAGAACTGCGCCACCATCGCACACTTCAGCTCCTCCGTCATACCAAAACCGATAAAGGCGAAGGGAGGTTGGTTTAGGCGTGACGTCTCGACGGCGACGCACGGGATGCCAAGTTGTATGGTGGCGTTGTTATGGTGCTTTGCCACGACCTTGGGGACGACGACTAGCCACCGTTGTTGTATCTCGGGGTCATTCGCACTGGCCTCCCACGAGGTGATGGCGACTCTGAGGACATCGTTTGCACCCCATCGGCTCAGCTGGTCGCGTGCTAGATTATTGAAAAAGAAGACGGGGTGTTCCGCATAGATGTTGGGAAAGCCATTGGGCAGAGTTGGCATGAGGAGAGGTCCATCGTGGGAGGACGGGGTATGTATCAGCAGAGTATAGTGGGCTAATTGGCCGATGTGATCCGCTAGAGATCCTCACATCATAATCTTCCCCGTGGAGTGGGGGTGGGATGTGTCGCCATGTCCTCCTCCAAGGGGCGGTGGCGGCATAACGGTCCCACCCATCTGTGCAGCTCTCAGCATCAGGCTGAACATGGGAGGGTGTCGGTCATTGGGAAAGCCTTCATGCACGCGGGGGTTGCTGTGAAGTTCCTCGATGTGAGCGTGGGATGTCCCGGGGTAAGCGAAGGGAGGTTGGGTCTCCCCTAAGATGGCTCGAGAGGGGGCCGCTGTGGCTGAGAATGTGCTTGAGCTGGAATCTGAACCTCCCTCTGCTTCATAAATTGGCAGCGGAGCAAAGGCACCAGTGTGCAGGTCGGAGGGGGCATGCATGATGGTGCGAATACCAGGGGACAAGGGGCGACGCGGGTCCACGTTCTCTAGGTCCGATGGCTAGGGGATAGGTTAGATTGGGCGCCATGCAGCAGTGTGGGGACGTACGTTCAGTTCACCAAGGGAGTTCCACATTGCGATCTCCTTTGCCGTCATGCGGGAGGTGGTGTTGTTTGACTCGTTCGGGCTCGGCATCTGCGTGTAGAGCCTCTCAGTTATGTACGCACGATGCTCGTGGATGGGGAGTATCGGGCTAGGGGGCCTCAGAGCTTGGAGGAAGCTGGGGTTGCTCGCATCCAGTTCTGCCGGGGAGAGGTAGTAGTGGGGAACCTGAGGTTGGTGATGGGATCCATGATGGCGAAGTTGCATTATGGGGCCATGCGCGTTGGTCTGAGCACGCTGGGTCTGTACCTGGTGATGGAAAGCATGTGACGGGAGGCCGGCCACATGAGCGTATGGCGTCATCCTGGTGGCTTCCGAGAGTTGAGCTGCGACATGGGGCGACATGTTCGAGCTCGCCGAAGGGACTTGCGGCTGGCCGGTCTGGGGCGACTGGTGGCCAACGACGGGGTCCAGTGCTGCTGGCATCGGTTCCTGGGCAGGAGCTTCAACTGCGGGAGCTGGGAAGAGTTAGGGTGTGTTGAATTTCTTTGGGGAATTGTACCTTGGGTGGTGTCACCCGCGTCGCCCTTGTTCAGTCACTTGCTCGCGCGATTGGGCTGGGATTTGGTGCGTTTTTGGCTGTTTGCCATCAGTGGTTTCAGTTTCGGGGAAGGGGCTTAGCGTTGACGTGGTGGGAGAGTTCTCGAGAATTTTAAGGGAAGAGTGGGTGGCAGTATGTGTCATGTATCAGGATGTAGGGTAAGCTTCTGACGTTGGCATCTAGTGGGTTGTTGTGTGCGAGGTCTGTGCGGCGGGATTTATTTCGTGCGAGACGCACCGTGGAAGGACAAGCGGTGACTTAGCTCGAGTGTCCCAAGGGGGGAAAGTGTATTCGGGCGGGGGGGTTTCAGTTTGACAGTGGCCAGTTGTTTGATTCGCAGGAGCTGTTTGGTGGACGTGAGGTACGGCATGTAGTGTGGCAAGTTGTTGCCGCAGCGGCGCGAGCATTGCACGTGGGCGGGCAGGGGCGCGTCAATGTTGTTGTCATTCATTTAGGGGTGCGTCAGGATCTACGAGTGTATACTTATGTTTTTGGGTAGTGGGGGTAAGTTGTATTCTGGTTGGTGTTGCTGCTCGAGCTGGGGGTTGAGGAGCGGTAGTGAGCATCTCTCGTGTAAATAGGTGGGACTTAGCTTATTGGAGAGCTGTCGGTCGGTGTGGCATTCTGTAAGATCTCAGTGTTGGCGAGGGTTGAGTGCCGAGTATATGAAAGCGGCGCGTCGGCGGGTGGTGCGGTGCCGTAGGGTTTAGGGTGTGAGTCATCGTCGGGCAGTACTGTGCTGGCGAGCGCTTCAGCGGGCGGGTTTAGGTAATCAGTGGTCGTGTGTTTATGTGGCTGGGGCCGGTTCACACGTGGATATCCTGGCGAAATTGTTATCTTATCAACTCGCTATTGTACAGGCCTGAGCTTGTTTCCTCAGAGTTTGGTATTGATCATAGAGGAGAAGGTGCGTACTACATTATTCAACCGCGTCGGAAACGGGGAGAGTTCAATATGGTGCATCTGTTTGGTAGGGGGACCTTCGGGCTCTTGCGATGTTTAGATCTGGAGAGATAGTATTGGATGTCTGAGTCCCGGATCTGGGTCCAGTCTCGGCAGAGAGAGATGTAGACTGTCTCGCATCGTGTTGCCTCTAGGACCTTGAAAGTGACTTTTGTCATTCCGATGTAGGTGATCTCAGCTACAAATCCCTTCCCGAAGGGGCCTATGCAGACGTAGCTTCCAATACAGATAGGTTCTCGTGCAGGGAAGACGACTGTCCAGGGATGGATGAGAGAGCAGAGGTACTTGGGACAGTCAATCCATAGTGTGAGGGTATCAGTGAAGGATTCAAGTAGGGGGAGGCTAGATGGATTCAGCTGGGTGTAGCGGAGTGTAGCGCAGCTCTGTGGTATGTCTGAGGGGTGGGGAATGGGAATATATTGGCCACTGAGTGATTTAAGGATTGGATTTGGGGGAAATTCAGGGAAGGATGGAGGTTTTTGTGCTAGGTGGAAGGGCGGGAGCCCAAGGGGAAGATCAGGGGGGGACATACCGTCTGGGATTCATGGGTTCATTTCGTAGTGGAATATAACGTGTTCGCATAGATACTTCGGAAGGTGTTACGTTAGGTCAAGGCATTCTCAGGCGTGTTATCATTGATGGCGTGGCCTGTAGTCATTGATCATGTCAATAATGTGGCGGCCACAAGGGTTGGTCGGGAGCATGTAGCTTGTATTGTTACAGAGGGTAGGTCAATCTGCGGTACATATGAGACACTTATGTAATATAGTTTCCTAATTAGGAATCGACATCGTCGGGGAGTCGGGAGGGCGGGGAGTCGGGAGTGCGCGGGGGTGGGGAAGTTGGAGGGTTTGGATGTTCTCCGTTTAGGTATAGGTATTAGATGGAGAATCGAGTCAGTTCCGGGAGTATCGGTTGGGCTTGGGGCCTTGTGATTATGCGTGGCGGGTGGGTGACAGTGCGTGCGGGTTCTAGTATTCAGTAGAGTAGGATCGCGGTGGATCCGGACTGTGTGTCCATTCGTGAGTATGGTTACTCAGTTTCGGTAGATGGGTGTCTCCAGAGGGTAGATAAATGGATAATGAAGTGGTGAGTAGGGGTGTTTGTCTCGGGGTAGGGGCTCGAAGTCAAACCTGCCTCTGTTTCCCCCAAACCCTTCTCCTGCGCCCGTTTGCTTCCCTTGGTCGAAGGTACTAGTCCCCTGGACCACGTAGAGGTCGGCGCTGGCTTTCCTTGTGGGTAGGCCCGCCAGGGGTTTACAGCTTTTCTTAGTTTCGCGGCCATCACATCCGTGTAAGCGTTGTCTAGACAAGGTGCAGCGAAATCAAACACTCGGATACCTCAGCCGGGGTGATACCAAGTGTGACGTGTCGTGACGTCGCGGCGTCCACCGCGTCACGGTCGCCAAGTTCAACTTGTTGAACGCGTTGGTATCAGTCTAACATCGCCGTAAGTAACTTCAACACTATCCAGAATCCGTTGGCCAAGTCTGATCTTGAGAGTAGCAGCTTCTGCACTCGTAACCATTCAAGGATAACTACCTCTTTCATTTGTAACCGTGTGGCACAGACTTGTGTTCAAAGCGCCACCCTTCCATCGTAGTTTATATGAACACTTCAAATATCCCGCTCGGTAGCGCAAACGCAGTGCAGTTTGTAGAAGTGTCTGGGCGCGAAGCAGATGTCATGCCGTACGCAACGATCCTATCACTGTGACCTCGTGGCACTGAATTGATATTTTGTCTCAGTACGAAATCAGTGAGTGATGTCTCCTTGCTTGAAATTGCATGATTAATTGAAACTCTGATAGCGTGAGGCTCTCGAAAAACGTGTACTTTCTTCCCCTGCAGACATTCGCCTAGCATCCAACTGCCATGCCTCAATCAACTGTCTTCCCTCGGAAGTTCTCGCCATGATCCTGCAGTTCGTCTTGGAACCCCGCTACTCGCAGAAGGAGTATCGTCGTCGCATCAATCACCGATCTTTACCCCCATGGCAAACGTCTGTGCAATTCTTGGAAGACATCTCCGTCACACATGTTTGCCGTCAATGGCGCAGCCTTGCAGAGGAACTACCATTATTCTGGACGCACGTCACGGATTCGCCAAGCACTGAAACTGCTACAAGAGCTTTCATCCAAAGGTCTCGGTTAGCCCCCTTACGAATTTACATTCGGCCTTCCCCATCAGCCTTCTTGAAAAGCTTCGCCGGCTCGAATGGACATCGTTTGTCGACGCTCTGGTGGGAAGGAGGGCGCGGTCGCAACTATGTCGGCTCGTCTTTGCTCAGTGCCTCTGCTCCCGAGCTCGTGTCTCTTACACTGCATGCTTCCAGCTCGCTCCCAAATGCAGGCGGACTAACAGTTGGGCCCTCACTTCTGTTCCGCGGAAATGTTCCACGTCTACGCCAACTCTCCATACACGGCTTCTCGTGGCTGCCGACAAACCAGTTTGACTCCCTCGCACAACTCCATCTCTCTGACCTTCGCTATTCTGGGCTTTTCGGCGATTTTTTATCTCTGCTGACTCACGTACCAAACTTGGTGGATCTGGTTTTAATCGACCTCGACGATTCATCTGGACGATTTGAGACAGCTTATCGAACCAAATCTCCTCAGATCATGTTGAAGCATCTGCGCACATTTTTGTTTAGCGCAGTGGCTAGTACAGGACCGCTCATCTCTCATATCACTACAGGCACCAATACAGCACTATGGATTCGTGACTACAGGATCGGGAACAGAAATTTGTCTGCGTATGAGTTCGCAGGCCTACCTGCTATGACGAATGTGACAAAGCTCACTATCATGCAAGACCCTCCGCGGACCGCATTCATGTGCGTCGGCCCTTCGTCTGGCGTGTGTATCGATTATCACCTCGATTGGTCATCCGACTCTAAGGGGTTGCGGTCAGTGGTTGTCGCGGAGCTTTCGTGCCCTAATATCGAGGAACTGTGGGTCATCGAGAGAAACCAGGGCTGGTTTTATCCAGCCTTCTTTCACTCATGCGAGATGCTCGTCCTCCTGCGAGCACTCACTAGCCTGAACAAGATTGTCATACTCGAAGAGAGCCTCGAAAGTCTCTGCACCGCTCTCCGCCATGCCGCAACTGACCTCTCACCCGAGTGGAAACTTGCGACACTGCACGTTATCCTGCATGGAGGACGCGGACACGCGAGTATGGCACTTATCGTCTCTTGTGCCCCCGTTCTCAGATGGCTTGGTGTTGAGAATCTTGTCGTTGGATTCCTGCCGGACTACGACGGCCCTGGCACGGTACCCGAGGATGTCTTGCGAGCTTTCAACTCGGTCAAATGCATCCGCCACACGAAGATGCCGACGATGGACATCCCTGTGACATGTAAAACCAGTCCCCATCTCCTCTGGCCGTCTTGGGTGGATACCTTATCGAAGCTGCCGTGTTGAAAAATTATACGTGCGTATGTCGGCGAACTGCCTGCTCTTTGTGATGCGTCGCAAAGCGGTATTCTGGACGATTGAACAACATCTGTGTATCAATAATGCACTCCCTGCACTGAATGTATGCACGGATAGATGATTTTGTACAATATAATGAACAGGTTCACATGATCCAAAGAGAGGCATGGTATAGTGAGGTGAGGAATGTGAGGTAGGAGCGAGCCAAGAAACCACGGCTCACGAGTGTCCTACAAAGCTTTCAGATCGTCGACTGCAGGAGTCTAGCAATTCTGGATCAACGTTTTGTACTGCTTCAATTGTGTGTTCCAGACGACTTACCGCGGGGGAATTTTGCTGATCCGCGGGAGGAATGGTAGCTATGGGATTGACCAGAGTTGCCTCTGCATACGAGGCCATCCTTTTCTCGCGCCATGTATAATCTTCAATCCTGTCAGGCGCCTTTTTGGGGACCTCTGCAGCGGCATCGTTAACAATCTTACGGTCAGCTATGTCGCTTCTCTCTGGGCTTCCCTCCTCACTCCTCTCTGGGCTTCCCTTCTCACTCCTCTCTGGGCCTACCTTCACTTTTTCTGCGGCCTCTGTAGAGTCGTGACCAACAGTCTCTGTGCCCTCGTCTTCACTCATCTCGTGGAACTTCTCCGTAGTCTTTGTGGGGGTAAGAATAGTCGTCCTGTCGGTCTCAGACAATAGGACCTTCTCCTCCCCCAGCGCATTTTCTGCCTTCTCCTTTGCATACTGCGCCAGCCGTTCATCTCGCCATGCCTCCTCGTGCTTATGCAACCCACCAGGAAAAAATATGGGCAGCAGACAGAGCCCGGTCTGTGACTCTATCTCCTCTGCTTTGACCAGTGCCTTGAATACTTTGGGATCATAGGCGACACCGACATCTTCCAAATGGAATCCCATCGCCTCTGGAGAACGCCTTGCACCTGCAGCGAGAGCGTTCTGGAGCATCCCGATCGCGCCCACCAGAAGTGAATACCACGCGTCCTCCGCCAAACTCTTGACCGTGATGAGGTGGACGATCCATAAACCCGCCAGAACAAAGCTCGCGTACAGCGTAACCTTCGCTGCCCAGCCGTGCACCTCGCGCCCAGCTGCGAGATCTTCGAGCTTGACCCCGATTCCGTCGCTGATGATCACCATCGCACTGTGACTGCCATTCCCACTTGTGAGACATGCCACCTCGCGCTGGTTGTTCCCGATGCGGCGCGCCGCCCACTTCTCCCGCTGCCACTGCGGTAGCGCGCTGCCTGCGAGTGCCAGGAGCGTCCCGCCGGCGGTGATGATGAGCACCATCCAGTTGCCCCAGATCGCACCGGGGATAACCGAGATGCCCAGCTGCAGCACGATTGCAGCCACGCCCGACCAGTACACCCAGTCGCGCGCGGGAGAGCATGGAGTCGTGGTGGCGGAGACGCGGAAGAACGAGATGGCCAGCCCGTGATGGTGCTGATGCTCGCGTGGACGGCGATAGTCACGCAGGAGGCGGCCGAGGACCCAGGACTGGTTAGTGCGCGCATAGCCAGACTTGACATTGATAACGGTGATTGAGAAATCGGGTGGAGGCATGAGGTGCCTGTCTCCAACTGCTGAGACAATCGCATTGAACGCATATGCGACCCAGCCGAAGGAGAATGCGACGGGGGCCAGGGAGATACCGAAGATGAGGGGAGGGCCACCCGCGAGCTGAGCAATGGCGCATTGAACAATGTCCCCGCCAATAATCATGAGATACGTGAGAATGTCGTTAGGGTTTTGCCATTGCGTCTTGGCCGCGAATAACGAGGGCTGCAACTGGGAGACATCCCGCCTAGTGAACGGCGAAAGGGACGAGGACCAGACAACGGAGGGGGGCATGCTACAAGTGGGTGAAGCAGTTCAGCAGATAATAGCAGAAGACTGCCAAAGCAGACCGAAGGAAAAGGAGGGGCGCTTCATCCAGGAATCACACAAGAAAAGATATGCACATCAATGATCAAAGCTCGGGCTACTCGGTGGCAAATTGGCAGACAAAATAGCGCCCGCGCCACCCGCCCATCGGCAGATTAACGTATGGGTTACAATCGCATCTCGCAATTTAGGAATGCATCTATCGGCCGCTCCTCGATGCACAGGTCGCCGACAGCTACGAGGAGAAACAAGAGAAAACAGTTTAAGAACGTTCAAGATTCTCCATAACGACAATGCGAAGATATGGTACCGTGACATACTAGAAGCAATCAAAATGACACGCACATTCTGCAACCGAAATAATGCAACACTGAGAGGTCCTTTTTTATAATGAGACAACTATTCTTGTACTTACATTTGATATGGTCTGAGTTGCTTACCTATTGGCGTCGGAGTCGTTCTTGAGCACCACCTCGGAGGGTCGTGTCGACGTCAGGAAGCTGAGCACGCTCCTTATATCCACTGCTAGTCGCAGTTTCACGCTCGAGCTGTTGCAGTGTTCAGCTTGACACAGCTATGTGGTGGAGAAATTGAAAACCACCTACAGTATGCCTACTAACTGAGGGGCAGGCGAGCCTTGAGGCTGTCATCGGCACTGGTACTTGAAAAATTCGGATCAAATGAAATCAAACGCCCATCTCGACAGATCGCTATATTGACATTTGCAGGACACCACTCGACACCGTCAACAGTTCGTAGCATTAATTTTATGTCTGGTGGATTGCCAAGGTAAGTTGTGTGACAACTTGAACAATCTCTCCGAGTTCGAAGTTAGAGCACAGCTGCGCCGGCGCCAATATTAATGGCTTTCTCCAGTGAGTCATCTGGTACGCCGGCACAGCCTCTGCCGCTGCCATGCACGCTGTCGTCCTGTCGAATTCTGGTCAAGATAGAAATGTGCTGGAACTTGAGCTTGATCTATGATCCTTCTATTTGCCTGTAATCGTATATGCATAACACTCCAGCTGTCGCGCACCCTTGAAGACTTGAACGTTGAACGTTGAACGGTGGGTCCTTCACGCGTTGCGATGCAGATGCGTTGAATGCTAATTTTTTTGGAAGTCAATCTAAATCATTCCTTCACGTTTCTTTGGATGGCAATTCAGGTGGGTGTTTACTGCCTTGTCTAGTTGGCAAGGTGACTCCGTACTGCGGACTTCCTGAACATACAGCAAGCTATCGCATGTCCTCGTCCACGCTATTTCTGGCTCCGCCTGCACTGCTTCGTACAAGCCTACGGCCGCGCGTTTACACGCAAAACCTAAAGTTCTCACTTGTTCCTTGTGCTTGCCATCTCCTGTGAAACCTTGCACACCCCGCCTGAATCTAAGTTCGGAACTGGTCAACCGAAGTTTGCCGCTAGTCTTTGGCTGTCTTCCACGCTTTGTAGCTCCAAGTCCGAGTGCTTTCCCTCGTCGGCCGACGTGGACCTGCCACTGCTCGCAATACGAACTTGCTTCTTATCCCACCTGCTGAGGGCGTCTTTGGACTGTCTTGTAAAGTTGTATCTTCCTTTAGAGTTTCCTCTCTTGTAGACTCGGTCCGGCTGATAACAAGCGCTCCGTGCTGCTGACTCAGCACGGAACGAAAGCGTGTGACGAGAAACGTGTTGACGGTTGACCGGGACCCTTTGTAAACTTATTTTCCTCCGTATTGCTTGACCGGCTGGAAACAGTAGCTACGACGACACTACAAGACTGGACACTGGCAGTGGATACGGAGCGATATAACCCTCGTGAAAGCAACACAGCTGATGCCATAGATGCTTGCTGTTTGCGGCCTTACTGCTGGAATCAGACCGTCTATTGATAGGTACCAAGCGAATACCAGGAATGCATACCCACAAGCCCTAGATGTCCCGAGCTAGGCACGAATTACCGCACATTGTGGGTGCGAAGTTGAGTCTAGGCGTGTATCCGATGCCCGTGCATGCCGCCGTGTTGGGTACACAAAGGTAACTCCAAAAGTGGTAAGTGGTACTTTGTATTTCGGGGATTCTACCTACAGCACGCCGAAGCTCCTCCGTGCCGTTGGCAATTCATTCGCTGGTCTGCCGAAGGAATTATATTTCAAAAAGCAACAGCAGTGTTGTGCTCGATACGGACACTCCTTTCACCGAGCGAGAATGAGGATGGCGTGACTACGTATGGGTGCACTGACATTCGTGAGACTGTTCACTCGCGGAGTTGTATAAAGTCTTTCGTGGCTGATCAGAGGCCCATCGTCCACAGATCCTGTTTCAAGCGCAACCTCTTTTAACTCGCTCTTTTACCAGCCTCTCAAGGTTCCTTTTGTTTCCCCGCCAACATGGTAGCCACCTTCGTACTGTTCCGTACTTTCTCAGTCTTTGCCCTGTTCTTCGGTAGTGAGTGCTAAAGGCACCTTACTTGTCAAGTGCTCACCCTTAATCAGATACTCTCTTGGCACAAGCTGCCCCGGTTGGATCATACGGCAATGCTCGGGACAGCCTTCTTGTTCTCGATTCCCGAATTCCAGTACGTGTCGTCCACGTAGCTGATCTCGTAGATACTGACTGTTTCTTTGTCACTAGCTTGATCTAGCAAAGAGGAGTGGATGTTTCGTTCGTGGGGACTTCTCCGGATGCCTCAGAGAAGACACTGTAAGACCGACCTGTCCACCTTCTGTTGAGGTCAGTTCTGATTTTAATATGTTCTAGTCCGAAGGGGAGGTCATAGACGTAGCGCCTGAGCTTGATGTGCGCGTCGTGGAGCCTGTAGAAGTGGCACCTTCTGAGGAGGTAGGCGTCCGTCTTCACTTTTCGACGTTAGTGGTTGATATTGATATACTGCGGTCATTAGTCCAGCAAAGACAAGAGATCTGGATGCTTCATGCGTGGCTTTTTCGATGGATGTTTGCGGGAAGATTCTGCTGATGTAAGTCGGAATTATCTTACTGTCGTTTTTAATTTATATAATTGGCGGTATATCCAGTCCGTCGAGGAAGAACCTGCTGCTCCCCCCGAAGCGCCAGTGGACATGTAGGTTCTAGAAACGGTATGCGGTGACCATCACGCCTTTAACCGCGATCCTTACTTTCCATTGATCCTAGGCTGATATCAGGGCAAGAGCGGCTTCTTCCTCTCTGCTTCTTCAGGTCGTCTCCATCGCAAACTGCATGATCCTTCGTCTAATCGTCCTCACTCCCGTTCACTTATCACATAATTATCCCGCTGTCGCAGGAGAACCTTCGCTATTCTGTGTCCATTCTTTTCTCGTTCACCCGCCTTTGTACCGTCTATCATTGTGGCAACCGTTCTTGTCCCTAGCTCGGGCCAGCACAGGCTTGCGCCAATTCCGACTGGGAGGACAAGCGGTTCACATGTATTACTTACGGAAGGTCTAGTTACTGTCTCCATAGCGCGGTTGCGTCCTGTATCCCTAGAGCTCGTTGTCTGTTGTCCTGTTACCAGTGTTATCGTTCTACGCTATCGTCTTGTCCTCGATTTGTATGTACCCTAGGAATATGTTCTTTAGTTTCATTTCCCCAATAAAAAAAGTTATTTTACGGAGTACGAATTGACCACCGCAGTTTATGCAACCGACACTGTTCAGTGTTATGTCTATGATCTGTGACCCGGTCTCGACCAGATGAAGATGGGCGCTTAGCATATGGGCGCTTTTTGAGAGCTCTGCCCGAATATGGAAGGCATTCAAGTTGAGCAGTCAGCCATCCTCCAGCCTCCACCATGTCTGCCTCCATAAAAATCACGATGCACGAGGGGAAGCTTTCCGCATCTTCCTCTCATTCTACCATCTCCTTCCTGGTCGTCAAGAGCTCGCCGTATCCTCCACACTCTTTCAAGATTCGCCCGCGAAGACATCCACACTCATTCACCACCGGACATCCCCCATCTCCCGTACTTCGTCGCCATCATGCGTTCATCTGCCCCCAGCAAGTTTTCCCTTTTCTTCGCAACTGCCGCGGCAATGCTTGCGGTCCCCACTCTCGTAGGAGCGAACCCCGCCGTGTCGCACCCCACTACCACGTCCAACCTGGTCGCACGTACAGGATCGCTCAACCCCGTCGGCATCCTCCTCAACACCTTTCATCTCTCCAACCCAGTGCCTCAGACCAATGCTCAGCGCATGGCCCGTGGTCTCCCGCCCAACAGGCCGCGTTTCCAGCACTCTGGTCAGCCGCCTTTATCCATCCATTCTTCGTCCGCTACAATCACTGATCACATTCTGTGATATTGCAGCGAGGCGCATCGCACCGAGAGCGTCCCCCGCTCCCGGCGCTTGCAACACACTGACGGGAACGCTCCATGTCGCCGGCACGGGCATCGACCCCAACACCTTCGTCTCCCGTGTTCCCAACCAGTACGGCGAGTACGGTGTCACAACCGACACTGGAGACGCACTGCGAGTGCAGTTCACGACTTGTAACACCGGCCTTCCCCTTGACCTGGTTACGCTGGTTAGTATCTCATCCCGCCCGCATTGTCCTTGGGCTGACGGTTATCGACGGTAGAACGGTATCGCGGACTTCACTCTCCTCGGTGGTATCACCGGCTATGGCAGCTCGTCCTCGGACCTCACCACGGGCTCAGACAACTACGCGTACCTCGGCGGTACGACCCAGAGTGCGTCTCATTCGCTCTCGTCTGGCACCAACTCACTTACCGAATAATTCTGACAGCCGCCCCGCATGCTCATCCCTCTGCGGGCGACAGCTCGTACTCCTTTGCGACGGGTATGGCGGAGAACGAAGAGAGCGCAATCTGGCAGGTCGACGCAGCGAGCGGCGCGGTCATTGCCCGGTGGATCAACAGCGATGGCGGTTAGTATACTTCCAAAGTGGGACGCGACGACCGGTGGCTGACATCGGTGGTATTTCGATAATGCAGGCGCACCTACGACATACCTGGTGTACAATACAGCGAACAACGTCATCGTGCTCACCGCTGATCCTGGCGCGTTCGCGGCAAACTTCGGACCCGGGCCTACTGTGGTGCGTAGACGTCTCCCCACTCTCCACGCAGAAACAATCAGTGCTGATCATGCTTATACAGACACTCACCTTTGTCGAGGGTTAAGGGTAGCGGTGGATATGTGCAGTAGACGCACGGCAACTGAGGCATCTTATCGCAGGGATCATGAATTGGGAATAGGATATACCATGAGGGCTACTACGTTATCCGTCACTTCGTGTATGATCTTCGTGTATGATAGCAGAGGAAGAGCTCGACAGCGAGCCACACTTCAGGACGTTGATAGAAAACCGGACGAGAGAGAGAGAAACATTCTAAAGGCACGAGCAGGGAAGCAGTAGATAATCAGTATACACGCAATAGCTTAGCGTCTAGGATCTAAACATCTGGCATCTGTCAAATACAACCCATCAACGTTCAACGACACAAGCCAAGGGACATTGATCACACTTAGAGACTCCCATATGGGGCAATGCGTCGAACGCACTTCGGCTGCGGCTCGTCCCAATCGTTGTCGGGTGCAAAGAAGGGGGAAGGGAAGTCACCCGGTTCTGTCGTAGGCGGCGCACCAGGCGGGTATTGTGGTGGAGGGTTCGGGGACTCTCCAGGCGGACGAGGACCACCGGGCCTGGGAGGACGGATGACGAAGTATGGCCAGGTAGGCAGGTAGCACTCCTCCTGCGGTATCGTAGATGCGTGTCAGCGTACTTTTGATCATCAAAAGTTAAGGGCGCACCTCAATCGAACACGCGGGGCGGCACTTGACCCACACGCTCCAATCCAGCCACTTCATCAGGTAGTCAATGTCAATAGACCATTTCTGCAAAATTTCGGAGACAATATCTTCGTCTGCATGCTGATCGACATCCATCCCAGACTTTAGCTCATCCAACCCGCCTTCGACGCCCTTAGCCCACATATTCGTCACGACGCGGCAGATCTCACGACTGGTAGAGCGCACTGCGCTGAGCAAGAGGTGCTCGGATTGCGTAAGCCGGTCCGCGAACGCAGGAGTGGTGATGTACGCCGTATGCGCGGTCGAGCAGAAGCGGAAGACCGGTGCCGCCCACGCATGTAGAGTGGCGGCGTCGTCAGTCCCGTTTGAAGGCACTACGGAGTGCAGGATGTAGGGAGTGAGCATGGTACGCAGCTGGTCCTGCACCTTCTTTGCCGTCTCTAATTTGGTACTCGGATCAGTCCCGTTCAGAATGTATTGTACCAGCTCGAGCCTGTCGGCGTAGCGGTCCACTACCACACGCAGGAGCGTCTCCCAGTCTACCCCACTCCCACCAAGCTTGCGCCGCAGTAGGTCCTCCAGCCGCACCGTAGAAGCGATGATGTCCTTGTGTGAAATGCCCTGCAGTCGGTGGTACCACCGCTCCTTACCCTCACGCATCGCGATAAGGCTTGGGACGAGCTCCGTGTCGTAGAACGAGAGTATGCGCGAGTAGTCGAGCTGGATGCGCTTGTCGCCAGGGTAGCGGTTATGCCAGTGCCCAGACCAGATTACTTCGTGAATAGCTGTAGGCATCGTGTTGTTGTCGGGTGCGAACGTGTTGGGGTCCTTGTCGGGTGCGAATGCGTGTGGGTTGGTGTCGTTCCGTTCCGGAGGCGGAGGTCGGTTACCAGGTCCACGCGGTGGTCTGTTGGTTGCGAGATTGAGGAAGGAGACGGTTTCGACGCCGGACGTGAAGTCACAGAGCATGATCTCGCTGGAGTGGTCATTACATGAGAGACTCGCGAAGACGAGAACATGATAAGAGCACTTACAAATCCATCTCCATTCTGAAAAGAAGCAATGAGAAAAGTTAACATTGTGTTCCTTATCCCGCGTCGATACACTGACCTGAGGAAACCATCTATTCCGAACGGTTTCCCCCACTCGCAGAGCCTAGCAATCCTCTCCCTCTCGTTTCTTAACGTCATATTCGGCGGGTTAATCCGACCCCACGTAATGATATCCTGAGTGTCGAACGGACCGTTGGTCATTTTGGCAGCACTGCTTCCGTCGAAGTACAAGATTTGCAATGGACGCGTGGCTACCAGTGTAAGATGCCAACACCCTGTGTCAGTCTGGCCACGACAGAAGAGGAATGAGTGCTCTGGATCGGTAGCTATGGTTCAAGTACAGGTTCGTGTCGAGGAGGCGGCGGTAAACATCAGTATTTACATCTAAGCGAAGCAATCGAACATACCGGTCCACTCCGGAACAGTGGGTACTTCCGATGTAGCAGCGCCGTGGTACAGTAATGTCCCCGTAGGCAAGATGCCTGGTACAATATTGTGACCTAGACAAGAGTACGATGAAGCCATACGCAAGCGTACTGTACAGACGTCATGCTCACCGTTCCGCAGGCGAGTGTTCGGCCAGTGCTGCAGGAACGAACCGGCTGTGTCAAAAATCCAGTGACCTGTAGCGTTGGAAGGAGGTGTCGCGCTCAGATTCCACTCGCCCAGATTGACGTCACCTCCTACATGAGCTTCGGGCGGAGGTGAGAAACCGAACGGAATCTGCGCTGCCTGCACCATTGCGGCAGCACAGGACAGACTGAGGGCAAAGTCGACCAAGCGCATCGTTCAGAGCTGCGCACGCCAGTAACCCGCAGGTTACTTACAGCGTTATCGAGCGTGGAGACAATGCGCAGCTGCGTCCTTGATGGATGAAAGCCACCGTGACCGAGTCACTGCAAAAGTCGATCGCGTCCGAGCAGGCACACACGTGGCAGAACCAGGCGGTTATCAGATAGAGCAGAATTCAGGACAACCTCCTAGTGTTAGGATGAGATAGCTGAGTACGAAGCTTGTCGCTCAGCACCTACACTGACAGAGATGTAGAGCAGGAGACAGTAATGGAAGAACAGAAAGGCGATCTCACGATATAATAATGTCTGGCGTACACGATGAGGCTAGATCAATTCCTGCCCCTGAAAATCACGAATCAAATATGATTGCAATTGCTTCAGGGAGTCACTTCGATATGAAAGAGAACCTGAGCTGGCGAGGTCTTCGTCGGTGAGCTGGAAACATGGTGGAAATGAGTGGCTTCATGTCAAGTGGCACACGATGATGTCTAGTCACACAGACTGTCACAACTGCCGAGTCACAGACCTTTATGGGCGCTTGGCGGTTCTCTGTCTCTCGAGCGGCTGGTCGCGCAGAACTGTTACCACTCTTACGCCGCGGAGGATTTGCCTAAGATAATCCTTTTTATTTTCGCACGCCATTCTGGGGGTGAAACTCTGCGGTAGACTTTTCGTACCGTAAATCGCGAGTGAGCACTCCTTCCATGTCTGCATTGACTCAGAGACGCGATTCTACTTCCCCGTCTTGGACGCTAAAATTGTATCGTTTTTGTGCAGAAGTGTTGAATTACAGGTTTATAATCTGACAGTTCTGTTGACGGTGAGTGTTTTTTTTCTGCATCAGCTCTGTTGGTTCAGTCATGACAATGTAACCCGATACAGCTCTAAGACTTATTGTAACATATCCATGCACTCAGTACCATGGTGAGCATTTTGTTGGCTTTCTAGTATAGCCACTCATAAGTCTCTCCTTACCCTCAGACCGTCTGCACAGATTGCGGGGGGACGGTCATCGAGTACGATGCCGCGGCCGGTAATGGCTTCTGCGTGCAGTGCGGAACGGTCGTTGAGGAGAACACGATTGTCAGCGAGGTGTGTGGCTTGTTCCTGGAAGCTTATCTGAACATGTCACCGAAAGATGCTTTATCAGGTAATGTTCGGCGAGACGAGTACCGGTGCAGCGATGGTACAAGGAAGCTTTGTTGGGCAGGGAGCAAGTACGTTCGAACGTGCATTAATCAAAGTCCCTCATTGATGACCCCCCCTAGCCCGTGCTAGGATGGGAGGACCGTTCGGAAATAGGGGAAGTAGTGAGAGCAGGGAACAGACTATCGCAAATGGTAAGCTTTGGTTTCATTTAGCTGATCGTTTCCCATCATCCTCTTCTCTAGCAAGCAGAAAGATTTTCCAGGTCGCAACGGTAATGAGACTTTCTGAAGTAGTCTCACTGGCTGCGACGAGACTGTACACGCTCGCCGTTGAGCACAAGTTCACAAAGGGGCGCAAGAGCATGAATGTTGTCGCCGTGTGCTTGTACGTTGCGTGCCGGCAAAAAGAAACACGGAACTACATGCTTATCGACTTCTCCGACCTTCTCCAGGTGCGTCCCTCACCATCAATCTTTCCACACACACTTATGTCAATAATCACCCGCATGCCCATATAGGTGAATGTATTCGAGCTTGGGCACACATACCTGCAGCTCGTGCAGACGCTCAACCTGCGGCTCCCCCTTGTCGATCCATCTCACTACATCTCGCGCTTCGCCGCGCTGCTCGAGTTCGGCGAGGAGACGCACCAAGTCGCAATGGACGCAGTGCGGCTCGTGCAGCGCTTCGACCGCGACTGGATGACGCGCGGGCGGCGACCCGCAGGCATCTGCGGCGCGGCACTGCTGCTTGCCGCGCGCATGAACAATTTCCGCCGCAGCATCGCCGAGATCGTACAGGTCGTCAAGATCGCGGACACGACGCTGAAGAAGCGCCTCGAGGAGTTCAAGTGTACGCCTTCCGGCGCGCTCACGCTCGCGGACTTCCGAAGCGTGTGGCTCGAGGAGGAGATGGACCCTCCAGCGTACACGAAGGGGAAGGAGAGGGAAGAGAAAGATAAGGAAGGGCAGGATAATGATGGAAAGAAGACGAAGAAAGGTAAGGGCAAGGGCAAGGGAAAAAGGAAGAAGCGCAAGAGGGGCGAAGAGGATGAAGGTGAGGCCGACGATGAAGCTCAGGACGAAGCTCATGAAGGGGAGGAGATCGAGGTTGCGCCGGAGCCGCTCCCGCATCACCAAATTGATCCTGCCCTACTCAACCAGGGAATCCTGACGGGAACTACTCAGCCTCCCCTATTCTTTCCTGAATACGACGAGACCGACTCCAACATCGACCCAGCACTGCTTGATCATGAACATCCTTCTGCCCCACCGCCAATACCTATGCCTCAGAATCTACTACCAGACAAAGTCCTAGAGATGGATCTGCCACCGCCCTCCCCTATGGAGGAAACTGTGAACGCTGTTGTCGCAGAAGAGGTCTCGGACTTCCTCGCGAACGCGCAGGGTGCCGTGCTAAGCTCCGCGCTAGCCGAGGCAGAGCAACGGCGCTTGGAGCATTTTATTGGCGACGACGAGCTGATGGGCCTGGACGAAGATGAGCTAGACAGATTCCTCCTCACTGAGGAAGAGGTGAAGATAAAGGAGCGCGTCTGGGTTGAGATGAATCGAGAGTATCTGGAGGCTATTGCCGGTGAGTACATCAAGAGATTACGCGTCTGTAACAAATTGCATGACTTTGCTGAATGGTATGCTATAGCGAGAGGCGACCAGCAAGGTGAGGCGAAGGACAAGAAGAGTCGCAAGGTTCGTATCCCGAGCAGGGCAGATCCTTTACGCTCTGTTGTCTATTTGTCTTTGTTGATATCCGGTGGCTGATCGCATCCTACTCCAGCGACGGAAAACGAGCAACAAGCCGCGAGATGCCTCAACGCCGCACGGAAGTACAGCAGCTGAATCTGTACGCAACCTTCTCAAGAAAAATCCGAAGTACAGCAAGCGGATCAATTATGACGCGCTCAAGGACCTCTTCACGGAAAGTACCATCAAGACGCCGAGCACGCCAGGCCTAGATGACAAGGACGACGGCCTGTATGTCATGGACGACAAGAGCGACGGAGAAGGCATGCTCATCGTCGAGGAGGGCGGCGGCGGGGTCGGCATGGCACCATCTCAGTCCAGAAATGTTACCCAGCGGGCGCCAGTTGCTGATACCCATCAAAGTACAGAATACGTTGATCTCGGAGAGGCGGATGAGGATGCGGTTGGGGAGGACGATGTGGAGGAAGGAAGCGATAAGGGTGAGGACTATGGAGAGTGGGATGCATACGAGCAGGAGGTCTGATCTGCTTCGAACGGCGTTCGAGTCTGGTAGCATATGTTGTACTGCACTCTTCTGTATCGTAGAGCTGTATCCGTAGTCAATTGTCGCGCTTCAAGTTCAACAAGCATTCCATGATCTCCTGGTATGTGAGGCGTCGTGCAATACGCGGTAACAGCAGCAATTAATGGCAGGGTGGCTCGGCAGCACGCGGTGTAATCCAAAAATCTGGAATTAATTGCCGGAAGAAAATCGCCGGCGCATCTCAGTGCATTTTCCGTGAAAATGCTGCCGCCGGAGCCGAGTCCGGCAGTGCCTGCGCATCATTGGCCTTTTCAGAAATAAGCACAGACTGTACGTAGAGATCGTTAGTCACAGAAGATGTCGATATATACATGACAAGGTGCTCGTGTAAAATCGATGGTGCAGCGGAAAGAGGTTCCCCGCAGGAGAAACATGAGATCAGACAGATATAGCACACCAACCCAATGCAGTACTCTAATTTCTGAGTTTGTGGGAAGACGCACTCGAGACGCACTCAAGAAGCACACGGCCACGGATGTGGGCAGGCGGATCTCCTCAGCCTCGCTGATCGTCCCACACCGCAAGTAACCCAGCTGCACTGATAGACTTCTGGAAGCGTGTTCCGGAATCTTCCTCACGGAGAATGAGGCAAATTGAGTTTGCAAGACGATTACGTCGAGGTGAGGTGGGCGGGCAACAAACAGAGGTCAGGATGGCCAGACGCATAACGTACGGATCTTCCTGATTCCAAAAGGCGATACGTGTGAAGTTGAGCACGCCATCGCCTGCGAAATATGTAGTGAACGTACGCACCTCCCATGGACACACAATGACAAAGCACAGTCCGGTGGAGCCATACCCGTGCCGTTACGCTCTGTGTCCGTGCCGCACACGCAGATCCTGCACCTCCCGCTGCAGCCGGTCGCTGCGTTCCTTTTCCTGCAGCCTAGATGTGGTGAGGCGTGCGACCTCGCCGTGGAGAGCAGCCATGCGAGCCTTCTCGTCCATACGCGCCTTGATGACGAGCGGGAGGACTTTGCCGAGCTCCATCCAACGGACGCACGCCTGTGTCATGCGCGCGCGGCGATCATCGACAATGCCCGCGCGGTCGAGAGTGATGCCGAAGGCATCCGGCCAGCGGAGTCCCGCGATGATCTCGCAGCCGAGCGCGCAGAGCTGGCTGAGGAAAAGCACGACGGGCTCGACTCGGTCAATGTCGGACACACCGACGTACAGCTTCTCGAGCCGCGCGAACTGCGCAAGCGTTGGCTGTGTCGGCAGCGGTACCTGCAGCCCCGTCGCGTTGAGGTACAGCCCGAGCCTGCGCAGTCGCGGGCAGTGCCGCGCGAACGGAAGCAGCGCCTTGGGCGTCAGAGAGGATAGAGAGAACTCGATGATCGCGTCGCAGTTCAGAATGAACGTCTCGATGTAGGGTAGGCCCGTCGCGAACTCCTCCATGTCCCGGTCGGTCAGATTAAGCGGGTAGTCCCATCGGAACTCGAACCTGGTCAATCGACGGCAGGACAGGAGCGGACGGAATGTCTCCATGCTCGGCCTCTCGTGTACGGGAGGAGGCAGGACTGATATGGGAGAATCGGGGTGGATCATGAAGTCGACGTGCAGCTCGCTCAGCAGATGACAGCGGTCCTTGATGACGGTGAAGAACTGCTGGACTACAAGTGGGTCGACGACGGCGAGGACATGCACACACAAGTAGGTGATATTGACGGGTGAGAACCGGCCGCTGAATAATTGTATCGCAAATGTGATTTGAGAGCACATACACAAAGCCTTCAAGGAAGGAAAGGCATGGTCGTGCAATATCGGAGCGAATTGCGACACATCAGTCCGGTCGCCGTTCCCAAGCTCGATAGGTGGAGATAGAGAAATCGTATCCAGGTGGGGCAGCTTGGACAGTTCCGCTGCGATGCGAGACGTGAGGCCATATATGGGGGCCACAAAGAGCTGCAGGTGACGCAGTCCGCGTATGAAACGAACTACATCCTCTTCAGTATCGCGTATTGAAGACCTCTGGGGTAGGCGCAGAGCCAAATACGGCAGGAGTGGTATCCGCCTTATAATCTGCTGAAAATATTCAGCCAGCGGGGGAGCGGTAACATTGTATACACCAATCTCGAGCCTCTTGAGCCTTGCGTGCATAAATACAACTGAAAGTTGCTGCATTACTGGTGTGCTCGCGCACCAGGTAAGAGACTGTAGGTTAGGAAAGATTTCGGACGTGGGATACCAGTTTGCTAAGAGATTCAGAGCGCTTGGATCGACGCATCTGCGTCGAGTCCTTGGAACATATTCCTCATATGATAATTTGCGCACACGGCATGCGTAGCGTTGGAATCTATCCCAGTCCCTTCGTGTGGGAGCTTTCTTGAATTTCTGAGAGTAAACTTGCTTGATATCAGTGGACTTCATGTAACGAAACGGCAACTGACATGAATGTAGAAAGCCTGACCGTGAGGCAAGGTGGTAGACTTTTCTGGCCTTCCGAATGGGGCCAATAAGGCAAGGAGTTGCATGAGATCGTCAACGTCGCGCCACAGCATGTCGAGCGCGATTTCGGACCAACGCCTGCATACGCAGGCTGATCTGGCGAGCGAGCGCATGTCGAGGTGAGCAAGAACCATGATTAGCAGCTCATTTATGGCCCAGGGCGACTTCGCAGCCTTCGGACTGGCCATGGTGGTGTTGATGCTTCGGTGCAGAGGCCCTGCGGAGGATCTAAGTAGGATGAGAAGGAAACAGGGCCGGTCTATATACCGGCCTTTGATCAGCGTCGGCCAATGACCTCGGGCTTATCTCAGCCCTCGGTAACCGGCTCCCGGCGTCAAACCGGCCTCCTTTTTGCTCGAATATTATCCGTGGACCGGAATTGAACCGATCATACCACCAGGGTCAATGTTTATCGCCCGGCCGGCTACTCCAGTGTCTGTTTTTCTTCTCATTCCCTCTGATTCATCGCACAATCGAGGATGCCAGTTATTCGAAGATGTAATGTTGAGCGCAGCTGTTAAACGATATCTCCAGCGTACGCAGAGCGAGGGCTGGGCACCACAGACGCGTGCGCGTTATCGAGATTCTGTCATCCGGTACAGTAGCTGCTGACCCGCGATCGACTCGCTCGCCAAGTTCAAAGATTGTTTCAAGGTTTTTTTTAACACCGTCTCTTCTGGTTATCGCTTTCTCTCCTTCGGCAAACCACGCAGGCGGAGCTTACACCACTCTTCTACTATTAGGTAACTTGCTATATGTGAGGACGGCTCATTTTATTTCATGTCGGTTGTGAATGGTTGTTGGAGCTCATTTGACTGGTGTCGTCAGTAGTTAATACGCAGGGAATTCACGCTCGAGATTAGTCCCGAGCGCTGTGCACTACACCCTGACTCAGACCCTCTGACTCGTCGTGCAGAGCCTTAACAGGGCGCACAAAGCATTGTGAAGGGTCCCAATCACGGAATTTATCTGTCACCCACGGTACGGAGGATAACGACGACGACAGCTGGGCGCGCAACAGCGGTCCTGCGCTAGGGGAGCCTTCCCAATGTCTGCGCGCCTCTCTCATCCTGGTTTACCGTTGGATATTCTGCCTAATGCTGGGGACTGCGTACCCGCATTCACGAGGATGTCCACCCGTGTAGAGTTTTCGGGATGGTGCATGTGCTCAAGCTTCAAGGTTCGGAAATCATTCCCATGCCGAAATAACGGATGTCGACAGTATGGTGAAATCATATCGTAGGTGAGATATATTTACACGCTCAGCGTTATGAACGCTTCGTGCAGAACCACCACCACAGCTCGAGGAAGAGAGAAGCACATAAGGTTAGCTAGTCCTAGTCAGATGGAGTAATCATGATGCTTCCAAACAATGTTTATCCCCTTATCAAACTTAGCGTGCACGGCCCCGCGTCCCATGGCCCACCGGCATGCCCAAGGCGTGCCCATCGGAAACAGCCACCGCAATCACAATCACAGCACCAGGCACGACGAGTCTACGGACATGGGGAGCGTGGCTCGCTCCTCGAGGACGCGGCAGCGCACGCGCAGGTCCTCCACCTCGCACTCGAGCACACGGCGCCGCTCCCGCTCCTCCATGCGCAGGCGGGTGAGCAGCGGGAGCACACGGTCGACCTCCAGCCAGCGGTCGTACCACTCCGGCCCGCGTTGACTGAGTTCTTCCGAGAACGCGGTGTTCTCCACCTGTTCGAGGTCGTCCTGCCACGAAAGGCCTGCGCTCAATTTGCACCCAAGCGGACAGAGCTCGCTCAGGAAGAGGGCGACCGGCCCCGGCTCCGTGATGCTTGACAGCCCGAAACACAGCTTTTTCAGCTGGCGGAATGGCTGCATGAACGGCGAGTTCGTCTCGTGCGAAAATGCGTCTAGGTCTGCGCTTGTCGCGGACACGAACAGGCCGAGCTCCCGGAGCTTGGGGCAGTGTTTTGCGAAGGGGATGAGAGCGCGGAGTGTGAGGGGTTCGGTGGCGATAGGTATCGGGATGGGCTCGCAGTCGAGCTCGAGCACCTCGAGGTCTGGCCATTTCGACGCGAGTTCTTCGATTTCCTCCTGCGTGATCAGCAGCGGCAAGTACCACTGCAGCTCAAATGCGATCAGCTTCGGACATGCCAGAAGAGGGCGCAGGTCGTTGAAGCTCAGCATCTCCGATGGGGGCAGTGACCTCGTCGCACTGTCGATCAAGTCTGCTGCCATATGCAGGTCGAGGTACAGGTGCGTCAGCAGCTTGCAATTCTCCACCATCGTCTTCAGGAACTCGGTCACGACCGCGGGCGGCACCATGGATAGGGCGTGGATGTAGAGCGACGTGAGATTCGTGGGGGCATAGGTGCCCTTGAGGAACCTGTTCATATCCGCAAGATGCGCGCTCAATGAGAGGTCGCACAGCGAGGGGAACGCGCCCCGCTCCAGCATCGGCGCGAAATGCTGAACGTCTGCGAGGTCCCCTTTTCCCTGTTCGGAAAGATATTCGAACTGGATGGTCCCCAGGTGCTGCAGGGCAGACAGTGCCTCAGCCACGCGGGAGTTGTGACAGTACAGTGGGAGGACGATCTTGCTCAATTTCGGCAGACTGCGCACAAGCTCGCAGAGCGCGCTCTCGATCTCGCGCACTGGGAAGCAGAAGCACAGGTCCAAGCACGTCAAGTTAGGCATGCGCTCTGCGATGTCCTTGAAGAAGTCTGCAATGGAGTATATGGGGGTCTCGTACAGGTGGGTGCGGAACTCCTTCACGCCCTCGTGCATGAACATGAGGGAGACGCGCACGTTCGCGGGAGTCGACCGCCATTCGAGAGACTGTAGATTCGGCAGAATATTGAGTGTGGTGCGCGTACGCGCTATCTCGTCAAAGACGGCCTGACCGAGCACATGGACCGTCTTGCCGTTTGTAAACGACAGCTTCCGCACTCGACGCGCATAACGCGTGAATCTCCTCCAGTCGTCTGGACTCAGCGGCTTGGCGAACGCCTGGCGAAGCGTTAGACAAAGCTGACAGCAAAGTCTTTGACTGACTCACCATATAGAAATACGGACTATCCTCCGTAATAAACGGAGAAAGAAGACGGAGTAAGCGATGTAATTGGCTCACTTCGCGCCACAAAACGTCGAGAGCGATCTCAGACCATCTCTTGCAGACGCAAACATTTGTCCTGTTTGATTCCTCGTCCAGAAAGCCGAAGACAAGCTCAATTATCTCTGGGATTTCGAGAACTCTGTGCAGGGTTGAATCATATCCGATAGAGGCCACCATTGAGGCTGAAAGCCTTTCCGAATGTGCGACTGGAGACAAGGGGAAGGTGTTGGTGAATCTCAGATTCAGCTCCCGGTTAAGTTGTTTTCACGTGATCTACATGAGCGTTTATGCATTTAAATAAATCAGTGATTTATGCCCCGAGAAAAACCTCGTTTCAGCTTTCATAATCTTGTGTACAGGCAACATGACGCGAGCGAACGCCGTTAGGACATGAGTCTTCAAAATTTCGGAGTGGAAGTGTCTGGAGGAACACCACCGCCAAATTTACTGTTGCTCAAGCGCAAAGTTTCTTTATGCTTCTGGGAACATTTGAGTGCTTACGTTTTCTTGCTCGGAGAGCAAGCTCTCCCGACCCAAAAGTGAAAGTGTCCTTTTTACACAGTTGTTGTGCATTATTTGTTTTGTGGCAATTCTGTCCGCTCCCGTCTCCGAGCAAGTTCCGCCGCCGCCTGGCGGCCTTTCGAGTGGCAATATTCGGAGGAATCTGAAGTGGGTATCCGTTTCCATCAATAATATTCGTAATGAATCCCGCCGCCATTTCATTGGAAAGCGCGGCCGTATCCCAGATCACAGGTGCCTTTTAGGGATATGCTTCACTTCGCTCTCCGGACAGTTCTAGTCTCGTTTTTCCACCGTCATGATGCCGCTTCTACAGCTTACAATCGGTGAGCGATAGTGAGATTTTGTATTATGCTGCAGTTTGAATAACGCGGCTGTAGACGCGAAGAGACAACTCTTTGCTCTCCGATCAACCACCTTCCCCTAGAGATTCTGGGTCATATCATCCAATTCGTCCTGGAACCTCATTGCAAATATCCCTGGATTGGTACAAAGGACTATGGTTCACTTGTATGGCAAACTTGCCTGGATTTCTTGCGAGATGTCTGCGTGACGCATGTCAGCCGTCATTTGCGTGATATTACAACGGATCTACGTTTGTTGTGGGCACATATTCGGACTCGGAGTCTACTTTGGGTACGGAAACCTATGTTCAATATTCCAGGATGGAGCCTTTACACGTTCACATCAAAAGCTGCGGATTCAAATTCATTCGCTACTTCATTAAGTTGAACACATGACATCTTCGAACGTTTACGTGGGAGGGCGAGTGCGAATGCCTCATTCGGAATTTGCTCACATGTTCCGGTGCGCCCCAACTTGAATCTGTTGTCCTTCACGGGGGAGCTCATGAAGGTGAGGATATCCCAGACAACTTCCTTTGGTTTTGCGATGATCTCTCGTGCCTCCAGTTATCTATCTGGGGCCTGGCATGGCTGTTGGGGAACAACTTCCTTCCCTCACCCAGCTGGATCTCTCGTTCCTGTATTATCATGGCGTTGGCTCGGAGATCATGTCTTTATTGCACCAAGCACCGAATCTTGCGGACTTGATTCTGTCAGGTTTGACACTTGGACCATGCCATCTGACTCTCGGAGGCTCCTATGGTCTCGCTGAAGCACTTGCACACACTGACTATCAGATCCATGGAGAGTGCTTCGATTCAAGATAAGGTGAAGCACTGAAGTTGCAGAAACAGGGTGAAACACCCTGCCCCAGACACGTATCGTCACAGAATGTCGTAGTCACAGCTACACGTCACGTGTACGTTCTTCCGAATTGTCTCATTATCCAAACATCACATACAGATACAGCACACCTTTGCATATTCAATACATCAGATCAATGAAGTCAATACAGCTGCGAGGACCTCTCCATGCCCAAGCCAAGACTCCAACACCAAGCTGAACTTACGGCGAATATCTGAGAGGCACTCCACGTGAACATTCACTTCTCGGCCGCGGGATGCTTGGGGCGGCGCTCCGGCACCTGCTGGCCATAGAAATGCTGCATCATGCCCTCAGTATGCGTCGCAGTGAGGTTGAACAAAGGGTGTGTCGCGTTCTGCCGATCGGTACAGTTCAGTTGTGGGCGCAGGATGACGGAAGTAACGCATACGTACCACGCGATTAACCGCACCGCCCACGTACTTCGACGTCCCCTCTTCTTCCACCCACGACAGGGCGCTAACGAACGCCTCCTTCCGCATAGCGTCCCATTGTGACCGCGCGGCGTCGGACGCAGGCGTGAATCCGAAGCCTACAAGGCGTACCGTAAGCATAAGTCAGCCAATCGTGATGGCATGTACCCGACACATGCCTTCGCGTTCGTTGATCGTTTCATCACTCCAGCTTGCAAGCAGCTCTGCTCTGCGCGCGTCATCGGGAAGGACTGTGTGCTGAGCGGCCGAGAGACCTGAGAGGCAGTACAACGTGTGGTACGAATCCGCCGACCTGGACAAAATCCCTGCATCAGCGCCACGTCCGAAGCCCAAAGCGCAGAACTCACTTGGGCGGCTTGTCTCTCAGACCACCGGCAGGGTACTGCCCTGCGTACAGGATATACTCCTGCAGTGCCTGTCGGTTGAACAGCGAATCTGCGCATCTTCACAACACCATCCAGACTCACAGCTGGAGACGGAGACGCTCACCATCGATATCCGTCCACTCCTCGGCATGGGCCCCGGGCTCGTGTGCCCCAGGGACACACCCGGGACCAAGGAGCCCCTCTACGAGCCCGACGCAGCCGCCGACCCACCAACTGTAGCACCCATCGACGAGCTTGTTCGTGCGGCCCCGGAATCCGCCGAGCTCCATATGCGTGCCCTGCATCTGCGTGAGCCAGCGTAGCAGCGCGTGCATGTTCACCGTGGGGCGCTGCGACGTCGAGGACGACGAATAATAATGGCGTAGGTACGGCTGCAGAAGTACCCAGGTCGCCGTCGCGCAAAAGGTGTAGCCGCCGTGGGCCTCACCAAGAAGCGGGCGTGGGGCGGACGCGTCGAACGCGCCGTCATCCTCTGGGAAAGAATGTCAGTCTTTGACATGCTCAGCGGTATCGCAGAAGTAGAAAGTGGAGTCTAGCGACATAGACCACAGGTGAAAGTACGAATGGGGATACTTAAAAGTCTAGGTAATTCACCTTCAGGGAATGCCCACTCGGGGAATGACGCATTCCCAAAACCACCTTCATAGCTCTGACAGCTTACGATGAACTCAGGCATTCCTTTCAGAAGCTCCGGCGTAACGATGTTCAGCAAAGTGGCCGTCGAAAGGAGACAATAGAGCCCGCTGGCAGATGAATCAGGATACTGCATTTTCAAATCGTAACGACATGCAACCAAATGCTCGTGTACGTAGGGCGGAGAGAATGAGAGAACGAACTTACCGAACATCGACTTCGCCATCTTGGGTTACGGTATAAGATCCATCAGGCTGCTTCAGTGACAAGAAGAATTCGTACATCTTCGTCCTTCATTGAAAGGTCAGTTGAAATCAGATGAACAAATGAAGCGAAAGAATTGTGTGGCGTTGCTTCAAAGCAGAGTTATTGTCACTTCAAAAAAAGACCCAGAATAATTTGCCGGAAGTAATGGAATACGATGGAGTATATGGCTGAACAATAGGGCCCAGTATACCACCCTCTGTTGAATCCAATGCACAGACAGAGACTCTACAGCAGGCAATTTGGAAATGAACACATCCAAGCATACTCGAACCGCTAATCTTGCAACGCAAATAACGCAGTGAATGGCAAGCACAGCCTTCATTTCGCCCTCAGACAGAAGACTCACCGATCGATCTCATCCCACGCACCATCCGGACCAGGTTGTCCAACAATAGCGAGCGCACACACAGCAGCATAGGTCGGTAGGAGGTGTGCTGCTTGTCCAGGACCCCCTGAAAATCCACCATAGGGATGCTGCAGAGCTAGGAGAGTCTGCTTCGCCCTAGCACGGGAAAAAATCAGTAACCGACATATGATCAGCAACGCTCTTGGCGTGCACCAAAGGGAGTCTACAGAACGCGAACGGCGTAAACCATCGAGTACCGCATTCCTCACGTACCTCTTCCTTGTTTGATCATCCATCCCTATTCCCAACACACTAAACCCTTGAAGTGTCCAGTATATCAGCCATGGCTGACTTGCATCCTGAGAGATATAACGCTCTGGAAATCCTTGGAGGAGGTTACGTAGGAGAAACTGGATATGCAGTTGCTTCTGAAGAAGAGGTCCGGTCTCCGATGTCCCTGCTTTTCCAGAAGAGTCCCCTGTCGCACCTGCGGCCTGATATGTTTCAGAAGAAGGGAGATGCGCCTTCAGGACGTTCTCAGTGACCGATTGAAGGCTAGAGGTCGCAGTGGGATAACCATCCATGGGCGTGGGTCGCGACAGACGATCAGTAGCCATGTGCGATATCCAGGAAATGCTGATAGAGGTTTGTGATTAATCAACAGACTTTACAAACTTCGACGATTGAAGAACCACAGCAGCGTTTGACAAGGTTCCAGGAATCCAGGATGCGGATAACGACCTGAGCGCTCTCGGCTATTGTCTGTGTGATGCTATTGTCACAGTCACGACCTGTGATTGCACGCGTTATACTCACAGTCACTAGTCACGGTAGACTTACCTAGTAGCTGCTTTTAATCCTCCTCTCTAACTCAAACTCAGCCGCGGATCCAGCGTCTCCACTAAAGACATGCGCAGCTTTGCTGTGCCTGAGCAGCGTAGCGCTGGGATTTCCTTTGGCAGGATGATACCAGAGAAGACAGAGTCGACTTCTCCTCCTGCCATTGAGAGGTGCGTGGGCATGCAGCAACTCCTTCGACGAGGTTAACCCTAAGCCGCTCTAGGTCGCGATGGAACTTCGCCTTCTCGTAGAAACATCTGAACAATCCCGGAAACCATCTATCATCGTGGATGGGAGGCAATGGGCCCTAACCGAGCCTCTAGACATCCACTCGGAGGTACTCCCGCAATACACTTGCATCTCGTATGTGTGGGGTGAGGGACGAACTGCGAATCCAGTCCATCCGACGTCGATCATGTCCGATCGCACGCTGCCCTCACTCGCAGCGGCGATGTGTAACCACGGCTCTACGGCGTTTTGGATTGATGCCTTCTGCGTGCCAGTTCAGGGCCCTCAGAGGAGTGCTACGTTGGAGAGTATGGGGTTCATTTATAGTCGCGCAGCGTGTGTCATCGCGGTGCTCTCTAGTAGGACTTTCGCTGCGATCGGGATGATCAGCAATTGGAATCCATCGCAAGCGTTCTTCGAAAGGGCCATCCTCGACGATCTAGAGGCCGACGCGTGGATCCGCAGCGCATGGACGTTTCAGGAAGTCATTAACAGCCGAGAGCTGTTAATTGTGGGCGAAGATGGCTCCCAGAAGTTGCTGAAAGGAATACATTTCTTGAACCACCTAGGTCATTACATCTCCAAGTATCAGGACGCGAATGGTGTCAGTGCATTTCAGATGACCCAAAACTACCCTCATCTCGATGCCTTCCAGGATCTTATCATCGATTGGCAACTCTCCAATATCATGGACACTTCTGCGCTACAGGTGTTGTCTGCCATGGATAGGCGGGTGTGGGTCGATAACAAGAATTACTTCTACTCAATGATCGGAGTCATCAGCAGCGAACCCTCGACACGTTCATCGAATCCGACGATTGAAACTCTGTCGGAGACTTTCATGGGCTTATGCGAGGCCAAGGGGGACTACTCATTCGTGTACTCAGCCGCAGAACGAGACGACCGTCCGGGTTTTCGCTGGCGTCCACGTTGCACCGTCCTGCCATCTGTGCTCTCATGGCACAGCTCCGGCGAATCACAGCCTGTGAGGAAGGACGCCCAGGGAATTTGGCTGCAGAAGATGATGGTCCTCGAGCAATCTCCAGTGGGACTTGCACCTCGGGGTGGCGTCATGAACTGGCTGCACGGCCCTGATCTGCAAGAGCGCAGTGAAGCCGAGATTGCAGACCGTACCGCTGTGGCTCTCACGCAGATGGGGTTCACTGGGAGCCTGGAGTGCATTTCCACTGCGAAAGGACTTTTCTATCCTCAGCATCCACTCTCTTCTAGTTCGGCGCTGCGCATCCAGATTGGCGTCGCGACGAGTCTACGGTGGACGTATGGTGCACCGGGACTTCTGGCATTCGTCGCCGCTGATGCGGGTCCTACCCTCTATATTCCTGGAGTTTTCGTCGGAGATATACCCGACCAGGGTTGTGAGGAAGAGCTACTCCTTCGATGACAGGGACCTTCGCTTGAATGACCGGCATTCGATCTTCTCGGGTTGTAGCGCGATGCGATAGTCAACCTCACGATACGTAAATACTGCCACCCGGATTTGCGTCGAGTCCCGCGTCGGCACCATCTTCCTCTCGCCCTGATCCCTGATCAGCCATAATATATCTAATAACATACAACGCATAATACTGTAAATCATACCCATGCCCGTCTCCCGCCAAAACCTCGTCCCCCTCGTTGTCGCGCTCACATTGGCCCAAGATGACGTCGAGCTTCGACTGGTGGCCGTGCCCCTCCTGGGGCGCCAGCACCACCACGCTCTCGACCGCGAACGTGCTCGCAAACCCGACTGGCGTGGCGACTATGGCTGGGACCAATCCAAGCTCCGTCACATCCAATTTATCGCAAACACTCACCTTAACTGCGCCTTCCGAAACCGTGCTGCCCACGTCCGCCTCCACCACCGCTTCTGCGCCGTCCTCGCTCATCCCGATCATCGCCCTGTCTCCCGCACGTACGGCGTGCGCAAAGCTCGCGCCACGCAAGCCGTTCAATATCGCGTACCTCGCGCCAGTCTTTGCGCTGCTCGGCGCTGCCTTCGGTGCGCTTGCAGCGTGGTTCTTTTCTCGTAGGCTCTACCGTGGACGGGAGCGCGAGACGCTCGAGCTCGGGGGACGCCGAGCGTGTACTCGCCAGTACCTGTGACGAAGCAGTCGCCGCTCGCTCGTGGCGCGAGCACTGGCCGGGGGAGCTGGCTTGCGCGCGCGTTCTCTTCTTCTGGCCATCGCGATGACTGCAGTGTTTCGTCTGCGGACACTGTTGTGCAGCCGTCTGCGGAGCCCAACTCGGTTTCGGCGGGGTATATGCACGTCGAGGTGGAAGATGATCCGTTCCTCAGCATCCCTGTCGCGCGGGGACAGCCGTCTAGTGTAAGTTCTAACTCTCGGTCTGGCTCTGGCTCTGGCTCCGGTTACGAGTATGGCTCTGGCTCTGGCTCCGGTTACGAGTATGGCTCTGGCGCTGGTTCTGGCCACGGGTATGGTCCTGTCGCCTTGCGACAACAGGTGACCTTACCCAGTATGCTCAGCAACGACGACGCTGATGACGGGATCCCGTACGACATGCCCCGGCACAAATCTATCCGGAGCGGGATCCTCGAGCGGCTGAGATTCGGGACGGTGCGCCGCCCCGCGTCGCAGGAGACGGTTAGTAGCCCCGCGGCGTCCACCGTGCAACACCGCCCTAGGCACCGCCGCGCGGACTCGGACTTCAACGTCGACGATGTGCAGGCCGCTGCCTCGAGCGCGAGCGAGCGTATACTCGGGCAGATGCGTAAAACGGTACGATGCCGAGACAAGAGATATGTTGTCACGGGCGAAGAAGCTTTTCGGCGCAATAGTGGCTATAAATTCACCGGGCTAGAGTGCCCCATATTTTCCCTCTGGCATCGTTTTATGAGGTTCTCCCTGATATTTGGCTTATTGTGCGCAATGTTGTCCCTCCCGAAAAGGCTTCCAAGGCTTCCCTAAGGCGAGAGAAGTGTTGGGATGTGTTCGTGTTCGTGGCAGGAGAGATGGCTTTATTTGCGTAACAAGCAGTTTGTTGGGCGGTGTTTAATTATTTGCGTATCCATCATGTTTGTATCAACCAATTTCACGAAATCCACTAGCGAATTGAAAACGACATATAACGTAGATTTAGCTGAGATTTCAAAGTACTGACTCTTGATCTGCCTAGTGTGAAGTTGTGCGGAATGAATTTCGGCTACAATTCCAGCAGATCGTCGGCGCCTCTGCGTCTGCCATGACCCCTGACGTGCCACGAAAGACAGACACGGAAATGTTCAATAAAGAACTGGCTGGATATACCATGCGCTTTCAGAACGGCCAACTCTTGAGAGACGTCGTCACTGGGAAGTCGTCCAATGACAGGAGCACCGGACCTCTCAAACCGGTACAATGTTCCATCTGTAGGCTGTTAATTGATTGAACCAGTCAGTAATAGGTCACCTGTGAGAAATTAAACTTACCCATATGCCGAACTGATAATTGTCAAACAGCTTGTGGACATCTGCCCTCAGAAGCATTGCATTCTCCGGTTTATCTGCAGATTTATAATCTTTCAACTGTTCTGCCACATCATGTGGCATTGCTGCCATAGCAGTAGCCTGCAAAACGACGACGAATTATCAGAAACACAATATCTGACAGAATGACTTCTATGCGCACGTCTCCTGTGAAAGCTAGAGGGAAAATATGGGCCACCTCTAGCCCAGTGAAGTTATAGCCACGATTACGTCGAAGAGCTTCTTCGCCGGTGACAACACATCTCTTGTCTCGGCATCGTACTGTTTTACGTGTCTTGTTACTCTGTGAATCCGCACAATATCGTGAACTGATGTACCACGGAATATCCATTATGACACTTACACGACGTTCTGGGTTATTCTTGGGACTTGGAGTTGCACCGGATAGAGGTCTTAAGGGATCTCGTCCCTCTTCGCGCTTTGAAGAACAGAGTAATTTTTGCAGTTCGATGCTCACGGGAATCAGCTTCTCATCAGATACTCCACGCAAGGTAATTAGTCAGGATATCACCGTAAGGATGGTAGGGAATATACATACACTTATAGAGTGCATAGTGACCCGGGTTGAGCAGTGCGGTGGAATCCTGAGGGAGATGCTGATCTACAGGTGGCGGTGGCAAGAAGGCACGGTGACTGTTTCTGGAGAACAGCATGGGATCATTGCATGGCACAAGAACCAGCTTATCTAGGGTGAACAAAGTAAATTAGGTGCAATTTCCATGATGCCAAATTGCTTACCAAACTGCGGACCTTGCGTGAGGTCAATGATCATGGCCAACCACCGATAGAAAACGTTAACTTTCAATTTTGAGAATGTGTAGCACCCTTCAAAACGACCGATTGTCAATTATCAGTTGTCTTGCTGTAGTCCAATCCTCAAATACTCTAATACTCACCTGCGACAAGCTTTATCATGCGACCAAGACCGACCTTGGAGCACCAGACGTGGACATCTCTCTGGTCCTCGTTGAAGTAGTCTGCCTTGTCGTACTCCATAGTGACGAGATAAGGGATTGGAGATTGAGTATCGAGTATTGAACAGAGTAAAGTTAAGAGTTAACGATGGAGGATTGGGTCAATCGACACACCTCTTATATAGCTTAGAGTGTAAGGACTATTCGCCACAATGGAAGTGGGCACGTTGCGGAAAACAATAGAGTTGAAGAAATGAGCGCTGAGAAGAGCTCACCGGCGTAGCAACTGTTGATGTGATGGGCGATAGTGGGCACTCTGTGTATGCTCCGTAGGCAGTAGCAACCCGAATTCCAACACATCTGCTTGTATAGAAGAATCGATCTGGCAACCGCATGATGTCAGAATTTGATCGACTGCTTGAAAGTTGTCCTGGATCACAATGATTGAAAATTTAGCACTCGCTATAAAGCACACGTCGACACTAGGGACTTGCAAGTTGTGGTGCAATTGCCAACTTCTTGGGCAGGTTGTCCAGAATCATTGAGAGACAGCCAGTGAAAGGTTGATGTGTTTGATGAGCTAGTACTACTAATCGCCTATTTGCATAATGGCGCTACTACCTCCGAATCGAGCATGATAGCCACATCAGTACTCAGAGACCGCTCCGGATAGACAAATGCAGTGAAAATTAGTCGTGAGGAGATAACAATCTTGAATTGTTGTCAAGAGAAGCCTGAGTGAAGAACTTCACCCGGCGACTCAAACATGGACCCACCACCCGAATTCGGAAAAATCTCACCGGTCGGCCAGACAACAAGACTCGACGACAGATGGTCGCTTTCAAGTTCGTCGAGATAACAATACGTGCTGGTGGTCCCACGCCGTAATAGCATTACGCCACATCCTTGTCCACTAACTTATAAAGGTCAACAGAGCCATTGGGGAACCATCATCTTCACCATACTATCCGAGTTTGACATGAGCCAGTCTTTATACCAACCCATACACACGCTCTCGGAGAAATCCCGCCATCTACAGCGCAATTTCTTCATGTGGTCTGATCGTCTGGTTGGTGGTGCGTCGAAGAATGTTCCGACCTATATGTCGAATATGACTGACCTGCCATTTGGACGGGCTGTGCCATCATCCCAGGCCTACATTTAGATGAAAGTCACCGACTCTCTGCAGCCACACTGCGTCGCTGGATCCTACTCCTATTCAACGAATATGCCTCGGATTTTGAGAATGCAGACATTTTCGAACTTCGACCTGTTGATATCTCCTTCTCTCGAGCAATGCTTTTTAACTACGCCGTCTGTCCTGCGGGCAATTCTATAGACCAAACATCGACCGAGGCCTTGGCTCCGGGTGATATAGGTATATGCCGTCCTGGTGCGTAGAGCGTAGAAGCAAATTGTTCAGTCCGTCCGCCGTGTCTAACATTCTTGTTAGGTCTCAATGGCTCTGTGTTGGCTAAATTGCCTCTCCTAACAGAAGGGAAATCGTTCGCCTTCCTGAAGAAAAGCCTGTCAGATGTTGGAGGCCTTGAGGTGCATCTCGAAGAACTCCATCCGCATATTGCTACTGACTGCTTCCACCTACAGTGGGGTGAAATGTCCGGGTCATTTCAGCAAGAAGTGAAAGTGAGAGACAGCGAACGCTGCATCGTCACGGGCACACCATCCAATGAAGCTTCTCTGGTCATCAGCTGGATCTATCCTCCATTCCTTGCATCTTTCGTGAGTCTGGAAGGCAGCCAATGTCATATCTTACATACAATAACTTCGTGGTACACCTCCAGGACATGGAAGAAGACATCACCCAATATCTTTCAGTTACAAATGCACTGACAATGAGAGAAGATCTTGCCAAAGGCTTCGAAGAGAATGAATTTGGCATTGATGTTGATGTAAGTGTGCTACCACTTCTCCCGCAGATCTAATACATCCGCAATGCTAGGATAATTACCGTATCGTGTCGTTTGTTCCCTCGGCACCCTCTTACCTGTTGCCTCATACCCATCTTGATCTGTCCCACTTCAGTCCGAATGTGCGCCCGAATGAGCAATACCTCAGACGTCACTTTATCATGTGCCTCGTGGTCAACTTCCTCGGTGGAGATATCTCCAAGCAATATGAGGACATCGATCCGGACGAATTCTGGGAAGAGCGTGGTGTGTTCGACGAGGACTATGACTTCAACGAACCGGAGTGGCACACGGAGCTAGGGCGGGAGGCGAAAGCACTACTCCTCAGAAGATGGCCAGGAAGATAGTGAGTGATGATTGTTTTACTTGACATGATTTGCGGGACTGAACGGTTTGGCCTGACAGCCAAGACTAGGAGAAGTAGCTAGCTGGGTCATGGCGCAATTTGACGTCCAATGCGAGGGAAGTGCGGGTCGCTCGGTGTCTGTAATTGAGAATGTTATTGAATACTCACAGCGTATAAATGAATGCCCATGAAAACATGGAGTCATTTCTCTGCTTTATTTTATTTTATTCTCGAAGCTAGGGGGACAGAGTATCTCTGAAGTAGTGGCGCATCGGTATTTACAGTAAGGAAACTCCAACTCAAGGACCTTGACTGATTTAGATATGAGACATCCATGTGAATCTGCTCCGCTTCCTAAGTGCTCGGTAGCTGAGCTACGGAGTGGAGCACGGCTCACTAAGATAGTGTTCGCCGTGCAATGTAGAGTGCTAGTCTTGCGGGTTGGGGAGAGGTGGATTCCGGCGGCGGCTCAAGCTCGGAACAGGCTGCAATAGGCGCCTCACAGGACTGCGACGGCCCGAGAAGTCAGCGGGCGACCGGCAGCGGAGGGGCGAAATGCGAGGGGAGCCTGAGCGGAGAGAATCGCGGAATCCAACTCGAGCGTGAAGCGGCGGAAAGTCGTTGAGAACACGGCTAACCACCGCTAGGACGCTTGAATCAACAAGGGGAGGTGGGTGGGATGAAAACGAGTGAGAGGCTGTAGATGCAGGAGGAACAGACTGGCGCTTACGGCGCCTATTCCTCCGCCTTCAGCCTCTCGCTTAGTAAGCACTAGTTTGACTTAGCGCTCGCGAGCTCGCTGCTAAGCCAAACTCCACGCTTCCTAAGTGCTCGGTAGCTGAGCTACGGAGTGGAGCACGGCTCACTAAGATAGTGTTCGCCGTGCAATGTAGAGTGCTAGTCTTGCGGGTTGGGGAGAGGTGGATTCCGGCGGCGGCTCAAGCTCGGAACAGGCTGCAATAGGCGCCTCACAGGACTGCGACGGCCCGAGAAGTCAGCGGGCGACCGGCAGCGGAGGGGCGAAATGCGAGGGGAGCCTGAGCGGAGAGAATCGCGGAATCCAACTCGAGCGTGAAGCGGCGGAAAGTCGTTGAGAACACGGCTAACCACCCAAGGAGCGCAGCCCACAACAGTCGTGGCTCAACATGAGCCCGCCGACTTCCCCAACCCAGGGCTAGCGTTCCGCAGCAAGGAGCGGGAGAACAAAGTGACATGCATTACAACATAGACAGTGCGACAGCAGTGGAAAGTATTACAACGAAAACAAACATACAGTTGCAAGTATAGTAGACTACAGAGAATACTTCTTCTTGAAAGAGTCCATGGCAGTGGAAGCCAGTTGCAAACGAGAGGAAGTGAATGACTGTGAGATGAAAAGAGGTAATATAGACTCAATTTTCCGCCAATACTCGAGAAAAGCGCGTGATTTCCAGCTACCCTGCGTAGCGACCACATCCAGATGGGTACCGCGAAGCAACAGCTCGGTCGCGCCGCCGATACGAAAACAATGCCCGGTGAGGTGCTCGAAACCGGCTGCTGCCCAGGCCGCATTGGCGCGATTGAGGAACCAGTCGCGGGTCATCGGCGCCCAACCCGCCGTGTCGCTCGTTTCGAATGCGAAGAAGGGAGCATGCGCGGGCACGCGGCCGTTCGCCCGTAGGTGATGGCGCAAGGCGACGACGGCGGAGCTAGGGTCGCCGAATTCGGTGGCAATGATATCGGCACCGAGTTGCTTAGTCGTCTTGGTCCAGGGCACATGGAAGACAGCATACTGCGTACCTCCCGATAGTGTGCGATAGGCAACGGGCGCCGCGCGCGCGACGTGCTTGACTGGGTCGAACGCACCCGCGGAAGGGATGACTAGCTCACCAAGCCTGCAAAGAAGTTAGCAGAAGGAAAGAGGGGAGGCCAGATGGCACGCGCGCACCGACGACAGCACCAAAAAGCAATGCATGCCACCGCATACACAGCGGCATCGAAGGAGTCGGATAGGTCAAGATTGGCGCGCAACGCATACAGGTGCTCTACGGTGACCGGCGCGTGCTTCTCCTTCGAAACCGGAGCAGTCTTCGAAATGGCCGAGCAGGTCACTTTGAGCATCTTCGCACCTTGCCACGGGGCACCGTGCAACGCATGCCAGAAAGATAGACCTGCCATCCAGGTATCCACGGTTGAACGCGCGACGCTCCCACTCCACTGCGCAACAAACACGGCTAAAAGCGGCTCCGCCGCGGGCATGCGGAGGTCTTCCGAGATCGCAAGACAGTCGCAGAATTGCGTGAATTGTAGCAGCCCGGCGCCGTAGTTCTTCCGAGTACTGGGATCAAGAGAGGATAGCATGACATTAAAGAGCTGTACTGAAGCTGCAGATGAAGTCTGCGCGGAGAGAGAAGCACGAAAACGAACAGCATGAGGCGTGGTCCAGAGCGCAAGACGATCTCGCGCTAGGACATGAGGACGAAAAAGAGAAGGAATTACTTTGTTTTCAGAACGAGGCTGCCTAGGTTTTCGTCGAGCCAGTGTTCGCGACGAAGGGCCAACATGTGCTGCTCCAGCCTGAACAGTGTTCGGCCTCTCACACTGGGACGACGCGCTCGCACGTGCGGGCGCAGAAGGTGACGAGGTTGTATTAGACATTAACGAGGAAGGACACGAGCTCCTCCGGGAGCTGGAAAGGAGGTTGTCGGTGGGACATCGAGGGGGTCGGGTCGCCGCGAGAGACCGGATCCGCCAAGTTGTCCTTGGTATTTACGTAGCGTACGATAAAGAGAATGTTCAATGACATGGCGATGACCTCCGCACGACGGATGGAAGAGTTGACTTGGAAATTGCGGCTGCGACCACGAGCGAATGCGCCCTCAACACCTTTGTTGTCACCACGTACCAGGATGGTAGCGTCGTGGTAGCCAAGCGCGTCCACTGTGCGGATGGCGAGCTCGACCGCCACCATCTCGGCCCAGCCGATATCGCGCCCTTGGCCCTTCCAAGTATTGATCGGACCCTGCCAGTGCCATGCGCTCCATTCGCCACAGACTATGATCCCGATGCCCCAGGAAGAGGACGCATCAACCCAGATGCCCAGGTCCTGCAGCGGACCACGCGATGCGAGAGAGCGGGCAATGCTGGGCACGTTCAGGACAGAGAACCACCACTTCATGTCGGAGAGGACCGAGTGTGGCGCGAACCGCGGCGCATAAGGGTTGGAGAAGGACGCGATAAAGCTGCAAAGATTGGTGAGGAATGCACGACCGTGCGGGTATACGAACGTGATGTGCGAGAGCGTGCCATTTATGGACATAGCATCTCGCTGGGACACGCGTCCCCGTTCAGCGGTGGCGATGAATGCTGTGAGCTTCGCTAGATACTTCGAACGCTTCTCGTCAGGTAGGGCGACCGACCGCTGGTCCAGGTCCCAAAGGAAACCGCTGTAAACTGCACGTGAAGCGTAGTCTGAGTATTTTGTCTGGTGCCATGGAACACCCAGAGGATCGGTGATATGGAAGATGTCCGCCAGACCATATGCATACTTGCGGACATCAGAGGTGGCAAGTTGGTCGACTGGAAAACGGAATGTGATCAAATCGTCAACCCACTTGCGCGACGGTCCGATGTCGTGTGCCCCCAGGATGTCGACGATGGCATCCATCGGCTCGCCCTGCACTCCGGTCCCTGATGAGACGCTGAACGGGAGAACATGGTCGATGTAGAAGTTGCCCGGGTCACATTGAATGACCAGAAATGGCTTGTGCGCGGGTTTGATGGGAAGATTGCGGAACGCGGAGTCGATGTCAAGGCAAGCTGCCTGCGCACCAGAGGGCGCGTTGACGATCTGACAAGTGGGTTAGCAATGTCTGCTGCAGACATGCTCTGGAGTTCACCCGCACAAGTGACGGGGAATAATCAAATGGTATCCCGCGCACCGGGCATGTACCGAATGATGTCAACCTCCCGTGCACCAGGCAATGGTTTCACGATGTGACCTCCCGTGCACCGGGCAATGATCAAGGTAAAATGCAACCTCCTGCGAGCCAGGCAACAATCGCGAATGGAGATCTCCCGCGCACCGGGCAGTGATCTGGGCTACAAGCCCTCCCGCACACCGGGGAAGACCGAGAAGATATTACGAAGGGACTCACAATTTCTGCGACCTCAGCTGCAGTGCCCCATTTGGTGGGGAAGTCATCCGAGTTGATCTGGCTATTCACCGAAACCCCAAACTCGTCCTGATATGAGCAATTCTGTACAAGACGGAATTTTTTCGAACCAGCCTTTGGAACGACAGCGAGTGGAGAAGAAACGAAAAAGGTGCCCAAGATGTGCTCAACTTGAGCCTGCGAGTACGGACCAGTCATGCGTCCAAGAGAGACTTGCTCGGAGATATACTGGCGAATGAAATCGATGTGCTCAGAACCGGAAGAATGATTGGAAGGAGCGAACGTGCGAAGGAGCGGAGCGAAATCACCAATAGGAAAGCCATAACGTAATTTGCGGGGCAAGAAAGGGTAACACTGAAGAAGGCCGAGTGTACGAAGAATGGACTCGAAGGCGTCAGCGTCGTAAGGAGTAATAATGCGCTCACGCTCCGAGGCACCGCTTAGCCGCAGCGGCATGACCATCGGAACCGCAGAGGGAGCAGATGTGTCCGCTGTTTCCGGGACAGTACATACCACGGCAGGGCATACGACCGTGTTGGACATTCCAGGTGAGGCAGATCTCCGCGCGTGTGGAGATGGCGAGGAGCTTTTTGTTCTCCCAGACGGTGAACGCGGGCTTACCGTTCGACAAGGTCGATCGCCCACATTGACTGGCCCGGTGTCCACTCTCGCCGCAGATGAGGCAGAGCATGCTTGTGGACGCAGATGCTCTGCCTTCGCGAAAGGGCTTGGCAGTGGAATCTGCCGTGCCATCGCGGCGCGGGCGACGTGAATCGGGGGAGTGGGACGGTGTGCGATACGGGGTTTGGGACGAACCGGCGATGGGAGCCGCGGGGATAGGAAGTGTGGATCGGGTACCCTTCTCGATGTGCTCTAGGCGAATTTTGAGGAAATGGTCGTTGTAGCTCTTCGAGTCAACAACGAAGGTCTTCTTCGTGAGGAAGTACCCACGGCGTACGTCGATGTCGAATGCGAGGATGACTGGGAAGATCCTATTGAAGTCGCTCTGTCCGGAAAGCCACATGTAATGTTCCGAGAAGCGCTTGACGATCTCATCATCGCAAACAGCTGGTAAAATCTCGAAGTAGTTGCGCCAAGCGTCGCGCCAATCCTCCGGCTTCAACATCTGTTCGTCGGGCCATTGGGCGATGTCGATCAGCGCCCTCTTGATCCCCTTGCCGTCATGCATCTTACGATATTGAACCTGTTCCGGATGCTTGTGCATCTTGGTCATCACCTCAGAGGTGCACATGGAGAGCGGAAGGTGGAAGCCATTCCTAAGGAGCGCGGGTAGTTCCTGAGGCGTCTCGACGACTCGGCCGGCAAAGAGGTCAGTCTTGATCTCGGAATCTATGGTTATCAGCGCGTTCTCGCTACCCTTGCTTCCACTTCCCGCGGTAGCCTCTGCCCGAGGGCCAGCTCCGCTGCGCTTATCGACACCTGCATTCCACAACTTTAGGGCGATGCCCCGAGAGTTTGGAGTCATCTTCATTACGTCCCGAAGCAATTGCAGGCTATCGGTATCATCTTCCGGCGTTCTGGGTCGCGAAGGCATGCCTGCAGGCGTTGCCGACGGTTCCTGGGAGTCTAACTGACCCGGAGATGCACCATCTGATCCATCCAACATTCCCAGCTCCTCGTCATCACTGACGCCATCTTCTCCGCCCTGTCTACGTACTGCCCTAGCCGCGTTCCGGGCCTGCCGCTCCCGGTTTTCCTGAAACAAAGCCATCTGGGCCGGGTTGGGCAGGCTCGCGGTGCCTCCACCTGATCCAGACTCATCGGGAAGGAACGAAGACAAATCCTTACCGCCAACGCTCGGGGGAGGTCCTTGGGACGGCATTTGTTACAGATCGGCGGAGATCGTGCGTGTGGAAACACCAGAATGAAAACGAGTGAGAGGCTGTAGATGCAGGAGGAACAGACTGGCGCTTACGGCGCCTATTCCTCCGCCTTCAGCCTCTCGCTTAGTAAGCACTAGTTTGACTTAGCGCTCGCGAGCTCGCTGCTAAGCCAAACTCCACTCTCCTTGTCTCGTTCAGTCCTATGACTGACACATGCACTGGAAACAATGAGGGCGCTGCGCTGGCTGTACCGGGAGCTTCGGCACGCTCTCGCATATCCTGCAGTATCAAACCTGCTATCCACCGCTCCTTCAGAGTGCATGCGAGAGACTACCGCATGCTGAGATAGTTTGACAGCGGTGTCCGAACGGGTTGCGCATGCGGATCTCGTGCTGGTCCTCGGCTCGCCTCCTTCGAGTGGCGCGCCAGCCTCTTTCTCCCATCTGTTATTCAGATCTGTGCGACACAGGTGCGAGAGTTGAAGAAGAGCGGCCTGGATCTTGGTTTAGTCATCTTGAAATCGAGGATACACTTCTAGGTATCGAGGGTGCCATCAAAGACTCTATTGCGGCATCAGTCAGGCATCGTGCCTTATGGCGAGCCGCTCTTCGTCCTTAGTTCTCCCATCAGATGGTGTGGTGTATAGCAACTAACCAGGTATTCTGACCACATGGCCAGCTAATCTCTCGACAGCTGATGTTGCTGGTCTTTCCTCCAGGACTATATGTCTTCACTCCGTGTGCCTCCCGAAGGAATGCGACATTCCTGTGTGAAGTTGCCAACTCGTTCGCACCACAGTTTCTAAATAACTCACTTGGCACGCATACTTCCCCTCTGCATAACCCACATATCCGAGCTTCAGAATCGTCTAAGAGGCAACGATGCTTGTCGCTCCTCTCGTTAACGTTGTTGGACTCGGAAGCCTACATCAGGAAAACCCAACTTTCTCTTATGGGCTTATTTAGACTTTTGGGTCTGAGAACCCTTATTTAAGACCATAAGTGTTCAAATAAGTCGAATTTCAGACACTCAGGGAATATGCCTTAGGCCCTTTTTGTCCTTATGTCCTTAAATAAGGACCATAAGTCCATTTAAGTTATTTAAGTGTCCTTTTAAGGAAAAGTGGGGTTTTCCTGATGTAAATGATGAAGAGGAAAATAAGCCGGTGAGTCCTGATCCTCGACCATCGCGTACTAATACATGTCCATTAAAACATATTGCTTCCCGCAAGCCATTGACTCGTAACACCCAATTGACCGACAATCGAAGGACAGAACATATTTACCCCAGGGCACGCGAACCTTGAGTTCTCGCTATAAGTGATACTGTGACTATGCCCTCCCGTCACCATCGGCATGCCCCTACAAGTCGGCAGCTGGACATTTCTCCCCATCTCTGGTCCCTCTGATTACCTTCTGTGTATTATATACACGTTTGTACTGAACTTGAAAGGTGGCGAACCACGAGTTCTGTTTTCAGCGGAAAATCATGTTTTTCATGCCGACATCCCAAAAGGCGTGACTGATCGGCGACATAATGCGTTACTGCCATTTTGTCAATAATTCAAGACAAACTCATACACTGGGCTTGTTGGAAAGTAGCACCCAAAATTCTGGAGCTCCAGAATTTGGGGAGCGCCCAAGGGCAGACAAGCTGAGGGTATGATTACAAAGAAAGACAAAGAAAGAAATTTGCTTATATAAAGTGAAGCATCTAGAACTGTATATATACAGAAATCTATTTTAGGATGCAAAATCATGTGCCCCGACGCATCTTGACCTGCCATCACTACCTTCCTATTTGGGAACTAAGGTGCGATTTCTAACAGGTTATGAGCCCCGGCTCTAGCCAATAAATACTCGGATAACAACAGCCCCTATTGTGGCTACAAAAATTGTTACCCCCTTACTAGTACGAGAACAAATAATGTCAACCAGTGCTAATAATACGAGCAATAGCAATGCTTACCGGATTGTAATGGGTCGGTTCTGATGACCGTTACTCATTATGGACTGCTTACTACTTACATAAGCAAGTTGCTTTATATCCCCTACACTCACCATTTAGCTGTACCTAGGGACCAGCACGGATAGCTGTCAACCGGATGAACGATCCGTGGATGGGCTTGGCATGGATATGGATACAGATGCAGATGTTTTCTCACGGATAGGTCGGTTAGATGGATTCATCCATGGTTTTTTGCACTTAAGTCTTGTTACTCTCCGCCACTCTCATTACCACTCTCCATTCGTTCATTTCTCTTGCTATTTTATATCTTGAATGCTTAGTCCCCTAGTAGCAAATAATACTCTCCTTACCCCCATCATAGCCTCCTCTGGAAGCTCTTCCCTGGTTCCGTCGGAAAGTCTACCAGCAGCCAGTGTAGGCCCATCTAGCGAAAACACTCCGCCAGTACTAGTGCCCGCAGTCCTAGTGTCACCCAATGTCAAGCGAAGACGAAAGCGGGAGGGAATTTATGACAAAAGTGACGCAGCTGTGTGGGACCTCACTGATGCGGCAATCATAGGTATCTCTTCAAGACTTCCCTCTGTTCATTTTATGATGTCTCAATCTGATTAGCTGCTGCCATTGCCAAGTGGTCTTCATGTGCTTATGATCACTTTGACATCACTCTCCGTCGTTCTGACCGGAACGGCAAAAAATCCATATACTACATCTTTACATGTAAATATAGCCCGGAAGATCACCAAGCCCAGGAACGAGCACGTGGAAAGACGAGCAGTGGTACCACTAACTTGAAGCTTGCAGCTGAACGATGTGACTGTGATCGAGGTGTACTCTCCACAGATGGTCTTGCATCGGCTTCTCCTATGTACTCCGAACCTGCACACCATGCCATCATAGCCTTGCGATGTGCAACTAGCCACTGCCCATATAACCTGGTAGCAGATAAGTACTATCAGATGGAGGTCGAACTTCTTCGGCCAGGGACAACAATTCCGCATCCAACAACGGTTTCGACTGACATCAAATTCTTATACTTGAAAGTATCAAAGACTGTCCGCGAGTACTTCAAGGTGTGTTGTACTTTTGTATGTCTGCTATAATTCTGAACAACCTTCATCTAGAAGCGGAATCGCTCCATTCACCTAGCCATTGACGGATGGACTGCACCGATAGTTGCATCATACCTTGGGATTGTAGTTATCTGGTATGACATGGGCAAGATCCATAGAGCAGTGTTGGAATTCATATGGTGAATATTGTCATTTGTGGCAATTGAATGTACACTCAACTGTTCTAGATTAACAGAGGGCCATACAGGAAAATACCTGGCAAAGGTTCTGTGTGATTGTGTTACCCATTTTGGCCTGGAAAACTTTGTGCATGTCACATTCATCTTTCCGACAGACTAAGCTGACTATTGACACCAGATTCACACTCTCTGCATGGACAATGCATCAAACTGTAATACGACGGCAACAGAAGCTGCAGTACTATTGCCTCACTTTCGTGGGGCCCTTTCTCATGCTCGATGTTGTCCTCATATTTGCAGTTTGATCGCAAAAGTAAGCTGCCTACCAGACATTCCTGAGAAGTGATTTTGATGGCTTGGAATCAAGCTTCTAGATCTTTATATCATTTTTCTTCAAACAATACAAGTGTAAGAAAACTGTTACAGTCGCTGCAGGGACCAAGCGCAAACGGTACCAAGGTCGCACCGCTACTGCGCTGGTTGCAGAGCAGGATGAACGGACAGTATTAGAAGAAGATGATATTCTTTCACCAGAAGATGATGAACTAGCACAGGTACTTGAGGAGGAGGATAGTCAGCTCGAAGATGATGGACAAGCCATTCACGATCAGCGCATTGTTAAGACATTGCGTGAGCGAGCGATCAATGAGATGGCCCGCAAAGGTGTTGTAATTAGTGACAGAGATGCGAAAGAAGCACTTGGAATCTTTCTCAAGGTAATCTGACCATTTCTTATGGTGTCGCATCACTGACACCACCTCAGGTAGCTGGCCTTGCCAAGCGAGTCCACGACTCACCAGGGACACTCGGCGAGAAGTTCAAGATCGCCATTCAGCTTGATGACCAGCTAACAGGTGAGAAAACAACCCTCGACCACCGTGTACCTACGCGCTGGAATTCGGACTTCTACTGCCTTGAAGCACACATCTACTTCAAGGTGGCTGTGCAAGCATTGACATCTACAGCCGTGAACAACTTGAAGGCCTTCCGGCTCATGGAGAACCAGTGGGCCCTTGCCGAGAGACTCGTAACAGTCCTTCCTGTACGTCTCGCACTTTGCTGTTGATTCTGATCTCGTACATAACATGCTATCACGATAGATCTTTGATGGTCCTACCAAGGTTTTCTCTCATGCTGATCTCTCGCTCATTCCCGACGTTGTCCCCATGCTAGAAGACCTCGAGGCTGTTACGCGGCAGCGAAACACGAGCGGCTAGTCGAGTCGTCACGAGACAAGGTCTTAGTCTTAAGACACAAGTCCGTTCAAGTGACACTTCTGGCGATGTCCTCGCACTGAAGGTCGATCAGAGTTCGTTCTTATGACTCGTAGTAGCTGTCTGCTACTAACGGTCGATCTCAGTCAAAGGCAAGTGAAAAGCTGGTTTAATGGTAACCAGGTCAAGATGGGGATCCAGCTCGACAAGGTCGTCTATTTATACAAAAGGTATCCGCAGTACTACGCAGTAATGCGGGATCGTTCATTGGCTAGATAAGGTGAAACAATATCTGGGCAGGGTAACGGCGAGGAAGTAATATGTATGAGAAAGCTGAGTAAGGTCGTGAGAGATAATCAGTACTAATGGGGATAACGAGTCGTGTATCAGAACGAGGTAAAGATGAGGCATACATGCACGTCTTGCATGTGCGATAAGAAGAAGGTCCGGAGTTGGATCCGGTGTAACCCCAGACTAGGGGTTCTAGACAGCTGGGTAAAGAATCGGAGGTTGCGCTCCGATGAGTCATGTGTTGGATCACGTGGTCTGGTAACGTAAAGGGAACAAGAAAAAGAAAAGACGCGCCACAAGTGAGGAGCGTTGTAACATCAGCTCCCGTCTAACGTTTCTTGTCCCACAAGAAATATTGTGATCTTCATCGTCGTCGGGGGCAGTCGCGGACGTAATGATCTCCTCCACATCTGTAGCATGTCCGCCGGCTGGTTCGTGATCCTTGTTCGGGGATACGTCCATCCCTGTAGGGATGACTGCGACGCGAAGAAGTGGATGCGGTCGAGAAAGATGGTTGGGACAACGGAGATCGTCCACTGGGTACGTGCGAACGAGGAGGGCGAGGGCGAACGGGAATTGGTTCTGGCGACGAGCGAGGAGTGGATGCGGGTATTCCATTAGTGGTGTATCCGAGGATGTGTCCGATGTCTTCGTCCCCATGCTCTCTCCAAATCTCCTGTGCTGTACGAGTGACCGTACTGCGCATCAACGACCAGACTTGGTCGACTCTGGTTCGGGCTCTACTCGTCCTTTCCTCTGCTGCGATGAGCTCTTGTCTGGCCGTCTGCATCCACTCGACCATTTCTAATGCTCGTTGCATGGAAACCACCGCTTGTCGATCTTGCGGGCGATTTCGTAAGGCGACGAGGATATCTGTGAAGTCGACAGGAACACGGATAGCCGAGACCAGACGTGTGGCAAATTCTTGTTCGTCCGATGTGTGACTAAGTTCGATAGAAGGTGTGGGCGATGAGGCACGGATAAAGGGTGTCTGTGCTCGAGAGGGTACTCCATTGACAAGCGTAGGCGATGCAGGTATGCTCATAATTGTGGAGGCGACTTCAGCGAGTATATTGTGAACAAGGTCGTCTATAGCGGAAGTGGGCATTGATGATATATCGTCTTTTCCTCCTTTTATACCTTTCGGTCGTTAAGGGGATCGCGGTTATCTGTGATGTGAAATAGAATGTCGTGGATCCGGGTAATAATCAAATAGATGAAAATCCATTGGACGATAAAGAGTATTCCCACAGAGATAAGAGCTGCCTGATCAGTTCCAGGCATCGTTCTGATCACCCCAGCCGTTAGCGTGCGGGCTGTCTCGCGTGAAGAGTGTGTGTTCGACAAGTCGTCTGATAAGGATTCGGTGAATGATCCAAAGAAAAGTGAGGGTTGTGCAGTGGAGGACGATTAGGAAGATGATGAGGAAAACCGTCGTGGTAGTCATTCCGGGTTTCTTCTCCTCTACTGGATTCTCCTGGTCCTTTTATATGCATCGAGGATTCGCTTGGCATTCTGTAAATTGTGGGTAGGTTCCCACGAGTTTTCTGCTGAAGAATATCCCTTCCACTTGACTAAGTACCTCAGATGACCTCGGTACGTCTTGTGATTCAGGATGGCTTCGACTTCGTACTCTTCTTCGTTATCAACGACATCAGGTGGTGGGTTCACGTAATTCGGACCATGTATGTCGTTTTCGCGATAAGGAGATAGAAGGGCGGCGTGGAATATGGAATGAACTCGCCAGGTCTTCGGGAGTTTGAGACGATAGTTGGCTGGTCCGATGACTTCGACAATTTCGAATGGCCCCTCGCGCTTTGGTGCTATCTTGCACGAGGCGTAATTGACCTTCAGGTTCCTCGAGTCTAGCCAGACCTTCTGTCCTAGTGTAAACTTCGGTGATCCTCGTCTGACTCGGTCCGCCATCTGTTGTCGGGCTAACTCGTGCATGGCTAGTGCTTCTAGTCTTATCTTCTGCAACATGTCAAGCCTGGATTCAACCGATGGAATGTTCGTGGTCGGAAATACGGAAGGGAGTCCCCGTGGTTCGTATCCCATCATGATGCGGAATGGGCTCATCTTCCGTGCCGAGTGTTCCCTTGTGTTATGACAAAACTCGAGGTCTGGCAGGCGGTCGGCCCATGTTTCAGGGTTGTTTCCACAATAGAGTCGAAGATAGATTTCCAGCTCCTGGTTGACTCGCTCTGTTTCTCCGTCCATCTGAGGGTGATAAGCTGTGCTCATTGATGATCTGATCTGGAGTAGTCGATTTAACTCTTGGAAGACCTTGGATGCGTATTGAGGTCCTCTATCCGAGATGATTCGGTCGGGTAATCCAAATTGCGAGTATACTTTGTCATGAAAAATCTTGGCCGTTCCTTCGGCTGTGATCGTTTTGAGGCAGGGCGTAAGAATCACCCCCTTCGTAAGGTCATGGTCTACTACGACCATAATTGAATCAAAACCGTTGGAAACGGGGAGGTCGGTAATAAAATCGGTGGTGCAACAGGAAAATGGTAATGCGTGTGGGTCGGCGGGAATTGGTTCCAAAGGAATACGAGTTGGATGAGTATTCGGTTTCATTTGTTGATAGGCGGCACAGCCTTCAACATAATTGTAGACAAATGTATACATGCCAGGCCACCAGAATTCACGACGTAACAGTTCAAGAGTATTGAACTTTCCAGGGTGACCCATGGCAGGGGAGTCGTGATGTAGTCGAACGAGATCACAACGAAGAGTTTCGGATGGTGGAACGTAAATCTTTCCCTTGTAGAGGATGACACCATCGCGAACTTCCCAGTCGGAAAGCGATGATTTCATGGGGAATGGCCCTTTGTGTGCAATCGCTTCGAGGGCTTCGTGAACAATGAGGTCTTTTGCTGCGTGATTCCTGATTTCGTCGAATAGTGTCGGGGAAATGGATCGCACGAATAGTGCGTTGGGTAAAAGAATGCGATCTTCGTTGTCACTTTCACTGTCATCGAGTCCATTACGACGAGAGAGCGCATCAGATTGGATCATCTGAGTGCCAGGGACATGGATGAGGTGAAGATCAAATTGTGATAATTTGAGACTCCATCGTGCCTGTCGGCGGTTTAACTTCTGAGCTGTACGGAAGTACATGAGGTTCTTGTGATCACTGCGAACTTCGACGGGATGGGGAGAGCCTTCAAGATAATGGCGCCATTCAGTGAGGGCTCGAATGATTCCGAGGAGTTCGCGGTCGTAGATTTCGTAGTTCCGTTCAGCTGGATTGAGCGTCTGTGAAATGTAGGCACAAGGATGGAGGTCTCCATTGATATCGGCTTGGCGTAAAACTGCACCCGTAGCAAACTTGGAAGCGTCAGATTCAACAATAAAGGGTTTTGCCTTGTCAGGCAGTAACAGTACTGGGGCGGTACTGAATCGTTGCTTCAATGTGTCGAAAGCTGTCTGACATTCTGTTGTCCATTCAAAAGGTGGAGATCCAGCGGCAGTGCGCGTAAGATTTGTCAATGGTTTGGCAATATCCGAGAAGTTGGCAATAAACTTCCGATAGAAGTTTCCAAACCCTAGGAAAGAGCGAACACCTTTTACCGTGCTTGGTTCAGGCCATTCCGCAATTCCTTTAAGTTTGATAGGGTCCATGCCAATGTAGTTTTCTCGAATGATCATGCCTAGGAATTCGACTTCTTTAACGTCAAAGAAACACTTTTCCGGTTTAAGGAATAAGTCGTTGTCTTTGAGTCGTTGGAGTACGCGTCGGGTTCGAACGTGATGTTCTTCCAAATCGTTTGAGAAAATGAGAATATCATCCATGTAAATGACTATCCATCCCTCATCGATCATGTCCTTGAAGAGTGCATTCATCATCATTTGGAAAGTCGCCGGGGAATTGCAGAGTCCAAAGAACATGACCATAGGTTCGAAAAGTCCGCGATTTGTCTTAAATGCGCCCTTCCATTGGTCACCATCTTTGATTCTGACATTGTTATATCCGGAGCGTAAATCCATTTTCGTAAAGATCGATGCACCTCTGAATTGATCCATAAGGTCAGAAATGAGCGGAAGAGGATAGGCGTTCTTCACCGTCCCTTCATTCAGGTATCAGTAATCCTGACAGGGACGTAGTGCTCCGTCTTTCTTTCCTACGAAGAAAAATGGTGAAGCCATGGGAGATTTCGACGGTCGGATGTATCCTTTTCGCAGATTTTCTTCCAGGAAGTCATCCATCGCTCCTTGTTCTTTGAGCGATAACGGATAGACTTTACAGTCGCGCGGAATAAAATCGGGTTTCAAGTCAATGGCGTGGTCCCAAGGCCTGGTTTCTGGAAAGCGTTCAGCTGCTTTCTTTTCAAAGACGGACTTCAAATCGTGGAGGTAGTTGGGGACCAACTCCTCGACGGTTTTGGGTTTGTCTACAGCTGATGCTTCCTTGTGTGCCTGTTGTGCTAATTCTTGTGATTTACCGGATGGTTTGTAAAAGACCGTATTCTGTGCATTACAGAATAATGGGGATCGAGTACTGTGTGTCATTCTTCCAATGGCGGGGCCTCTTCGTATGGTGAAGACTGCGGTTTCAGTCTCTTCATTCGTCAAAGGTGACTCCTTCCTGATGGGTTCAAATACCCCAATAACTGGCTCTCCTGCGATATAGGATATAACTAGATTGTCGTCATCGAGCTGATCCATAGGGGGTTCTGATAGTGGGTCATCTGGTTCGGTATCATTCCGCACTGCGGGTAACTCGCCACGCTCAGTGTTATCAGCCACGATTTCTCTGATAGATTCTGAATGCCCAAACGAGGTAGGGGAAGTTTCGGTGGTGATTAACTCTGGGAGTCCACCTTCCTTGAAAATCGAAACTTCTTCATCTGGTGCATCTTCGACGGTGGGTTTCGGTGGCCATTTGGCGTCTTTACCAAACCAAAAGTCACCGGTTTCCCAGTTGATCATCGGATTGAGGCGTTTAAGCCACGGCATGCCGAGAAGTATGTTTTCTTTGCCAATGCCGGTCAAGAGGAAGCGAGTAAGTGTCTTCCTTCCTCCGATTTTCATCATCTTCCAGGTACAATGAGTAATGGTACCCATTTGATTTGGTGTGCCATCTGCATTCATGACTTTAATCGGTTTCGGTAATTCCCATCTGATGAAATCATTTTCTTCCGCAAAATGAATGTTCATGAACGTTTCGGCTGCACCGGAATCGATCAAGGCTTCTGTTGTAACGTCTTCCTTCTCTCCCAACGAAATATTCACAGTGATTGAATTTCCGCTAGTGTTACAAATAACGAGGGGAGATACGGTAAGATGCGACGGTCCATGCATTACTAGTGGCCGTCGTCTCAAAAACCCAATTGGGTTCGTTCTTCGTCAGTCATGTCGTTGAAGACGTTTCGCACATAGGCGATCTGTTCCTCTCTGGTTTCTTCCTTCGACGTCTCCTTCTTCTGTGCGAGGTCTTCTCGCATCTTCTTGATCCATGTGATCGTGTCTGTGTCTAACCCGGGCTGTATCGTTCTAGCACGGGTGAAACTTCCAGACTGGGGGTGAAATTGTCTGTCGTTGGCTAGATGGCCCTTCTTTCCGCATAGGAAACATAATCCTTCTTTCATTCTCTTCTGTCGCTCGTCTGGGGATAAGCGCGAGATATTGACACGATCAACATCCATCGCGTTTGGATCCTTTGCAGAAGCCGAGTAGTAGGGACGATGGACAGATCGGCCCTTTCCTCGCGTCGTCGTAGTGGCTCCTCGCTTGAAGATCTGAGCAGATCTCCATTGGTTATCAAACCGCGAGGCGTATTCGTACCACTTGTCAAGTGTCTTGGGCATGCTTTTCATCCCATATATCCTTTGTCGGAGTGGGTCGTTAAGCCCCCACTTGAAATACTCGATATTTCCGGCATCTTCTAGTTTCGCCTTGGATTCAAGCGATCGGAATTCGGCAATGTAGTCGTCCGCAGTACGAGTTCCTTGCTTGATGTTACGCAGCAAGGTACGAGCGGTTTCTTCAATATTTTCATCGCCAAATGCTTTGTTCACACTCGCAATGAAGTCTCTCCAACTCCCATAAGAAAGGAAGTCGTCATTGGTGAGTTCCGTTTCTATGAAGCTCTGTGCCCATGATCCTGCTGTTCCTCCTTGCATGTGCGATAGCACGAATGCGATCTTCTGATTGTCCTCCTGGTAGACATGGCTATTTCCGGCCATGTAGTTCTTGCATTGGTTTATAAATTCCCTAAGCTTCGAACGGTCTGAACTGTTGAAGATCTCGGGTTTTCTAAAACCAAGTTCCTTCTGGCTAACATGGTGACGTCCTTCATCCATGGTAACTGTAGCCATCGGTGGTATGTAATCGGGTATGATTGGTGCAAGAGTCGGTTGGGGTACAGGATTCTGGGCAGGGGGGTTCCAAGGGGCGTCTGGTCTTTCTCCTCGATAGGAGGTCGTTATACCACTGTCTGCGATGTGCTGGAGCACTATTCCACCAAGATTATGGGGAAGTGTCCTTTCAAATTCCTCTGGGGAATAGTCGAAGTTGTGATTGTCTGGCCTGATGAATACAGGCCTTCCTCCTATGAAATGTGCGTTTCGTTCTGTGCTCCACTCCGCTTGGGATGGGAGGTGCTCGCGGTATTGCTCTGGAAGAGCGGTCGGGTTGATGTAGTTAAAATCCAGCGTGGATAAATTCTTCTGTGTGGCCTATGTCTACACGTAGACTGCACACCGTCCTTAACTAAGTGGGTTCGTTCGTCGTCGGCTAACAAGCCCGTAGAGTGTCTTCTGTCTTCAAACTGATACACCTATTTGCTGATTGCTCGAGTGATTACCTCAGCCTCCTCGGCCTATTGGTCTCTCGGACAGACCCCTCTCCGAAGATGAGTGATCAGTCTATCCCTTCAGCTACCTCGATTACAGAGTAATCTCAAACGGTGCTTTAGCAATCGAATCGGGTGTATCGTTCAGTCTTCAAGGTTCGGTCCGGTCGGTAGTTCGTTGTTAGACTCTAGGAAGTCACAGAGAGTAATAAGATCTCGACCTAATGTTACGCGGCAGCGAAACACGAGCGGCTAGTCGAGTCGTCACGAGACAAGGTCTTAGTCTTAAGACACAAGTCCGTTCAAGTGACACTTCTGGCGATGTCCTCGCACTGAAGGTCGATCAGAGTTCGTTCTTATGACTCGTAGTAGCTGTCTGCTACTAACGGTCGATCTCAGTCAAAGGCAAGTGAAAAGCTGGTTTAATGGTAACCAGGTCAAGATGGGGATCCAGCTCGACAAGGTCGTCTATTTATACAAAAGGTATCCGCAGTACTACGCAGTAATGCGGGATCGTTCATTGGCTAGATAAGGTGAAACAATATCTGGGCAGGGTAACGGCGAGGAAGTAATATGTATGAGAAAGCTGAGTAAGGTCGTGAGAGATAATCAGTACTAATGGGGATAACGAGTCGTGTATCAGAACGAGGTAAAGATGAGGCATACATGCACGTCTTGCATGTGCGATAAGAAGAAGGTCCGGAGTTGGATCCGGTGTAACCCCAGACTAGGGGTTCTAGACAGCTGGGTAAAGAATCGGAGGTTGCGCTCCGATGAGTCATGTGTTGGATCACGTGGTCTGGTAACGTAAAGGGAACAAGAAAAAGAAAAGACGCGCCACAAGTGAGGAGCGTTGTAACAGAGGCGGCCCTTGGGTGCATTCGGGATGCTGTACACTTGCCGCCTGTCGTTCGTGTTGCAGCACATGCCGCACTTCTCCTGTCGAACAAGTACTATGCCCTCACAGATGAATGTGAGGCATACCGTATTTCTATAGGTTTGTTTCTTTTGCAATCTATGTCCGCTTTGTTGCTTCTAATGATGCTACATATTCAGTGATGTGCCCGGACAAGAAACTTGACTATTTCATGAAGCGCGGTTGGAGTCCGGAAGACGTTGAAGATGCAAAGAAGCTTGTAATCAAGCGTTGGGAGGAGACTTACAAGCCCTCATTGGGAGTTACCATTAGCGTTGCTCCTGCACTGGTCGCAATGGTATGTGCACCCGATTGCATTCTCTATTCAAGTTCTGATACCATATGACACCACTGATAGCGTGGTAGTGAATGGCTGACACCAGCCGTCGTTGAGCCAGTCAGACCAATTGACAGTATCTACACTTACCTCGAAGATCCAGTGCTGTCGGCCTCTGCTATTCAACTCATTGGTGGTGTCATGGAGTACTGGTACAATGCAGAACAATGCACCCCGCATCTTGCTGCTATGGGTTCCGACTTCTGCTCAGCACCCAGTGAGTTCATGCATTTGCACTCGGAATGGCATATATCTAATCTACATTGTTGTGTCAAGCTTCATCAACTGATGCAGAACGAGCATTCTCCGATGGTCGTCGTGAGGTCAACTTCATGCAGCACAATACATTGTCACAAACCTTCAAGGCCTCGATGGCGGTGGGTTCATGGGATGGCACTCCCCTTCTTCCAGACTTCCCAGAACTCACGCAATTGATGAGGGCGAAGCTCAGAGGTGACGCAGGACTATCTAATTAGTCGTTAAAATGTCTATAGTCGTGTGTACAATAATGTCAGTACATACTCTCGTTAAGGCATGGTTTTGTTCCACAAGTGTACTTAAGTCCTTTTAGGTGCAAATAAATATATATACCAAAACCGTGGATGAATCCACGTCCGTACGGACGCCATTCACAGATGGCGGGGTTTAAACACATCCACGGATATACATCCGGATGACTATCCGGATGATCCATGCTGGTCCCTAGCTGTACCTACACTCAGTCTTAGCTACCTTTGGCTATATATTGAGTCCACTGCAGCCCTGGTGAGCCTAAGGATCTAGGCTGCTTACACTTTTTTTGCAGTCTCAGAACTACTGCTGAAGTTCTGCTATGACTGGATACCACTGGCTGGATGAGCAGGAGCACTCACTGTGCCCTGCACATCATATCTACTTGGCAACACCTCTCAAGACCTCTGAAGTCACAGTCATCATCAGTGACATAGACCGTGTTGCCAACACACTGCGAGGATGGGTTGAGGCGAACAACCTCACTCATTGGCTCATAATCGCTGACTGGCTGGTCGAGCAACATCTCCACCTCGCTACCCTTCACGAGCACTATGCCTGTGAAGATGGCCTCACCACCATCAAGCGCGCTCACCATCGTCTCAATGCCCTTGCAGAACGCTGCATCAGGAAAACCCAACTTTCTTTTATGGGCTTATTTAGACTTTTGGGTCTGAGAACCCTTATTTAAGACCATAAGTGTTCAAATAAGTCGAATTTCAGACACTCAGGGAATATGCCTTAGGCCCTTTTTGTCCTTATGTCCTTAAATAAGGACCATAAGTCCATTTAAATTATTTAAGTGTCCTTTTAAGAAAAAGTGGGGTTTTCCTGATGTGGGAAGCCAACGTCGCCCACGCAATGTTCAACGTGGCATGGACGCGTCACCACATGACATGTGACCACATCAAACGTGACACTCCTACTCCTACCGTGCTCCCCACTTCCCCCTCTCTCACGCCCGATATCCTTGCCAGGCCAGAGCTCCCGCGCCACCTCAAGACCATTGTGCCGAGTCTGGACCAAGAAAACCAGCCCCGAAAACTGGTGAGGGAGAGTGTGGGGGTAAAGGAGGCCGAGGAGAGGAGAAAGGAGAGGAGGCCGGAGAAGAAGGTGCGGAAACAGCCACAGCGCTACCAGGAGCAGGAGTGGACGCTGTGCAAGCACAACGACGCACGAGGTACACCCGCTCCGTCACCTCCCACAGCGCTGTCGCCATGCACCCACCTCACCGAGCACACGATGATGCCGACGGCCTCAATGCCACAGCGTCGCAGCACACGCATGCGCGTGGCACCCATGATGCAGGATGTGAACGATGCGCCCACCACATCACCAGCACCAGGGGCGCTGTTGACTTGGGGTATGCACGCGCCTTGGCTGGAGGAGCTTTAGACTCCAGGTCAAGTGGGTGGTACTTCGCTGTGGTTCACCGGGCATGGCAAAAGGGAAAGTATGCCGGGCTATCACAGTTGTTCGTTGATATCAAATTTATGATAGTGGGTTAGGGACGCCTGAGCTATACGTGTGATTTGTTGTCTGAAGTCAGGATGGGGAGTCTGCACAATACAGATGGGGAAATGTGGGGGGATGCCTAGCAACCGTGTGCAAGGGCTTGCGTTCTGTCTTCTTATACGATGCCTACAACCAGTGCAGGGCTTAACGGGTTTTCTTATACGAGGCCTACAACCAGTGCAGGGCTTTCCAAGTCTTCATCATCTTCCTAATCCATGTGCCTACAACCATGTGCAGGGCTTTACCAAGTGTGCGTGTCCTAATATGATGTGCCTGGCTGATAACTTTCCTACGTGTTGTCCGAGAACTTTCTGAGAACGGTTTGAGTATTTAGCAACCGTGTGCTAGACTACCCAAAAGAAATGATACGAGAGTGCAGTAGTTGTGTTCGTAACAACTCACTGCCTGTGCTGAACTGACTTCGTCGGGATCCTTTTGATTACGAGTAATAATGTTACTGGGAGGAGTGGAACAAACTCCTATTCTTTTAGTTTATCACTTTGTAGGGTAAGCTACAAGCAAAGGGAGAACTCTTCACTTATAGGGGTGCTACAAGTGGGGAGAGAAGACTGAGGGTCGGGGCACCTCAAGGGTCCTTTTATACCCCTTGGGTGTCACCTGTTATGACCATTACATAGTAGTGTTACATGGCAAATTGGCCAATAGCAAAATAAGAGCATCACGTGATCAAAAGAGAAAGTAGGAAGGAAAAATGTCTTAGGACCTTCGTGTCCAATAGCATAAAGTGAGCAGGGAGAAACAGGGAAGATAAAACTCTTGGGACCTCCGTGTCCAATAGCATAAAGTGAGCAAGCACTGCGCCACAGCACGGCTGCACAACCACACCCACAGCGGCCACAGTGCAGGACGCAGACACCACACCGGCCACATCACCAGCACGAAGGGTGCAAGCCCACGACAGCCTAACGCTAATGCACCTCGCCATTCGGGCCACCGACCGCCCAACAGCGCAGGTGGCACCAGCGGATGTCATGACCGACACATCACCAGCACTGAGGGTACGCCACGCAGGTGCTGACACCCGAGCACGCCAAGTATCGCCGACACACTGCACCGCACCACCAGCACCAGGGGCACGTGCCCGCCTGATGGCGCCCACGGGTTCAGGCGCATCACCGCTGCATGGCTGTGTAATGGAGCCCACAGCGGCCGAGGTGCAGCAGGCAGGTGACCTGCCCGCCATGCCGCCATCGACCAGTGCTGGCAGTGGGCCCACCCACAGGACCCATGCCTCCCAAACCACTGCGTGTGGTCTCCTCAGACACCCCCGGTCGTTGTCTATGGAACCGTAACCTGAGGTGGATCCGACGGGTTTTCTGGAGTGGGAGGGAGTGTGCGCATTGCACATTTATTTTATGGTATACATTTTCTTTATTTCTCTCATATGTGGTACACTTTACTTTACCATATCCCCATTTATTCCCCTTCTCTTCCGTTCTTTCCCCCTGGGTTGTTTCTGGTAGGGGAGGGTGTAACGGGTCGGTTCTGATGACCATTACTCATTATGGACTGCTTACTACTTACATAAGCAAGTTGCTTTATATCCCCTACACTCACCATCTAGCTGTACCTACACTCAGTCTTAGCTACCTTTGGCTATATATTGAGTCTACTGCAGCCACAGATCCCGCTCCTGAAGGAAGACAATTGGCTCCCGTAGAAGCGCTACATCGAGGTCATCCTTAACGATAAGGGTCTCCAGGAGTATGTGACCGGAAAGACACTGAAGCCGCAGCTGAGTAATGACCCGGTCAATAGGGTAGTGAGAGAGGTGGAGATTAGTGCCTGGGGAGAGAATGACCTCAAGGCCCAGAACGTAATTGTGCTATCACTGGGAGATTCCCAGATGGTGCACATTGCTGGAGCCAAGACGGCACGGGCCATGTGGGAGCAGCTCCGCACGGTCAAGGAACAGCGCGGACAGCATGGGATTCTCGAGCTGTGCCGGCACTTTTACTGGATGCAGGCCAAAGAAGAGGACAATACCCCCTGTCACATCACACAGCTGCGACAGATCCAGGAACAATTCCATCTAATGGGGAAGGTTGTTTCTGACAAGGATTTCCGGCTCATCCTGGCCACTTCATTACCGGAGAGCTGGGTTCTTTCCTCAGCTCTTACTTTGGCACCGAAGGCGCTGACAACGTGCGCCCTCAGCTTACATCACAAGAATTGATTGCCATCATTCTTGATGAAAATAGGCGAAGGCACGAGCGTGGCGAGCGCGGTCAATCCTTGGACCAAGCCATGGTTGCCAAAGGAAAGAAGCGCCCCTTCGGGAAATAGAAAAAATGTTCGATCTGCAAAAAGCTGGGACATCTTGGTAATGAGTGTCAGCACCGCGACAAGGTCAACTGTATGAATTGCAGAAAATTCGGGCATAAGGCCACAGATTGTTGGGCTAAAGGCAGCGGTAAAGCCGGACAGGGCCTGCCGATGAAGCAGCAAAAGACGGAACATGCTTATGAAGCACGCGAGGTCGAATTGAAAGAGGATGAGGCAAAAATAGCCTACAATAATAATAGCGACACTGTATCTCTCAGATCTGATGGCAAAATCGCTTCTTTCTATGAGTGGTTTGCCGACTCCAGGACAACTTTGCACATTACAAATCGTCGTGAAGTCTTCGCAACCTGTCAGGCGCTCGAAGATCATGCGATCACAGGCATCGGACTGCAACCAATGCAGGCATTGGGCCATGATACGGTTGATGTCGAAAGTGAGGTAGGAGACTGGAAAGTGAAATTCCATCTCCACGGTGTACTGTATGCGCCGACAGCACCCAATAGCCTCCTCTCCATCACGCGTTTGGATGACACAAGAGGAAGAGTACTTATAGGTAATAGTCGCGCAATATTAATAGATAAAAAGAAACATACTCTTGCCATAGGCAAGAAAAATGGACGACTACAGTGTAACGGCACCACTTTGCACACCAGAGTGTCTTTGGACATGTTGCCCCTGCCACATCATATTTTCCCTCAAACTGAATAGACAGAAAATTTCTAAAACATATCAGGATGTCTAAATCGATTTTTTTGTATTTTTAAATGTACTTGGGACATGTAGATAGCTCGCGCAAACGGAGGCTGAAATCTAGGCTGAAAGGCATGACTTTGCACACCCGTGGGAAACAAGGATCTTGAGCTAGTCGGTGTCCGAGGCATTGTCTTCGGACGCTGCCTCAGCATATTCTTTTGCTTCTGCAACAGCGACGACACCTTCTGGCATCCGTTTGGGCTTCAGAGGACACTTGGGCCTTGGTGGCAAGTCCTTGACACGCACGTTCTCCGACTGCAACCTCTCGCACTCTGCCTTCCAGTCATCCATTGCCTTCTGATGTTCGGCCTGGATCACTTTCCATTCCTCCTCTGCGTCGGCCTTCACCTTTTTCTGAGTAGCTCGCTCGTCCTTTCGCTTATTCTTCTCTACTGCCTCTGCCTCCTTCCTCTCACTCTGCTCGCTCAGCTGCTCTGTGAATTCAGGCTCTGTCAGATGTCTCCCGTGCCCGCCTGGGAAAAGCACAGTGCGGTCATCCTTCTTTTTGTTCTCCTTGGCATGCAGGCTCTCTTTGTACTTCAACAACTCCATGTTCTGGATGACAATCTGTGCATTTCGACCCTTGGCCATCAGTAAGTTCTCTGTTCTCTAGCTCCAGAGTTTGTCCAGTACGATACCCAGCGGATGGTGTTCTCTCCAGCAGAGACCAATCAGGCTGAGGGAGCTCTGGGAGAGTCTCGAAGATGGGCTTTGTGATTGTGTATGAGGAGGTCACACGCGTCTTCGAGAGCAGCAAGGAGCCTGATGACATCATTGCCAATGCCTCATACATCAAGCGCATCCGCTTGGTGGGTGTGTCAGACTCAGCACCCTCTTGGCCGGCATGCAAGCACCGCCGAGCTTTGGGGGACAATGCGAATAATGGGGTATGAGGCGAAGGATGAGATGCAGTGGGGATATTTGTTGGTAAGTCCATCAGTGCGGGATCTATATTTTCACCCACAGCCTGTGTTACTCGTGTCGAGGTTCGAGGAGACGACACGGGCAGGTGTGAGGGTCCTGCGATCAGTGCGGAGTGCATGCTGGGGGAGAGCTCAAATGCTGTGAGTGGACGACTGCCCATGGTCTCGAGGATGGCACGCACGAGGCTTGGCTGTTGGAGAGGAAATCCGCTTTTTGTGAAGGTAGCTAGACTTGGTTTGGTATGTTTCTCAGCAACTGCATCCGGATTGAATGGCCAGATCCCTGTAGCCTCGAAAGCCGCTCTGACCGTCTCCTCGGTGAACGCGCGCAAGAATGCGCGCCCGAAGACTCCAGCAAAATCAGCCTTCATAACACGAGACCTGTGAAGGGCTTCAAATTGCTGGATCTCCATGTGGAACTCCTTCTTCAGCTTAGCGAAGCACACAACATCCAAACCTTGGAGGGCATGAGTGCAGTGAGGAGGGTAGCCAAGGATGCAAATATTGTTTGCTCTTGCATACTTCAGCAACTCAAGAGTGTAGTGGGAGCTGTGTCCGTCCATAAGAAGAACACGGGTACGTCCCCCGGCCTTCTCTTTTGTATGGGCATCAAAGTCCTTAATCATCCATTGCAGTCCTAGCTCGCCATCTGTCCATCCATTCGGCGAATGCGCAAACCTACATGCACCATTTGGTCAGATTACCGATGCCGATCTGGTGAGTACTCACGATGCCCCTGAGACATTATTGTCTGCCCATTTCGTCATGAAATTCTTTCCCTTGAAGACGATCGTGGGATGCAGTGTTGTCCCATCTGCACAGATCGTCACCAAAGCTGTCACATTTTCACGATTACTGCCACCCTGCTTGTGTTGCGTCTTGCTCCCACGAGCTCCGACCATGCATGAAGTTCCTTGATCAGAAGGTGGGCACCCTGTCTCATCCATCGCATACAAATCCTCTGGCCGAATTCCCTGCTGCACTACAAACTTCTCAACCAACTCAAACCACTTCTTTTTTGCCTCTGGATTCATGGCTTGTGCTCTCTGCGTGTCTAGTGGCTTGCTCCAGTGCGTCTGCAAAACGTCATGGTGGCGGTTGAGGAACCGATCTGCCCAGTCGTCGCCAACTTTCTCGCACTCTGGCCCAAGACGCACTGCTCGTATGATATTTGCGCAAGATTCAATGTCGAAGATGTACTGGGGGAAGCCACGCTCAGCCGACTGAAGAAGGAAATCCACGAGCACGGCTTCCTCGGCAGGTGTGAGCTTCTGCTGCTCTTCGTGAGCTTCTTGTACACTGCGACCGCCATTGGCACGATTGATTATGGTCCTCCATTGATTAGGAATCCCGAGGTCCTCAGCAATCTTGCGTGCACCTCTGCGTGACCCCTCCGGCTTCGCCTGCTCCTGCCGATATGTAGCTACTGCCTCGCACATCTTCACATCTTTCGCATGGCCCCTCTTCAGTGTCTTGACGCGTTTTGGAAGGGCCTTCTTTGCCATGAGAAAATCTGAGTGTCAGAGAGGCAGGATGTATCCAGAGGAGTGGTGAGAGAAGCACGTTGTGTCGCGTCGTGTCACATCGTGCCATGTATCAATATATGTTACTCTAGCTCACGTTCTACACCTCCCTATCTTTCCATGTATGGGACAAAGATCTTGTAAAATATCCTAGCTAGGCTTGTGAGGTCTCAATTATGCTGAAAATTTTGTGCTATGTCTGGTAATGGTGTGGACAAAAAGTGGTGATTGGGCCAAAATCACGTTCTCGGAGGGTATTTCCATCACTGCTCATCCGCATCTTGCTGGATTCTCATGAGAATTGGTACAAACTAAGGTCTATATGTAATGAATATGGGAAAAAAAACCGGAGGTGATTCGACAAGAATTGAGGGTGTTTTCCTATTGGTGTGCAAAGTGATGGGGGTGTGCAAAGTGGTGCTGTTACACTGTATATACATTGAAATTGTGTCCAGTTGTTCCACAACCCACGCGAACCTATACTGCTAAGGAATACGGCCCGCATACCTGGAAAGAGTGGCACAAGATCTACGGCCATATCGGGAAACTGGCGCTTATGCGATTATATTGTGAAGGGCTTGTTGATGGCCTAGAGATCTCGCCGAGCCCAGATGAAATTAATTGTGAGGCGTGCATCCAAGCAAAGGCGATGCGGAAGCCATTTCCCAAAGAAATGGATGAATGCAGCAAGGTACCCGGAGAATTAACACACACAGATGTGTGGGGACCTGCGCAGACAGCCACTCTACAAGGGTGAAAATATTTTATTACGTTTACCGATGATTACAGTCGTCGAAGTACAGTACTATTTATGAGGCATAAAGATGAAGTAACTGAAAAGGTAAAGAATTATATTACCTATATCGAGCGCAAGTTTGGAAATAAACCCTTGCGACTCAGGCTCGACAACGGTCGAGAATATATGAACACCGAATTAATTAACTGGTGTCAAATGAAAGGGATCGAGATGGGTCCGACTGCGCCGTACTCACCATCCCAGAACGGAGTCTCTGAGAGATTGAATCGCACACTGCTTGGACTAGCGCACGCGATGATCTATGTGAGAGATCTACCTCATTATCTTTGGGCTGAAGCGATTGCTCACGCAGTCTATATTAAAAATAGATCGCCTACCCAGGTGTTAAATGGGGCAACTCCCGAAGAAAAATGGAATGGGACGAAACCAAATATCTCGTACCTACAAGAATTCAGTTCCCCCGTATGGGTCCTCACGGAAGACGCAACACTATCAAAGCTAGCACCCCGTGCCAACAAGTATATTTTTGTTGGATACATGGACGGACCCAAAGCCATCAAATATTATGATGCGCACACGCGCCAGATTAAAATCTCGCGTAATTTCCAATTTTCTTCGAATTTCCCGGACCATTTGCCCAGCAATGTGCCTCACGTGCCACAAGAGCAAATAGGATCTGATGTACCTATCCTCACAGCACAGCGTGAGGGGGAGCAAAATATATTTCTGGGCACTTTACCTAGCAATGCGTCAGACATGCCGCATGTATCAGGAAAACCCAACTTTTACTTATGGGACTTATTCCGACTTTTTGTCCTTTTTTGCCTTATTTAAGGCCCATAAGTTTCCAAAAGTCGATTTTTAAGGCTCTAAGGAAATATGACTTATAGACTTTTTGTCCTTTTTTACCTTATTTAAGGCCCATAAGTGCATTTAAGTCACATAAGGACACCTTTAAGTAAAAGTTGGGTTTTCCTGATGTGTGGAAAGGAGACCTGAAGTCCCATACCTCACAACGACTGCAGATGTGCGGCGCGAGGAGGAGTTAGGAACTTCTGCACCACAGTCACCTGCCAAAAATCCGCAAAAGCACAGATGGGATGATGATCCTGATCAACGCGAGGAAAGTGGGACGGACACACCAAGCCAGCCCAGACGAACCAGAGGAAAGACAGTTCAGCATGATTACCGTCTAATGCACGACCCAGAGGCAGATGAAGATCTGGATAATGATCCAGATAAATCAAATGCCGAATTAGTCTATATTGTGATGAGCGCCCACGGAAATGCGGACGTGGACGAGCCAAAGATACTCAGTGATGCCAAGAGATCACTCAAGTGGCCCAAATGGGAACAGGCAGTCCAGACGGAACTCAATCAACTACAGGGTATGGAGACTTGGGAGTTAGTAGAACCTCCCGAAGATCGAAAACCCGTAGGAAATAAATGGGTTCTAGTCAAGAAAACAAACAAAGAGGGTGAAATAATTAAATACAAAGCCCGCCTGGTTGCGAAGGGATATTCTCAAATCCTAGGCATGGACTATACCGAGACGTTCGCGCTCGTAGTCCGCCTCGAAACCATTCGAGCTTTCCTCGGGCTAGCCGCAATCTTAGATTGGGAGATCGGACAGATGGACGTGAAAGGCGCCTATCTTAACAGAACTCTCAAAAAAGAAGTGTACATGCGGCAACCCAAAGGATACAGCGACGGAACATATCGCATATGTAAATTAAAGAAAACCCTCTATGGGCTAAAGCAGTCTGGCCAGGAATGGAATATCGTGCTGAATCGCAAGTTACTAGACATGAGATTCAAGCGCCTATTCTCGGATCCATGTGCGTACATTTGGATCAAAGATGATAAGATAGAAATCGTCACCATTTGGGTAGATGACCTATTAATATTTACCAATGATTACGCACTGATGGACCAATTGAAGGGGGAGCTCCAAAATATGTTTGAAGTTACTGACCTTGGCGAACTCTGGAAAATTGTGGGGATAGAAATCAAGAGAGACCGTTCAAAGCGGACAATCAAAATCTCTCAGACAAAATATATTGAGTCTATCCTACACAAGAATGGACTTACAAATGCCAACACAGTCGGAATGCCTCTTGATCCAAACACAGTGCTCGAAAAAGAAGAACCAGAAACTGATGACGAATGCAACCGAGACAACGGATATGCATCGCTCGTCGGATCACTGATGTACGCGGCAATTGCCACGAGGCCAGACATTGCTCACGCCGTGCAACGGCTTAGCTCATTTACTGCCAATCCCGGAATGGCTCATTGGACTGCTGCCAAATGCGTCCTCCACTATCTATCCGGAATGCAAGAACTTGGAATAATCTATGGGCCAATTGCAGATGTCAAGCCTGAAGATCAAGCCAAATTCGTGGGCTACTCAGATGCAGACTATGTGAATGATATCCGAGATCGCAAATCAATCTCGGGATATTTATTCAAATTAGGAAATGGCACGATCACGTAGAGCTCAAAGAAGCGAGCCATGATCATGTCATCTACCACGGAAGCTGAATACATGGCATCCGCGGAAGCGGCAAAAGAAGCCATGTGGCTCCGAACACTATTCAAAAAAATAGGTTTTGAGCAACAAGATCCTATGATTTTATTCGAGGACAATACGGCGGCGACCTCAATCACACGTGATCCTCAATTTCACGCGAAATAAAAACATTTTGATGTAAAGCATTGCTCTCGACTGCGAACGTGCTTGCAAACCCGACCAGTGCAGCGACTATGGCTGGGACCAACCCAAGCTCCGTGACATCCAATGTATCACGAACACTCGCCTTACCGGCACCTTCTGAACCCGTCCAGCCTACATCAGCCTCCACCGCCACCTCTGCGATGTCCTCGCTCATCCAGATCACCGCCCTACTTCCCGCACGCACGGCATGCGCAAAGCTCACACCACGCAAGCTGTTCAACATTGCGTACCTCGCGCCAGTCTTTGCGCTGCTCGGCGCTGCCTTCGGTGCGCTTGTAGCGTGGCTCTTGTCCCGTAGACTCTACCATCGACAGGAGCACGAGACTCTCGAGCCTGGGCCATGGTACGTCGCACCCGAGATGGGCACCGTGAGGCAGTCACTGGGCAGGGAGACGCCAAGCATGTACTCAGCGGTGCCTGTCTCGGAGCAGGCTCCGCTCGCTCGTGGTGCGAGCACTGACTGGGGGAGCTGACTAGTGCGTGCATTCTCTTCTGGGCGACGTGATGACTGCAGTGCTTCATCTGCCACCAGTAGCTGGCAGAATGATGCATAAACCCCTATAACTGTAGGCCAGTCGTGTTGCATACATCCCTGTAACTGTAGTCCGGTGTTTATGCATAGGTCCATCCCATTTTGGATACCTTGGTTATGCATCCCGTTATGCATAGATACGAACAGTTATGCATCCCTCTATTTCCCGCCTTACAGTCCGCCTTTGGACAACTGCGCCTCTTGTGCGCCCTTCAGATTTTCTCCCGATTTTCCGAGGCTTGGGTAGATCTCCCTCCCCCGTGGAGATCTCATGGCCCTGCTATCGAAGCATTGAGGAATCACTTCGACACTTCTTTTCATCATCCCTGGCATGTCAATCTTCAAATTTCAAATTGCTCCCAGATCACTGCCTCTGTGCCTACACAGCTCTGCTCCCGCCCTTATCCCACTCCCACCATTCTCGCTTGGCCACAGTGTAGCCTATTAACGAGGTGAGTGGTGTCTTCTCACCTCCCTTGTCTCTTCCATGGTTGGCATCACTAGCTTCCGTCCTTGCAGTGCCGCACTGCAGAAAATATTGCAACATGCGTGAATCCCGTGAATAGGTCCCGTTACCCTTCCTTCCCCCTCTGCATCAGCACAATCCCTGTCTCAGCTCTTCCTCCCTCGCTGACCTTGCTCTGACCTTCCTTATCTATCGCACTAGTGTATTGCCTCTGCCAGTCATCACGATTATTGTCGGTTTCTCGCCTCACATCCCGATTCCAGATACATTCTCCATCGTGCCAGAGTCAGACTTTATGTGCAGGTGAGCGAGGGACATTGTATACTGTTGAAACTGATGGGCTGTCGGCTTGCAGGATTCTTTCTCGACGCAGTGTACTGTAGCCGTAGCGCATCCGCACCATTTCCGGCCCGCTTTTACTCTGCGGGATTCGTTATGCATTGTCATTATGTATCACCTGCACCGCTACCCTCCTGTATGCATATTTAATCTAGTAATCAATATACGTCATCTCCATCGTTGTATGCATCACAACATCCATTGTGCATCCTCTATGCATAGAGCGCACGATGCTCCCATGATCTTGATGCATTCTGCATTGTACACTATGCATAATATACCGTATGCATCCTGGAGTACCTCTATGCATAGAGCGCATTACATGCCAATCTTTTTTTAAATGCATTCTGCATTGTGTTATGCACTACACATAGTATACTGTATATGTCATCTACTCCTATGCATTGCAAAGTGTCAGACACAAGTGCATATTAGGCCGAAATCATAGTCCCCTACGCTCTACTACATTCAAAACATCGTATCGAGAACATTAGTATTTCATACCGTACACTACTAATCCACATCATCTTCTATCTTCAGCCATTCCGGCACGTCCTTCCATGCTCGTTCACAGATGCTGCTCATGGCTCGGCGTATTTCAGCCTGGCGATATGCATACACAATGCAGCCCTCTTCATGTTCGGGCAACCTCGCAACAGTCCCTTCCACCTGGTCAAGCCACCAAGATGCGATCCACTCTTGGAACTCGAGGACACAGTGCATCTCCTCCTCCAGCAACTGGCATTCTTCTGTCCACCTATGAGCTCTTGCTCTTGCCTTGCACCACTCTATTCGAAGAGCTGAGGATTGCGGCATTAGAACATATCATTATTGGACAATCCACGTCACTTACAGTCTTGCGTGTCTCCGGCACTGCCTTCACCGGCTCCAGGGGCCATCCAAATCCAAGCCAGTGTTCTTCTACCTTCGCTTTCCTGAGCTAACAGTTCAGTCATCCCTCGTACATCTGTAGTATTGAGTGGTCGCAGCTCGGATTGCCAGCCAACCTTGGCGAGCGGCTGAGCGAGAGCGACAAGGGCTGCGAAGGTTGTCCGGTATCGCATGGCGTCTGCGTTCACCTTGTCCTCAATGGTTTGGATGGTAGTCCTTGCACGGGTGTTCTGTCACTGTCCACGCACGAAGCGGTCCTTGTAAATGTACATGTGGGAGCGAAGCCGCAGATGTCGGCAAAGGTCGCTGAGGATGTCATTTGCCAGTGTGTAGTGCAGTCGCCATTCGACTTCCATCAGAGCAGGACTACAAGCCATCATACCTTGAACAGCACTTGGCAGAAGCAGTTGCATCTCTTGCACAGGAAAGGGTGTCTCTTGGGAAGCGGCTGCCCACGCACGCAGCACATCGACACCTGGCATATACAACCGCTGAATGCCGTACCAAGCCTCAATCTTCCACTGCAGCACATTGCATCTCTCCTGGATCTTAGCTCGCTGGAGCTCAGTTGCGTGTTGACCTAGGGCCGCAGCATCGACCTGAAGACGTCGTCTGAAGCCCCTTGTATCAGAAATGTACCACTGATCACATTGGAAGGTAAAACTTACTGCTGTTCTTCGAGATCAAGGCCGTTGTTGATCATCATGCTCGCCGAGACCTGTTCATGCACGGCGATGTGTCGTCCTTCGCTCAAATTTGTAGCTTCTTCCTCAGCCAGCTGAAGGCGAACACCAGCCAGAGTGACAGCTGGATGAAACAAAGCACTGACAATTAGTAGCTGTACAAAGAAGAGAAATAATACCGACTAGGCCGAGTGATGACGAACAGATTTGGAGAGGTTGAATCATTCTCCCAAGCTTCAACCATCTCCTTCCATCCTTCTGCCGAGGATTCTGCAGTCATAACGGCATCGAAGTCCTGAAAGGCGGAGACGTGTTCACAGCGCTCTTGAACCGCGATCTTGACCTTCGCTAAGAATGTAGATGCTAATGGTATAGTATGAGCATATTGTATCTCGAGAGAAGACATGATTACTCACCAAGGTTGCTCACTTTGCGCCAGTTACTGTCTCCAAATGCATCATCCAAGACGTCATGGCAAGAACCCGGTCCCATCTCCTTCGTGCTGGAAGCATACGGGTTGTGTGTGGCATGTTCCCACTCAACACCTTCGCCATCTGTCCGAGCGACCCACGGCAGAAGGTTGAAAGAGTAGGCGATGTGGCACGATTCTTGATGCGCCGGAAGATGGAACTTGGGAATGATGAATGTAAAATCACGATTAAGCAGATTGGAAGACATGCTGTAGTGCTTGAAGTGGGTCCAGATATTCTTTGACCACTGACAGGCAATGTTGTACGATGCGACAATGTCGATCTTTTCGAATGGGCTGTGCTGGCAAACCGTAGACCAAAATAGATAATCCATATTGACGTATCTATGAGATTTCGGTCAGTTTGGTGTTAACTTGGGCCTGCTAAGATGCACCATTCCCCCTTCTGCAGATCGCCAACTGAACATGGTCTCTTCATATCGTGTCACACGCAATCAACAGTCCCAATGCCACTCGCAGCAGTACTTTGATGTGCACCTTTCATGCTGGCAAGCTTCAGGGCGTCGTGGTTATTGCATGTGCTGATTTCATCTGGGAACGCCTTGTCGTATGTATGAAGGTGCTCCTTGTATGCCTTCTCCTCCACGAAATATGCATATCCGTGGTTGAGGCCTGGGTCGACACGATCAGAGGATACTTTCTTGCGCTTAAGCCTGAAGTTGGCATCAATAGATAAGAATAATCTGTAGAGCCAGCTGCATCATCATCAATTTCCGGTGTGCTGCTCTACGAATGATGCTTACCTCTTATCCTTCAGCACGTCAGCCCAATCTGCAGGTAAATTCTTCCTGGGGTGCAGACATGCAGGGCACAGCACTGCACAACCACCAGGAAGTGTGGCTGCAACTCTGCCAGGGTCATGCCCGCGCCCTGAACACTTGAGCATCTTCAGATGTTGCCATTCACGCATCATCCTCATGAAAGCAGGATAACGATCCTATGCAGGTAGTATATCAATTCAAAATGCATAAATCCAGGACCAAGCCATACCTTTGGTGGATTTACACCGGTGTTGTCCGTGCGACGTGCTAGAGCTGTATAGAATTCATAGCCGGAGATCTTGGACTGTGCAGAGATGAGATGGAATGTTTCAAGAAGGCGAAAGGTGGCTGCTGTCTTCGGATCCACTGAAGTGGCAGGGAGCATGCGATTGCAAAGCAATTGAGTGGGGTGGGATTGCGCAATCTCGCATCCACAAAAGTCCAGCCCAACTTTGTGAATTCCCGAAATGTCCATGACGATGAAGCCATCACCGAACGCTCGAATGGGATTTGGGCATTGATCCCCGGGTGCATGTCCAAGCTGCAGATGCAAGCCCAAATTCTTGAGTGTCTCGCGGTGAAAATGAGTGTCGGTCAAAGCCTATCAAAATATCCACATGAGTGTTAGCATGAATCGAACGAGCAACTGCGTACTTTCAGCCAGTGAAAGGGGCTTCCAGCGTGCCTATTCACGGTACACGCCATGCAGTAGACCCGCAAATCCTGACAGTCTTCACAACGTATAGTGGCTTGATCAGTTTCGCAACCCGGGCAAAGCTCGTCTGTGTACCCGCATCTTCCCTCAAGATGAATGAGCTCTCCCAGCCAATTGTCGATCTCAGGTACCCACTGCAGGAGGGGATTATCCTACATGGCCATTTAGTGCAATGACATAATGCTAGACGTGCAGAGAGAAATACGCACAGCAGCAGTGCGCTTCCGAGCCCAGCCATCGACATCATCAAGCTCAATGTGGTGGATATACTCAATGTCAAGATCAGAATATCGATCCTGCCACGTACTACTGTCCGCGAAGGAGTCCTGCATGCTTGACGCATCTCCTTGTTCAACCAAACCAGAGGCAGCAGAGTTGCGACTGCGATCATCAACAGTGTCTAGGAATGAGGTGCGAGTAGTGACCTTCCCATTCCGCAAGAACGAGTATGTGATATGGCGCTGGAGAACGGATGGCTGCACGACACAATGGGGCAAATCTTCATCCTGGCTCGGGCGCGACGACCTGTAGACCTCGATGCGGGCACCACCGTGCCTTGCACGCTTCAATGAGCGAAACATCACAGGAGAGGTGGGTGCTCTCAATCCATCACAATAGTGGCAGAACTGCAGCAGGTACGTCAATTTTGCACTCTGGATCAGGAAACGCATTTAGAATAAACGAATTTCTCCATTCTGCACAGAGGAAGTCCAACTGTTACTCGATGACACTGCCAGGTTTTCATGCGGCAATCGTGGACCTTCCCAAATTACACTGGCGTTGGCGTTGCGAAACCGTGACAGTTATGTCAATCACTCTTGCTGGATCAGGAAACGTACCTAGAACAAGCAAATGTCTCCAGCGCTGTTAACATTCATCCGCGTGGTTGATATCCACTGAATGCAATTCATCCATGTGGATGACTTTGATGTGACTGCGGAATAACAGGTCTCCGCGCTCCTACTTTGTAATTGCGGAACTGAAGCAGGTGTGTCAATCTCTCACGCAGGAACAGGAAATGCACAGAGAAAAAAGGAATTTTTTCGGTGTGGCGCATCTGCGCAGATGAACTTGATGTGTCCACCGATGGCACTACCAGGTCTTCCTGCAGAGTGTATGCATAAATTGGGGCACATCACTGACATGAAGCATGTGCACCATCGAGATGGATGGACTGTCGCATCATGTCACTACACATGATACATGCCACTGCTGCTCGGGACACCCACAATCTCAAAACCATATGGAAATTGCCCTGCCATGTTCAAAGGCCTTCTGCAAGCAGTATACGATGCATCGAGCTGCGATTATGGGTTCAGCCAATCATATTCGCGCACGAATGCAAATCATCACCACTCACCGATGCAATGGGATTGAACACTAATGGTTTCTTTCCTATCAATGTCAGTCAACAAACAATGCCCTACACAGCCTCTTGATAAATATGAAAAGCCACCGAAATACAAGCACAACATAGTGCGAGTAACAACTGCAGGGCGATGCACAGTTATTGAAGGCAATGGAAAATATATCCAATCACAGATGATATATACAAATACACTATGACGCAGAGAAACGCACGTGAATGTCTAAACTACACTGACACCAATGAGATCCCACTGCATCAACATCTGCTGCACAAGCACATGGTAACTTAAAATGAACGGCCTATGAGCAAGGAGCACATATCCCTGTATGCAACCAACTCACCACAGCAATGCGCGATGAGAGAGAAGCCAGCACACAGTTGAAAGGACTCGCCCCATGAAAACGACTAGAGGAGTGTACGACGGATGACAATGTGACTGTACCGAGGATGACAGAAGTGTACGAAAGTACGAATGAGAAGAGCGTATGAAAGAATAAGAGGTGCACCAAAACGAGGATGAGAGGTGTGTACGGAGAAGAGGACTGATGAGAGGTGTCGATGGAGAAGAGGATGGAGAAGAGGAGCGCACGGGGAAGAGGAGTAGTGCACGGGGATGAGGAGTAGTGCACGGGGATGAGGAGTAGTGCACGGGGATGAGGAGTAGAGCAGGGAAAAGGGGAGCAAGAGGAGGAGTGCATGGAGAAGGAGCAAGAGGAGTGCACGAAGGAGAAGGACAAGAGGAGTACATGGACAAGATGGACAAGGACGAGAGTAGTGATGTAAGGAGAGTGAAGAGGAAAGAGCGTAAGTGTAAGGATGACCAGACGAAGGGAGCAGAATGATCAGATGGAAATGGGTAGAGAAGATGGGAGTACAACCGGGCTGTTGGCTGGTCTTATATACACAGCTGAGACAATTGAAACTCCGCCGTCGGAAGAAGGCGCTCCGAGACAACCCAATGACCAGTCCTTGAGTCCGCAGCCAATCACCATGCAGATAAGTATCCTGCTGAGCGAGGTGCTCCAAAACATATATATCGTCGGAGCCTTGAATACGTGGGGAAACCCAAGTGTACATAGCAGCTGGGAGGCCCAGCATATAGTAATATTACAATATATTGGACCCGAACGTTGTGGTGCCCCATAGTGGTGTCGACACATGGAATTGAGTTAGTGGACTTAGCACGCTCGGTTCGTACTACGGTGGCATATTGCTCTGGAGTGTCTTAATGTATAGTGTTCATATGCTGCCACGGTAACTTGCCTGCTTCTAAGATTCTCGTATACTTTATCTCTCCCTTCTTAACGATCTCGAGCTCCCTTGCCAGAGTACATATTATTTTTGCCCCCCAGTCCAGTGCGACGTCACGTCCTGTAGTGACTCTGCCATCCTCCCAACTCGCACCATGTAGGACCACCCATGCTTTCGTGTGCATAGTTATTTCCATCTCCATAGCTGCTATCTGGTCTCGCACCGTCTCCTTGTTGTCCCAAATTTCTGATCTCAGTCTCCCTGCCTCCACCAACAGTGCAAACTGTTGATTGCCGAGTCCTCTCGTCAAGCGTATATGTTCGAGCTTGCTGACCTGGCCAAATTTGAGGTAGGCCTCCTCTGTGACATTCATGCCTCGATGCTCAGTCGAGGCACCACCCTTCGAGTCCTTCTGAAGGCTACCGGGATTGTACGTGTAGGGTGGGGCCCACAAACTGAGGTCCACAGCAGTCTCCCATCTACCTCCGACAAGGGAAGGCTTGCGTGCATATTCCAGGAGGTGAGGTGGGAGAGATGTCTTGGGTGCTGGGAAAAATGGGCTGGGATGATCTCCATTTCATCGTGCATATGCTTGTTGGTTCTGTTCACTTCGAGTTCTTTCTCCTCTGGGTGAAAAATTAGTGTTGCATGTACATAAGTTATTGATTACTTTACAGCTTCTTTGCATTGTATTTGGACCTGGCAGCTCGATGTCCTTCGCTCTGAGCCTCGGCTGTGAGGTATATCGTGCGACGACCCATGGCTTCCACGTGAAAGTGGAGGGGAGTGGAGAAGACAGTAAGTATGGCCATGCATGGCGCACTGTCTTATCACTTCATTATCTTCACAGGGAATCATGAAATGCAAGATTTATTACACGCGACACCAGCAGACAAGACCCCGCGAGCCAAATCTGGTCCATGCAAAGACATAATGGTCTACCATAAAATACAGTGATACAACAGATACAGCGCCAAGAGCCCACCCAACCCCGACGGTGGCGATCTCATGGGCACAGCGCAACGGTCCTTGCAGCGATGGCCGCGCGGAAGATCTGGAAGCCATTCTCCCGGGAGGAGATGCACTCATGGCACGTGTTCGGCACTGTGGAGACGAGCGGCGAGACACTGGCCCTAGAGGTACACATTGTTCCGGTGAGTTTCAAGAGCATTGTGTAACATGGCATGCAACTGACCAGCCTTGAAAGACCCCAACTTCCTGTCCACGAGTAACAACATACCATCTACCGGGGAGCACCGGCAGAGGCTGATTGGCTATCACCAGGGCACCCTCAATGGCTGCCTGAAGCGCCTCTGGGTCATTGAGGGGCCCAGGTACGTTGGGTTGACCCAACCTGGGAGCAGGAGCTCCAGCAGGACCAGCTGTGGGGCCAGCCATGGCGGTGGCAGGGGCAGCAACAGCAGGAACAATGGCGGCAGTAGGAGCAGCGGTGATGACAAGGGGGCCAGCAGCAGCAACTGTGGCAGCAACAGGAGCCGCGGTTGCAGCAGCAACTGCAGTAGCAACAGCTGCAGGGCCATTAGCAGCATGAGTAGTGCCAAGGCCAGCGGCGATGGCGGGAGGAGGATCATCAGGGCCTTTCATGCCAGCAGCAGCTACGTTGGTGTGAACTCCTATTTTAGCAAGGTTCATCAGTTTCTGCGTCTGTCAGGCCTAGTACTTACTATCTGCATAGCGATGTCAGTCAGTCTCCTCACATTCAAGGGGTTGAGGACTTACTGGCTCATGCGTCCTCTGCAGCCTCATTGGCTATGAGCTGCTGGATGACCATATGCCACGCTTCATCTGCAAATGAACTGGTAAGTTTTGAGGAGTGTATTTGCGATGCGAGGACTCACCAAAGTCGCAGCCAGTGATGAGAGTAAGCGCCTGGAACAGATCCTCCAGCGAGAATGTGAGGGGCAGAACCTGCGGGGGGGCTTCACCACACATGTTCTGACAAGCGGTCATACTGCTTAGACGGATGAGAGCAATGGAAGGAGACATGAATGAGCTTGGGTGGATCAGGCGAGGTTCGGTGCCTCTTATATACAGTATGAGGTGACAGACGTTATGCCACGGGACTCATTCAACTGCTGACGCGTACTGACAGGGTGCTTCTTAACATGACCCACAAGAGAACCCACCCGCTCGACATGATACTAGGTACGTGCTTTGATTAGGCGATAGACTCCCGAGTGCTCAACCCGAATAATCATTAATAGGTCGGGAGGTTGTTCTCGACCGTCCCGTGCTCTTCGAAGTTCCTAGTCATGCCACAGAAGACTTGGGCCACCGAGGCTGAGACGGCGCTCCTCACCTCCCTGCGACCATCGTTTCTCGAGAACCAAAAGTGTTGCACCCTCACCAAATTTTGGGCCTCCCTGAACACCAAATTTTTCCAGTGATTTCCTGAGCGTGCTAAGCTTTTTGGCCCCGACATCTCGGATAGCATGTTATCTGAGGAGCAACGGACCACGCTCAGGGAAGCCATCAAAAAGTGGCAGAGCGTAAGTAAATTTGTAATATCTCAGTCCGACGATGACATATGCTAAAGTCTTCGCAGCAATTGAAAACATGGTTCAATTCGCGCCACCCCAACAATGCTCGGAAGGTCGCTTGCATCACCCTGATCACGATGGAGAGCTTAGGCGTGAAGCCCAAGCACCAAGTTCTCAAGGAGCGGGAGGAGTATTCAAGAAGGTTCTACAAGGATAGAATAGAGTCTCACGTGAAGGCGGCACTCGAGCGTGAAAAACTGACGCATCACGAATCCCTTAATGTTGTTAACCGCATCACAGATGAACGGTTCGAGCAGGAGGAGGATTGGGTGAGGAAGCAGGTTTTCGATGTGATTGAGGCCAGCAAGAAGCAGTCAGATGAGAAGAGCTGTGGCGGTGATACCGAGAGGTCTCCCCGCCAGTACCAACAGTGAGTGCTAATTTTTTGTTCAGCAGGAGCCTACATTTTTAACGGTACTCACAGAGCAATCAACGACATGCCGATTATCCTGAAGCAGGTATTCAGCGAGCTGGCGGCAGACTCAGGTTGGGACATCACAGTCATAGCGGGAGGACCATGTCCAGATGAAGAAGGCGACATCGTCACCATTGCGTATGTACTCCCCTTTATCTTAGTGCTCTCGTTGGCTAATGCATAATGTATGCATACTTTATGCATAATATCCCACAGGTCGCATTCTGGAACGACTGAAACTGGTCACACCTTCGGTGACATCCACCCAGGCATCATGACCAATGTGATGGATGCCTTCATTGAGCATCTGAAGGTCATATATCGTAAGTCACAATTGGATATGTTGTTCGGTCTGATACCAAGAATGTATTATAGCTTCAGATGTTCAGCGGTGCCATGCGCTTGATCTCTCGGAAGAAAGTGCTGCAGATATTCTTCCGTCCGCGGCGGGTCCATCGTCTGCTGGTACAGGAAGGGTAGCTACACCGGAACTCCACCCACTGCACTGCATGAGCGCTGAGGATTCAAGACATGCCAGCGGGAACAACTTTTCCGAGGCTCCTGCTGTTCCACCATGTCCGTCGGAGCATGCATCGCCATTGCCGCCATCATCGCCCACACTCTCACGATCCCCATCGCTGTTGCTGCCCTCTTTGTCCTTGCCATCTTCTTTAGAATTTGTGGCTTCGTTGACAGGGCCGCCACAATCCCCAATCCCCATGCCGCAGATACCTCAACCTTCGCTATCAAACGTGATGAACACCTCGGGATATGCATCTTCCAACTTTGACCTGGCGGGTCACGCATCTACCACGTCTGTCGAAAATGACGTGCTTCTGCAAGTGCCACTGAATGGGTGGGGTGCCGCATGGCCATTGCCATCGGGTCTCGGAGGTGAGCAAGTACCATGGTCAGACTTTGATGTCAGAATGTGGACGCCCGACACTACCAACTGGGTTATCAACGAGCTTGGTGTAGGACTTCCTGACCTCATGGACTCTGCTGCCCCGGCAGCGATTTCGGTTGACGGAGTCCCATTGCAGCCAAATCAGGGTTCCTGTTGGGGTGATGCCTCCGATACTGGCAATACGGTATCTGGCGCACATGTGCCTGGACCTCACATTGCAACCAGTCCAACTGACATTGCCAACCTTGGTGCATTCTCCGTTGTGCAAGACCAGCCTATCGTTCTCCCTGCCACATCTGATATGGCCAGCAGTTCAATATTCAGATTCCCAGTACCACCTCCTGCATATGTGATTCCCATGCATGCCCTCACCGCCGCTGCCATCAATACCAGCTCCGGGACTTCCAGCGATGCAGTATCGCTGCCCGCTGACGTTGTGCAGTCCGGCATTGATTCATCTGCCGAACACGATGCTCTCTGACATTCTGGAGTCCATAGTGCACCCGTCGTCCAGCCTGTTCTGGCGTCTGCCGCACCAACTATTGTTCATAGTGCACCCATTGTCCAGCCTGTTCCGGCGTCTGCTGTGACAACTATTGTTCAGCCAGCTGACCGTGTCGCGCCCATGCACTCTATTAACATGTTCTTCCCCCCCCTGTCGATCTGGATGGTACATCTGCAGCACCAAGCAGTACTCCCGCGTCGACCTCCTGCTCCTCCTCACCTGTCAATCTGGATGGTACGGCTACATCCGCAGCACCAAGCAGTGCTTCCGCGTCGACCTCTTGCTCCTCCTCAGCTCGGCCTTCTTGCATGCGCAAGCTTCCTCCGACTGCAGACTCAATATGGGAGCCCACAGCAGCTCAAGCCAGGAAGCTCAGCATTTCAACAATGGACATTAATTCTGTGAAGCTGAAAAGAAAGTCTGCAAAGGAGAATAAGGCGGAAGTGGGTGAGGGCGATGATAGGGTGAAGAGAAGGAGGCGATGAATGCTCTGGTGAGTCTCGCGTAGTGATCTTGGTGCCGTTGCGGCCACGGCATATCATTTCTTGTACTTCTTGTATTCTTTATCATCGCGATATCTTGTGCGCATTGTGTTCAGTCGCTTCCGCTTCCGTAGTGAACTATCTTGATAGAAAAATACTTTAGTAGCACGGTTGTGAACAAATATATTATTTGTTTTCAGCCTTAAATTCTGCTACATGCTGAGGATAAAACACCTGATGAATTGATACTGTAGTCGACAAAGTAAGGACTCTATAGAAACTGCCCTTGCCTGGTGAGATAATGGTCGAGATCTGTGTTACTCGTGCTTCAATCCTGATGGGAGAAACTAGCCCAGCGAGCCTCTACCTGTCTCTCAATTCCTGCCCGTCTGGCTTGCTCATGTACTTGTGTTGAGCACGCACCTGGCATCGCTGCACACACCTGGCATCACCGCGAGCACCTGGCATCGCCGAGGGCAGCAGTGCACCCAGTGACATGAACTTGGGGACCATCAACAGACTGCAAAAAAGGAGTGGTAAGAAAATAATACTCAGCTCCTGTCTGTCGTGCCTGCATGGACATGGAGTACTGAGCGTTGAGTAAAAGCTCCCCGAGATGTTCGTGCATCCAGTCACGTGAATAGAGATCGACCAAAGACATGGAATGACAGGAAAGATCTAAAAGAAGATCCCACAGAGATATGAGATCAAATAATAAGGGACCTGTTGGAAAGTAGCGCCCAAATTTCTGGAGCTCCAGAAATTGGGGAGCGCCCAAGGGCAGACAAGCCGAGGGCATGATTACAAAGAAAGACAAAGAAGGAAATTTGCTTATATAAAGTGGAGCGTCTAGAACTGTATATATACAGAAATCTATTTTAGGACGCGTAATCACGCGCCCCGACGCATCTTGACCCGCCATCACTACCTTCCTATTTGGGAACTAAGGCGCGATTTCTAACAGGTTATGAGCCTCGGCTCTAGCCAATAAATACTTGGATAACAACAGCCCCTATTGTGGCTACAAAAATTGTTACCCCCTTACTAGTACGAGAACAAATAATGTCGACCAGCGCTGATAATACGAGCAATAGCAATGCTTACCGGATCCCGCTCCTGAAGGAAGACAATTAGCTCCCGTGGAAGCGCCACGTCGAGGCCATCCTTAATGATAAGGGTCTCCAGGAGTATGTGACCGGAAAGACACCGAAGCCGCAGCCGAGTAATAACCCGGCCAATAGGGCAGCGAGAGAGGCAGAGATTAGCGCCTGGGGAGAGAAGGACCTTAAGGCCCAGAATGTAATTGTGCTATCACTGGGAGATTCCCAGATGGTGCACATCGCTGGAGCCGAGACGGCACGGGCCATGTGGGAGCAGCTTCGCACAGTCAAGGAACAGCGTGGACAGCATGGAATTCTCGCGCTGTGCCGGCATTTTTACCGGATGCAAGCCAAGAAAGAAGATAATATCTCCAGTCACATTACACAGCTACGACAGATCCAGGAACAACTCCACCTAATGGGGAAGGTTGTTTCTGACGAGGATTTCCGGCTCATTCTGGCTACCTCATTACCGGAGAGCTGGGACTCTTTCCTCAGCTCTTACTTTGGCGCCGTGGGCGGCAATGTTGGCGCCGAAGGTGCTGACAACGTGCGCCCTCAGCTTACATCACAAGAATTGATTGCCATCATTCTTGATGAAAATAGGCGAAGGCACGAGCGTGGCGAGCGCGGTCAATCCTCGGACCAAGCCATGGTTGCCAAAGGAAAGAAGCACCCCTTTGGGGAATACAAAAAATGTTCGATCTGCGGAAAGCCGGGACATCTTGGTAATGAGTGTCGGCACCGCGACAAGGTCAAATGTATGAATTGCGGAAAATTTGGGCATAAGGCCACAGATTGTTGGGCTAAAGGCGGCAGCAAAGCCGGACAGGGCCCGCCGATGAAACGGCAAAAGATGGAACGTGCTTACGAAGCGCGCGAGGTCGAATCGAAAGAGGATGAGGCAAAAATAGCCTACGATAATGATAGCGACACTGTATCTCTCGGATCTGATGGCAAAATCGCTTCTTTCTATGAGTGGTTTGCCGACTCCAGGACAACTTTGCACATTACAAATTGTCGTGAAGTCTTCGTGACCTATCAGGCGCTCAAAGATCACGCGATCACGGGCATCGGACTGCAACCAACGCAGGCATTGGGCCGCGGTACGGTCGATGTTGAAAGTGAAGTAGGAGACCGGAAAGTGAAATTCCGTCTCCACGGTGTACTGTATGCGCCGACAGCACCCAATAGCCTCCTCTCCATCATGCGTTTGGACGACGCGGGAGGAAGAGTACTTATGGGTAATAGTCGCACAATACTAATAGATAAAAATAAACACACTCTTGCTATAGGCAAGAAAAATGGACGACTATATTCATTGAAATTGCGTCCAATAGTTCCGCAACCTGCATGAACCTATACTGCTAAGGAATATGGCCCGCATACCTGGGAAGAGTGGCACAAGATCTATGGCCATATTGGGAAACCAGCGCTTACGCGATTATATCGCGAAGGGCTTGTTGATGGCCTAGAAATCTCGCCAAGCCCAGATGAAATTAATTGCAAGGCGTGCATCCAAGCACAGGCGACGCGGAAGCCATTTCCCAAAGAGACAGACGAATGCAGCAAGGTACCCGGAGAATTAACACACACGGATGTGTGGGGACCTGCGCAGACAGCCGCTCTACAAGGGTGGAAATATTTTATTACATTTACCGACGATTACAGTCATCGAAGTACAGTACTATTTATGAGGCATAAAGATGAAGTAACTGAAAAGGTAAAGAATTATATTACCTATATCGAGCGCAAGTTTGGAAATAAACCCTTGCGACTCAGGCTCGACAACGGTCGAGAATATATGAACACCGAATTAATTAACTGGTGTCAAATGAAAGGGATCGAGATGGGTCCGACTGCGCCGTACTCACCATCCCAGAACGGAGTCTCTGAGAGATTGAATCGCACACTGCTTGGACTAGCGCACGCGATGATCTATGTGAGAGATCTACCTCATTATCTTTGGGCTGAAGCGATTGCTCACGCAGTCTATATTAAAAATAGATCGCCTACCCAGGTGTTAAATGGGGCAACTCCCGAAGAAAAATGGAATGGGACGAAACCAAATATCTCGTACCTACAAGAATTCAGTTCCCCCGTATGGGTCCTCACGGAAGACGCAACACTATCAAAGCTAGCACCCCGTGCCAACAAGTATATTTTTGTTGGATACATGGACGGACCCAAAGCCATCAAATATTATGATGCGCACACGCGCCAGATTAAAATCTCGCGTAATTTCCAATTTTCTTCGAATTCCCCGGACCATTTGCCCAGCAATGCACCTCACGTGCCACAAGAGCAAATAGGATCCGACGTACCTATCCTCACAGCACAGCGTGAGGGGGAGCAAAATATATTTCTGGGCACTTTACCTAGCAATGCATCAGACGTGCCGCATGCAGAAAGGAGACCCGAAGTCCCAAACCTCACAACGATCGCAGACGTGCGGCGCGAGGAGGAGTTAGGAACTTCCGCACCACAGTCACCTGCCAAAAATCCACGAAAGCGCAGACAGGATGATGATCCTGATTAACGCGAGAAAAGCGGGACGGACACACCAAGCCAGCCCAGATGAACCAGAAGAAAGACAGTTCGGCATGATTACCGTCTAATGCACGACCCAGAGGCAGACGAAGATCTGGATAATGATCCAGATAAATCAAATGCCGAATTAGTCTATATTGCGATGAGCACCCACGGAAATGCGGATGCGGACGAGCCAAAGACGCTCAGTGATGCCAAGAGATCACTCGAGTGGCCCAAATGGGAACAGGCAGTCCAGACGGAACTCAATCAACTACAGGGTATGGAGACTTGGGAGTTAGTGGAACCTCCCGAAGATCGAAAACCCGTAGGAAATAAATGGGTTCTAGTTAAGAAAACAAACAAAGAGGGTGAAATAATTAAATACAAAGCCCGCCTGGTTGTGAAGGGATATTCTCAAATCCCAGGCATGGACTATACCGAGACGTTCGCGCCCGTAGTCCGCCTCGACACCATTCGAGCTATCCTCGGGCTAGCCACAATCTTAGATTGGGAGATCGGACAGATGGACGTGAAAGGCGCCTATCTTAATAGAACTCTCAAAGAAGAAGTGTATATGCGGCAACCAGAAAGATACAGCAATGGAACATACCGCATATGTAAATTAAAGAAAACCCTCTGCGGGCTAAAGCAGTCTGGCCAGGAATAGAATATCGTGCTGAACTGCAAGTTACTAGACGTGGGATTCAATCGCCTATTCTTGGATCCATGTGCGTACATTCGGATCAAAGGTGATAAGATAGAAATCGTCACTGTTTGGGTAGACGACCTATTAATATTCACCAATGATTGCGCACTGATGGACCAATTGAAGAGGGAACTCCGAAATATGTTTGAAGTTACCGACCTTGGCAAACCCCGAAAAATTGTGGGGATAGAAATTGAGAGAGACCGTTCAAAGCGGACAATCAAAATCTCTCAGACAAAATATATTGAGTCTATCCTACACAAGAATGGACTTACAAATGCCAACACAGTCAGAATGCCTCTTGATCCAAACACAGTGCTCGAAAAAGAAGAACCAGAAACTGATGACGAATGCAACCGAGACAACGGATATGCATCGCTCGTCGGATCACTGATGTATGCGGCAATTGCCACGAGACCAGACATTGCTCACGCCATGCAACGGCTTAGCTCATTTACTGCCAATCCCGGAATGGCTCATTGGACTGCTGCTAAACGTGTCCTCCGCTATCTATCCAGAATGCGAGAACTTGGAATAATCTACGGGCCAATTGCAGATGTCAAGCCCGAAGATCAATCCATATTTGTGGGCTACTCAGATGCAGACTATGCGAACGATATCCGAGATCGCAAATCAATCTCGGGATATTTATTTAAATTAGGAAATGGCACGATCACGTGGAGCTCAAAGAAGCAAACCACGGTCGTGTCATCCACCATGGAAGCCGAATACATGGCATCCGCCGAAGCGGCAAAAGAAGCTGTGTGGCTCCGAACACTATTCAAAGAAATAGGTTTCAAGCAACAAGATCCTACAATTTTATTCGAGGATAATACAGTGGCGATCTCAATCGCACGTGATCCCCAGCGAAATCAAAACATTTTGATGTAAAGCATCATTATGTGCGCGAAAAATTGAGGGATAAATATATTGATATCCACTACTGTCCCACGGAGGACATGATAGCGGATATCCTAACAAAGTCACTCCCTAAGCCGAGGCACGAGAAGCTCACAAAGAAGCTCGGAATGCCCATCGGCTTGAGGGGGAGTGTTGGAAAGTAGCGCCCAAATTTCTGGAGCTCCAGAAATTGGGGAGCGCCCAAGGGCAGACAAGCCGAGGGCATGATTACAAAGAAAGACAAAGAAGGAAATTTGCTTATATAAAGTGGAGCGTCTAGAACTGTATATATACAGAAATCTATTTTAGGACGCGTAATCACGCGCCCCGACGCATCTTGACCCGCCATCACTACCTTCCTATTTGGGAACTAAGGCGCGATTTCTAACAGGACCGAATACCGCTGAAGCAGGAACATCAGCAAAAGTCAACTTTTGGTTACCTCCATTTAGCTCCCTTATCTCCTTAATTAAGGAGGTCTCCGTTCTTAATTGGGCAATTAACGCCGATAAGGGTGAATAATGGAGGAATAAGAAACGGGATCTCCTTATTTTTCCTTAATCAAGGGTATAACACCAGTAAGCAAAAGTTGACTTTTGCTGATGAAGGAGGCGGGTGGCAGTGCTGGAGGGCGGGTTGAGCGCCAAGTAGCCAGCGGGAGGACGACCTAAAGCAGATGGGACTAATAATAGCATTTCAAAAGAGGAAAGGGGGCGCGCTTCCTCCTATGCATACCGTGATGCATTCGCTATACATGAATATGCATCCTGAATGCACAATCTAATGCATGTGTAGACGGTACTATGACTATAGGTGAGTGTGCATCACACTTGGCTTACAGTCTTAGGTATATTATGCAACAATATGACATGTACGCCTGCGTCTGCAGACACTGTTATGCAATCTGCGGGGCCCAACTCGGTTTCGGCGGGGTATGTGTACGTCGAGGTGGAGGACGATCCGTTCCTCAGCGTCCCTGCGCGGGGACAACCATCTCGTGCAAGTTCTAGCTCTCGGTCTGGCTCTGGCTCTGGCTCTGGTTACGAGTATAGCTCTGGCGCTGGTTATGGCCACGGATACGGTCCTGTCGGCGGGCGACAACAGGTGACCTCCCCCAGTATGCTCAGCGATGACGGCGCTGAGGACGGGGTCCCGTACGACACGCTCCGGCACAAATCTATTCGGCGTGGGATCCTCGAACGGCTGAAATTCGGGACGGTGCGCCGCCCCGCGTCGCAGGAGACGGTCAGTAGCCCCACGGCGTCCACCGTGCAACACCGCCCTGGGCACCGTCGCGCGGACTCGGACTTCAACGTCGACGATGTACAGACCGCCGTCTCGAGCGCGAGCGCAAACATGTACTCGGGCACGACTGCCGCGAGCGTATACTCGGGCAGATACGTAAAACGGTACCATGCCGAGACAAGAGATATGTTGTCACGGGCGAAGAAGCTTTTCGGCGCAATAGTGGCTATAAATTCACCGGGCTAGAGGTGCCCCATATTTTCCCTCTGGCATCGTTTTATGAGGTTCTCCCTGATATTTGGCTTATTGTGCGCAATGTTGTCCCTCCCGAAAAGGCTTCCGTAAGGCGAGAGAAGTGTTGGGATGTGTTCGTGTTCGTGGCAGGAGAGATGGCTTTATTTGCGTAACAAGCAGTTTGTTGGGCGGTGTTTAATTATTTGCGTATCCATCATGTTTGTATCAACCAATTTCACGAAATCCACTAGCGAATTGAAAACGACATATAACATAGATTTAGCTGAGATTTCAAAGTACTGACTCTTGATCTGCCTAGTGTGAAGTTGTGCGGAATGAATTTCGGCTACAATTCCAGCAGATCGTCGGCACCTCTGCGTCTGCCATGACCCCTGACGTGCCACGAAAGACAGACACGGAAATGTTCAATAAAGAACTGGCTGGATATACCATGCGCTTTCAGAACGGCCAACTCTTGAGAGACGTCGTCACTGGGAAGTCGTCCAATGACAGGAGCACCGGACCTCTCAAACCGGTACAATGTTCCATCTGTAGGCTGTTAATTGATTGAACCAGTCAGTAATAGGTCACCTGTGAGAAATTAAACTTACCCATATGCCGAACTGATAATTGTCAAACAGCTTGTGGACATCTGCCCTCAGAAGCATTGCATTCTCCGGTTTATCTGCAGATTTATAATCTTTCAACTGTTCTGCCACATCATGTGGCATTGCTGCCATAGCAGTAGCCTGCAAAACGACGACGAATTATCAGAAACACAATATCTGACAGAATGACTTCTATGCGCACGTCTCCTGTGAAAGCTAGAGGGAAAATATGGGCCACCTCTAGCCCAGTGAAGTTATAGCCACGATTACGTCGAAGAGCTTCTTCGCCGGTGACAACACATCTCTTGTCTCGGCATCGTACTGTTTTACGTGTCTTGTTACTCTGTAAATCCGCACAATATCGTGAACTGATGTACCACGGAATATCCCTTATGACACTCACACGACGTTCTGAGTCATTCTTGGGACTTGGACTTGCGCTGGATGCAGGTTTTAAGGGGCCTCTACGCTGCTCGTGCTTTGAAGAACAGAGTAATTTGTGCAGTTCGATGCTCACAGGGATCAGATTGTCGTCAGATACTTCATGCAAGGTAATCAGTCAGGATATCACAGCGAGGATAATAGGTGACATACATACACTTGTAGGGTGCATAATGACCAGGATTGAGTAGCGCGGTGGAATCCTGAGGAAGATGCTGATCTACAGATGGAGAAGAAAAGAATGAACGGTGATTAGTCCTGGACAACAGCCTGGGATCCTTGCATGGCACAAGAACTAGTGTATCTACAGTGAAAAAAGTTCAGTAGATGCAATTTCTACAATGCCAAATCTCTCACCAAACTGCGAACTCCGGTTGAGGTTAATGATCATGGCCAACCACTGATAGAAAACATTAACTTGAAGTTTGGAGAAAGTGTAGCACCGTTCGAAACGAACAATTGTCCGTTAGTCAGTCATCTTGCTGTAGTCCAATCCCAAAATGATCTAACACTCACCAGCGACAAGCTTCAGCATGCAGTCAATATCTACCCTAGAGCACCAGACATGGACATCTCTCTGGTCCTCGTTGAAGTAGTCTTCCGTGTCGAACTCCATAGTGAAGGGAGAGGGATTAGGGATTAGGGATAGCGGATGGTGTATTGAGCACAGATTGGATTTGAGAGTTGACGATGGAGGATTGGGTCACTCGACACACCTCTTATGTAGCTTAGCATATAAAGGGATATCCGCCATGATAGGAGTCCGCACGCTGTGTAAGACAATAGAGTTGAAAATTTTACCGGTGAGAAGACTGTTGATGTGACGGGTGGTAGTAGTGTGTATGTTGTGTATGCTTCGTAGGCCGCAGCAACAACCCGAATTCCCACACGTCGTCTTGCATAAAGGAATCGATCTAGAAACCGCATGATGTCAAGAATTTGATGGACAGTTTTAAATTCATCCCGGATCACAACGATTGAAATTTGAGTACCCACTGTAAAGTACAGGTCGACAATACTAGGGACTTGCAGGTTGTGGCGCAATTGCCAACTCCTTGGTAAATTTTACAGAATCATTGAGAGATATCAGAGGTTTGATGGGTTTGATGAGCTAGACAAACGGCTCCCTGATGTTGTGGCAGAGTAATCGCGGCCTAGGTCGCATATTAATGGCGATCCTCGCGTATATTCATAGTGAATGGCTACTACCTCCGAATCAAACATGAAAGCTATACTAGTACCCCGAGACCTCGCTGGATGGACGAATGCAGTGAAAATTAGCCATGAGGAGAAAATGATCTTGAATTGTTGCCAAGAGCAGCCTGCTTACCCAGCTCAAACATGGACCCACCACGGGCCGAAATCGGAAGAATCCTACCAGTCGGCTAGACAACAGGAGTCTGAAACCATTATCGTATTCCCCCGCATGCATGACGGCTGTTTCACGATTAGTTCTACCACTTATTGTTGCTAGTGATTGACGGACTCGAGGTCAGATGGCGGCAGGCCAAGCTTCGGCGGTTTCGTTGAGGTAACAGAGTGCTGCCGGTCCCACGCCGTAATAGCGTTACGCCACATCCTTCTTTGCGAACATATAAAGGCCGACAGAGATAGCCATTGGAACCATCATCCTCACCATACTATCAGACATGAGCCAGTCTGTACCATACGAACCCATACACACGCTGTCAGAGAAATCCCGCCGTTTGCAGCGCAATTTCTTCCTGTGGTCTGACCGCGTGGTTGGTGGTGCGTGGAAACAATGTTCCGATCTTATGTTGAACCTGACTGACCTGCCTTTTGGATGGGCCATGCCGTCATCCTAGGCCTACATTTAGATGAAAACCACCAACTCTCTGCAGCCACGCTGCGCCGCTGGATCCTACTCGTATTTAACGAGCACGCCTCGGATTTCGAGAATGCAGACGTCTTCGAAATTCGTCCTGTGAATATCTGCTTCTCTCAAGCGATGCTTTTTAACTATGCCGTCTGCCCTGCGGGCGATACCATTGACCTAACATCGACCGAAGCCTTGGCCCCAGGTGATATAGGAATATGCCGCCCTGGTGCGTATAAGCGACATTTTCGCTCTAACCGTCATGACTAATTTTTTTGTCAGGTACCAAAGGCCCTGTTGTGGATGAATTGCCTCTGCTCACAGAAGGAAAGTCATTCGCCTTCCTGAAGAAAAGCTTGTCAGATGTTGGAGGCCTTGAGGTGAATATTGAACACCCCATGTGGGCATTGCTGCTGACTGCTTCTGCCTACAGTGGGGTGAAATGTCTGTGTCCTTTCAGGAAGAAGTGAAAGTGAGAGACAGCGAACGCTGCATTTTCACAGGTACATCATCCAATCAAGCTTCTCTGGTCATCAGGTGGATCTATCCGCCATTTCTTGCATCTTTCGTAAGCCTAACAGCTGGTGTCATGCCTTACATACCATAACCTCGTGCTGCTCCTCCACTATCCAGAATATGGAGGAAGATATGAGGCAATACCTTTCAGTTTCAAATGCGCTGACCATGAGGGAAGATCTAGCCAAGGGTTTCGAGGAGAATGAATTTGGTGTTGATGTTGATGTAAGTATGCCACCCTTTCTTCCGCAGATATTCTGATATCCGTGATGCTAGGATAATTACCGTATCGTGTCGTTTGTTCCCTCGGCATCCTCTTACCTGTTGCCTCGCACCCATCTTGATCTCTCCCACTTGAGTCAGAATGCGCGCCCGAGTGATGAGTACCTCAGAGGCCACTTTATCCGGTGTCTTGTAGTCAACTTCCTCGGTGGCGATATCTCCGAGATATATGAGGACGTCGATCCGGACGAATTCTGGGAAGAGCGTGGTGTGTTCGACGAGGACTATGACTTCGATGAACAGGAGTGGCACACGGAGCTAGGACGGGAGGCGAAGGCACTTCTCTTTAGAAGGTGGCCAGGAAGATAGTGAGTGATAATTGTTTATTTGACTTGATTTGCGGGATTGAACGGTTTGGCCTGACAGCCAAGACTAGAGAGAAGCGGTTAGCTGGGTCATGGCGCAATTTGACGTCCAATGCGAGGGAAGTGCGGGTCGCTCGGTGTCTGTAATTGAGAATGTTATTGAATACTCACAGCGTATAAATGAATGCCCATGAAAACATGGAGTCATTTCTCTGCTTTATTTTATTTTATTCTCGAAGCTAGGGGGACAGAGTATCTCTGAAGTAGTGGCGCATCGGTATTTACAGTAAGGAAACTCCAACTCAAGGACCTTGACTGATTTAGATATGAGACATCCATGTGAATCTGCTCCTCTCCTTGTCTCGTTCAGTCCTATGACTGACACATGCACTGGAGACAATGCTGGCTGTACCGGGAGCTTCGGCATGTCCTGCCTGCACCACAGCGGTATCAAACCTGCTATCCACCGCTTCTTCAGAGTGCATGCGAGAGACTACCGCACGCTGAGATGGTTTGACAGCGGTGTCCAAACGGGTTGCGCATGCGGATCTCGTGCTGGTCCTCGGCTCGCCTCCTTCGAGTGGGCAGCCAGCTTCTTTCTCCATATGTTATTCAGACCTGTGGGAGACAGGCGCGAGAGTTGAAGGAGAGCGGCCTGGATCTTGGTTTAATCATCTTGAAATCGAGGATACATTTCTAGGTATCGAGGGTGCCATCAAAGATTCTATTGCGGCATCAGTCAGGCATCATGCCTTATAGCGAGCCGCTCTTCGTCCTTAGTTCTCCCGTCAGATGGTGTGGTGTATAGCAACTAACCAGGTATTCTGACCACATGGCCTCTCGACAGCTGATGTTGCCGGTCTTTCCTCCACGACTCTATATCTTTACTCCGTGTGCCTTCCGAAGGAATGCGGCATTCCTGTGTGAAGTTGCTAACTCGTTCGCACCACAGTTTCTAAATAACTCACTTAGCACGCATACTTCCCCTCTGCATAACCCACATATCCGAGCTTCAGAATCGTCCAAGAGGCAATGATGCTTGTCGCTCCTCTCGTCAACGTTGTTGGAAGCCTAGATGATGAAGAGGAAAGTAAGCCGTGTGTCCTGATCCTCGACCATCGTGTACTAATATATGTCCGTCAAAAGATATTGCTGCCCGCAAGCCATTGACTCGTAACACCCAATCGACCGACAATCGAAGGACAGAACATATATATTTACCCCAGCGCACGCGAAGTTTTGAATTCCAGTTTTCGTTATAAGCGATATTGTACTATGCCCTCCCGTCACCATCGGCATCCCCCTACAAGTCGGCAGCTGAGCATTTCTCCCCGTCTCCGGTCCCCCTGATTACCTTCTGTGTATACGTTTGTACTGGCATATCTTAAACCTTCGCGAGCTTGAACGGCGGCGAACGACGAGTTCTGTTTTCGGCAGAAAATCACTTTTTTGTGACATCCCAAAAGGCGTGACTGATGGGTGACATAACGCGTTACTGCCATTTCGTCGATAATTCAAGACAAACTCATGCACTGGGCATGCACTTCAATATGAACTACCGTTCACGGGTACATAGCTGTTCCAGGCGCGACAATCCGGTGTTCTTGAATGGGACCAATACCAGGAACCTACCGACCTACTTCCACCCGTTGAGTGCACGTGACCGTCTATAGAGTCACTGCAAACTTCGAATGTCTCTCATCTATTACCTCGAGCTCCGCTGGCCCCAATTTGCTGCAGTCTGCATTATCCTGCAGCTGGTTACCATCGTTTCCACCGCTCTACTCACTCTCGGTGTTTTCAGGACTAGTCTTAGCCTCAAACGGTCGCAGTGACAACCGCTGCCCATAACTACGAATTGCCGCAGTGTACGATTTGCCTCTTCTTACACATCAGTTTTTCCGAGTTGTCAGTCCAGTATCAACTTTGCATTGATGGGACCTTCACTTTAAGATTTTTGTCGAAGTCTTCCACTTTCTTCCGCAATCAGAGTCAGATATCTGATCTACACTCTCCTGTCGTTCGTTGTCGATCTTGCATTCGAAGATATACTGGTCGAACGCCCAATCATGCTCGGTCAGGGTTCAAATAACGGAGACAGTGCAGCACCACGCAATAAGTTGCACGGTGTCAGCCATCCCACAGTTCGAACTGAAATGGTTGCCCTCCACTCGGTTCCGTCTTCCCCTCTGGACAGATCCCTCCTCTTTGCACCCGAGAGATATCCCAGACAGCGGAATTTGAGATCACCCAAATCATCTCTTCCCCCCAGACCTGCAACAGCCCCACCGACTACTTCTATATTTGCGTCGACCGTGAGTAGCCCACGGAAGACCCTGACGCCATTCAGCCATTCCTTTGCGCACCAAAGGCCGACCCTTTCTGATAGGGAAAGCAGCGGGAACATCTTGCCGCCACCTCCACCGTTGTGTGAGTTCGAATCCTCAAAATTTGTCCAAGTAGATACTGAGTTAACCTCGTTGCAGTCCGCCCCACCACGTTCTGGCGCAACCACCCGAAGTCCGGTGTGACAGGCGCGTCCTACTCCCCTTCAACGTATCTCATCCGCCGCTCCACCTTTATTGCCGCTGGGCTGCCATTTGACGTCCCCGTTGCAGACCTATCTGCGCTCTGCGTTGAAGCCCGCGTCGGCACCGTCTTCCTCCCGCCCTGATCAGCCACAGTATATATAATACGATACAACGCATAATACTGTAAATCGTACCCATGCCTGTCTCCCGCCGACACATCGTCTCCCTAGTTGTCGCGCTCACATTGGCCCAATTCGGTCGCGCAAATGGATACCGATTTGCCCGCCATATACGGAAGCAGGAGGCCTCAGCGCCCACGACGACATCGAGCTTCGACTGGTGGCCGTACCCCTCCTGGGGCGCCAGCACCACCATGCTCTCGACCGCGAACGTGCTCGCAAACCCGACCGGCGCGGCGACTACGGCTGGGACCAACCCAAGCTCCGTGACATTCAATGTATCACGAACACTCGCCTTACCGGCGCCTTCAGAACCCGTCCTGCCCACGTCCGCCTCCACCGCCGCCTCTGCGACGTCCTCGCTCATCCAGATCACCGCCCTGCCTCCCGCACGCACGGCGCGCGCAAAGCTCACACCACGCAAGCCGTTCAACATCGCGTACCTCGCGCCAGTCTTTGCGCTGCTCGGCGCTGCCTTCGGTGCGCTTGTAGCGTGGCTCTTGTCCCGTAGACTCTACCGTCGACGGGAGCACGAGACTCTCGAGCCTGGGCCGCGATACGTCGCTCCCGAGATGGGCACCGCGCGGCAGTCGCTGGGTGGGGGGACGCCGAGCGTGTACTCGGCGGTGCCTGTCTCGGAGCAGGCTCCGCTCGCTCGTGGCGCGAGCAGTGACCGCGGGAGCTGGCTAGCGCGCGCGTTCTCTTCTTCTGGCCGACGCGATGACTGCAGTGCTTCGTCTGCAGACACTGTTGTGCAATCTGCGGGGCCCAACTCGGTTTCGGCGGGGTATGTGTACGTCGAGGTGGAGGACGATCCGTTCCTCAGCGTCCCTGTTGCGCGGGGACAGCCATCTCGTGCAAGTTTTGGCTCTCGGTCTCGCTCCGGCTCCAATTCTGGCTCTGGTTCCGGCTCTGGTTACGAGTATAGCTCTGGCGCTGGTTATGGCCACGGGTACGGTCCTGTCGGCGAACGACATCAGGTGACCTCCCCCAGCATGCTCAGCGATGACGATGCTGAGGACGGGGTCTCGTACGACACGCTCAGGCACAAATCTATTCGGCGCGGGATCCTCGAGCGGCTGAAGTTCGGGACGGTGCGCCGCCCCGCGTCGCAGGAAACGGTTAGGCCCGCGCCGTCGATAGTGCAACACCGCCCTGGGCATCGCCGCGCGGACTCGGACTTTAACGTCGACGACGTGCAGACCGCCGCCTCGAGCGCGAGCGCGAGCGTGTACTCGGGCACCATTGCCACGAGCGTATACTCGGGCACGACTGCCGCGAGCACGCCCCGCCGTGCACGCTCCGTCGCGAGCGGCGCGGACGGCGCGGACATGGGGTTCCGGATCGTCGAGGAGGACCCGGGGGAGGAGGTCGCGCAGCAAGGCTGGAACCGCCCCGCGCGAACTCCGCGTGAGGAGGCAGTGGAGCGGCCATCGGCGTCGTGGAGCTGGACGCTCTCGTGGTCCCGCGCGAACGGCGGCGCGCGCGCGGACAACCTCACCGCGCTCCCGCCCCGGCGGTCTGTCGTGGAAAAGCGCACCACGCCGTTCTCGACGCCCATGGCCTCGCGCGCGTCCGCCCCCGCGCTCGCGGGCCCCATGCCCGCCCCAGCCCTCCCCGCTTCGCTCTCCACCACCACCACCGGGGCAGGCAGCTGGTCCCCGGCACCGCCCCGTCCGCGCCGCGTCGACTCGTCCGTGCTCCCGCTGAGCCCGCCGCAGATCACGTCGCCGCCGCTCGAGTCGCAGCTGCTCTTCTTCAGCCCGCTCCCGCCGCTGCGGCCAGACTTTGGCGCGGGCCCCACGCTCGAGCTGCGCCTCCCGGACGCGCGCGCGACCCCACCGCGTGCGACCAATAAGCTGCGCACGCACAAGCTGCCGCCGCCGCTCCCGTCGCCATTCCCGTCGCCTCAGCGGAATCGGCTGCAGAAGACGCCGGGCAAGCATGGGGCGTACGAGGGGGCGGTGCACGCGGATGCGGGAACGGGCTGGGGGGTGGACCTGTCGTCGCCCTCGCCCTCGCCGCGGCGCGCTCTCGCGCGGGTGGACGAGATCGTGTCGCGGGGATGGGCGGGACGGGGCGGGGGCGTGGCGGACGCGCATGATGCGGATTTTGAGAGGGCTGGGATCGAACACCGTTTGGGTGTCGTGTAACGCTTTCGCTTTCGATTTTTTTATATTTTGGATTTTGGACTGTGGGACGCTGCTGTACTGTGTGATATACCCTGACTTTGTTGATACCATTCGGGTGCTATGTACTTGTTCACGCAATGTCGTTGTCGAACTTGAAGCGCTCGTGGCGGTGGGTGTGCATTGGAGGGAGCCGGTATCCAAGCGTGTACATTGTGGTGTGGGTAATAAGCGGGTAGGTATACAGATGTATGCATAAGTCAATGAAGAGATGCAGAGAGAGCTGGAGCAGAGTGAGAGCTTGGACGTATGGGTGATAACGGAATGCTGTTCAGTAGTGTAAGGGGAAGAGGAAAGGGTGGCGAGCACGTATAGTAGAGATAAATGACCTTGACAAGGGGAGCGCCGTGAGGATGAGAGTTGCGGAAAACGCAGAGACGTGTATGTAAGTGGATAGATGCGCATGCGGAAACTCAGCTGTATCGTGCGATGAGGGATAATCGGAGCACGACAACAAGGAGATGGACACCCGGGACCACGACAACGGCACGTCCTATGGTCACAGCACGAACGCAGGCGGGGGCTGGTACGCGCCACCCCCAGACCACTCCGCAGCGAACGACACACCCGCGCCACAGCGCTCCGGCCGCGCGCCGGCGGCATACCAGCAGTCGAGGCACGTCACATTCCCGCTGCCCACACACACGCCGACATCAGCAACGAACCCGCAAGCAGCACAGCGCGGGATACACGCACCTCTGCGCGCTCTCGACGCAGCACGCCCTACAGACCGTGCGGGCGCAGCCGGGCTCGCACTCCGCGTCCCTGGCGCACCCCCACTTCGCAGTGGCGGTGTCGCCCTCGTCTGCATCTGCTTCGCGCTTGCGGCGGCGCGTCGTGTTCGGGATGGCGGAGAGCACGAGCGCTCGGCGGCGCGGGGACGGGGACGGGGTGGGGAGGGGCGTCGAGGGCGGGGACGGGGAGAGCGTGAGCGCGGGCGTGGGCGGGGAGGAGTCGTCCGCCACAGGGCGTGCGGTGCAGGTGCGCGTGCAGATCGTGCACGTCGGCGCGCGGCAGCTGCGGGGGGAACACGTCGTTCGGCGTGACAATTCCGGGGTAGGAAACGGGGTAAGGAGGGCGTGGACGTGCCAAGTGTCAGAAAAGGTTGAAAAAAGAGGGTGGATAAAGGGCCGCACCGGGCGCACTGGACGACCATCCCTGCCTTGGGGCATGTGCGGTGACACGAGGAGCATACCGGCGGTCGTGAGGGTATGCCTGCGTCGACTGCGCGCGATTGAACCATTGAAGAAAGGACGGTCAACGGACGAACTGTTGGGTTGACGGAGAGCGGTTGCGAGTTGGCGGGGGCGAGCAGCCTGCGCCGCTTCGGAAGGGGCTTGTGGATGGGGACGTGCATGTGGCGGTGATGGACGGTGGGAGAGAGAGACGAGCGCTGACACTTCCAAGTCACCATCATTAATGATATTTTTCGACCTAAGGTCGCGCGATCGTTTGATTAATTTACACGCCTGTCTCCTCATGCCAATTTGAATTTCGCACATGTCCAATTTTACCAGCCCAAAAAAAAAGTTGTCACCACATATACACCGAACGGGAATCGAACCCGTGCCGCTTGCTTCGGCGAAGCGCCCATTCAGGCCATGGAAGGCAAGCATGATAACCACTTCACCATCGGTGTCCCCCTGCAGTAGGGAGGCTTGAATCCTTACTTGGTGCACTCCGTGGTTCCCCAGTCCCCCGTCTGTCTGACCTCTCTTCCACATCGTCCACAATGAAGAACAGAAACAAATCCACCAAATTCCCCGTCGTAGGTCCCCGCGTACCTCTCACCCGGCCGCACTGACCTCTCCGTGCTCTCCCATGCTCACCATCCCACACGCCATGCGCTCCGCGACCACGTCCGCATCCTGACCGTCCGACCCACTGTTGGAACCTGACACGGCGCTGGCGGAACGTGTGATACGCGTGCAATGCATCCCTAATCGCAGGCGCGCATCAAGCGCATCATGCAGAAGGACGAGGAAGTGGGCAAGGTCGCGCAGGCGACGCCCATCGTCATATGTGCGCCCCTCCCCTCCCTTTCCTACCATTGTTATCCACCGCACGCTGACCGGAGCGTATCCCTATCCTCTATGCACATACACGCTCCCGCATGAACGGCGCGCACGGACCCGTCACCTCCCCCATACGCCACACGCCACACCGCCCGGGCTGTATGCGCGCAGCGAAGGCGCTCGAGCTCTTCCTCGGGATGATCATCGAGGAAGCGAGCAAGGTCACCGCCGAGCGCGGCTCGAAGAAGGTCGAGGCCTACCATCTGTATGTCCCTTCTCTCTTCTCCTTTCTCCCCCCTCGCCTCCCCGACTAACGCACTCTCACCTCCCGACATCCGTGCTCCCGCCCGCCCCACCGCCGCGCAGGAAACACGCGATCGACACCGTCGAGATGCTCGACTTCCTCAAGGAGCTCGTCGAAGCCGTGCCCGACCCGTCCGCAGGCGGGACGATCTCACTCGATCTCGAGGGCGACGGCCGCAAGAAGCGCTCCAAGGGTAAGGGCAAGGCCGCCGCAGCCCTGGGTGAACCGTCCAACGGCGCGGGCGCGGGCACGAGGCGACGGCGGAAAGGCAAGGAGAGGGAGGAGCGCGAGCCGGAGGAGCGGGACGTGCCGGAGGAGGAAGAGCGCGAGGAGCGCGAGGACGAGGACGGGCAGGCGGGGTGAAGTAGTTATCCCGTGTCGTGCTGCTGCCCGTGGTGGACGTTGGCTGCTCGCGTGTGTTGTATGATAGATACTGTAGGTACATGCCGATCGTGATATATCGATACCCTGTCGCCGCACGCCCGACGAGGGCGTAGATGTCAGACACGATCGCGGTTTGACGCGACGCATAGCTGTACAGGCCGCAATACAAATGACGAAAATACACGATGAGTCCATTCTAAAGTACACGCAGCGCAACGGCAACACCATACTACCCTCATACGAGCTCGACCTCACCGCGTGCGAGCAGTTGCTCGATAACGTAGAACGGCGTGAGCAGTATCTGGCCTTTCTCCATCTGCATCGGCATCCCGCTGTCACAAGTCATTAACACAGGACTAGAGTAAACGGGGACGGGGGATGGATGCACGCACTTGGGTAGCCGCACGGGCGGACAGCGCTCGAGCGCGTGCACGAACACGGGGCGCAGCTTGTCCGGCTCGGGCACTGCGCCGCGCCGATTCATAAGGCATCGATATACCCAGAGAAGTTGTCAGCGGCAGGTGAAGGCGAGAGGAGCGCAGGCGTACCCATGGGCGGCATGAACGCGATGTTGTCGTTCATCCCGCGCTGCGCCTCGGGCAGGCCGTCGAGCACGGACTTGGTGAAATGGTACTGCACGAGCTTGGCGTATCTGCGCGCGCGCGCTCAGCGGCTGCGCACCTTGACGCGAGCAAAAACATTCAAGCGAGTTACGCACCTCAACGCGTGGTCGAGCTCCGCGCGCGAAAGCTTCTCCTGCGCCTCGGGGGTGACACTAATATACTGTGCGTACTTCTCAATCTACACGCCGCACACCCGCCCAGCACAGACGTCAGCCGACCGCCGCCGCCGGACAAGCGCGCGCGCACACGCACCTTGTGCAGCCTCGCACGCACATACGCGCGCACGACGAACTTGACGCGTTCAATCTCCGTCTGGACGAGCACTATCCGGAAGTGCTCCTCCTCGTACGCCTCCGGGTCTGCGCGCAGGTTCTGCACGTCGCTCGCCTAGCGCTATGAGCCCTCAGCCGCGCCCCGCCGCACCCACCGAATAGCTTAGCTCACCTGCTTGCGCACGTGGTCGAGGAGGCGGCCGAGGAGCGCCTCCTGGCCCGGGAGGATGTCCGGCGCGTGCCGCTCGTTCATCCAGTGCCGGACGAGCTCCTGGAAGGGCGTGGATTCTGCTGCGGCCTGCGCGGGCAGCGCGGGCGCGCCGAAGGCGTCGGGCAGGGCGAAGTCGTCCTCGGGAGCATCGAACGCGCGTTCGATGAAGGAGGGCCCGGCGGCGGGGGCGTCGTCGTACCAGGCCATTTTGAAGGTGTAGAGTGCAGTGGACACTGGACACTGGAGAGTACTTGACGCGTGTGGTCACGCCTGTCACGCGTCCGCTCTGTCGGCTTTCCCCGGATTTATTTTCATGTCCAGGAATGGAAGGTGTTGTTGTTTCTCTCCGCACAATTTCAATCTGCTTTGTTACATGCAAGACCCCTTGCTACCTGACACTGTTCACTTCTCAATGTTGTCTGTGAAATGATTGTGTACCATTGTATATAGATATATATGTGTGTGTGTAAATATTATAAACTTTGGTTACATTCACTGCATGGTCCACACATTGGATATCAATTCACCATGATACTGGCCCACCTTCCCATGATTCATAATTCTGACATATGCAACGTCAGATGAGCGTATTGAAATGCTAGAACTGGCCAAAGAAAAAGTGGCAAAACCACAGCACCCAGGATTCCCGCGTGGTCCCCCACCGTGGTACTAACTGGGCGGCACTCCGGTTAACTGCGCAGATCAGACGGGATGCGGTGCTTTCGAAGTCCTATGGCCATGGATGAGTAAACTCCGGGGAAAAAATACTTATAAAGGGAGTAGAGAACTCTTCACCGAGCACGGTTCTTCAGTACCACCTGCTCGATTATTATTACCATCCTTGCAGAAATAGCCTTCCGTCGACGTCGTGTTCCATGAAAATGTAAGCAGTATTTCGGATTGTTATATATTTTACGCACTAGATATAAGCAAGCTTAAGAGCGACGTGCCTGTGTCCGAGACGTACACCGCCAAACAGACCCAAATGACCATCGGATCAAAACTCAGCCAACCTCCATCGGAGCTGTAGATAGAGGTTTTTCGGACTTCGAATTGATATCCCCGGGAGAACGGGTCTTGGGTCTCCGAAAGATGTATGAAAGGAGCCCAATAGAAGGTTCCCACAGCCGATGCCCGCCGGAGCGCAGTTGGACGACGTCTTGACGTCCTGTGGGTATCCAAGGGAGGTTTGGATCAGGTTGTCCGCTGGACATCCTCCATCCCGCCACAGCACAAACAAAGACATGCTCGGCAAGTTGGTTCTGCAAAATTTTAGAAGTCAAATTTGGCCGGCCCTAAACTTGCCTTGCAGGCACTGCTGTCCACGTCGCCCAGTGTCTTCGTCTTCGAAGTCCTCCAACGTCTGTCGTCCTACGGTCTCTGTTCATCCATTCTTTCGCTCCACACTCATCATTCTCTTGGCCTGTCTCCATCGCCTTCTATCCTCGAGAACGTCCGCTGAGAGTGCGCCATCAAGTCATTTGTCATGCAGCTGTCGAAACCCCGCAGTTTGGTCGTGTCGTCGTTACCGCCGCCATTTTTCTCCCTCGCGCGAGCCGCGCTCATCCATTCCTAGTTACTTGTCTCACACATGTAGTAGTAGTATCACCCCCAGTACATTGATGGTCTCTATTCAAATATATTTTCTTATGCTTCTTCTGTGATAACATGAGTACCTGCTGCAGCAAAATCCATTTGGGAGCACAAGCCGTATACAGGGAGCAACAGCCAGATGTCCCAGGTTAGACGGGATGTCCAGCGGAGGTCGGGTTGGACATCCTATGGTGCCCTGCTGACGGGTTGTCCGCGGGACGACGGCTGAATTTTTGCATTTTGGTGCACCATCCGAACACCCCAGGATGTCACGCGGAAAAATGTTTAAAAAAGGAATTGTCCTTCGCGCGGTGTAGGCACTGCCTGTAGAAGCTCTGATGATATTTGTGTCGGGTGGTCAATGACTTAATACTTCTGAGAAGATTATGCAAGTGGAGCATACAGTGCACGCCGATGCACTGCCAAATTGTATCCAATATTTAGTCCGATGAATTCAGCTCATGCCTGCTGAATCGCTTTGGGCGCGCTCGAAGGTAGGTCCTTGTGCTGTCATGCCAGTACACTGCTACTGCTGGCATAGCACTGCTCCCTGCACCGCAGGCTGCATATTGTAATTCTCGGTCTGACACTTGCTATCCCAGATTCTGATGTTTCCGACCTAAGACACCTATTAGAGTCTATACACCTATTGATCCTCAGGAGCATATTTGTGTTCATTTCTGAATGACCTCCCTTGTCAACGATATAACACCAACCGCAGTCGGACCAGAGCTCAGCCTCGAAGCGTGAAAACACGAAGTAGCCCTGGCGCTGCACGCTGAACCATAGCGTCTCGAACGCGACGCGTATGTGGCTGAAGGTATAGCGTCACCAGTACACGAGGTAAAATAGACAGCGATGCATTCCGTGGAAAACGAGAGCTGCGAACCACACGACAAAGGTGCAGCGAGGAACACGATGTCGGCGAAGAGCGAAGCACCGTACAACGTCCTCTTTCGGGCACGGGAGACGTGGGGTGATCTATGCCGAGCCAGGGATTGTGCAGATGAGGAGTGCCGCGGTTCACGCCACACCGGAATACGATTGGGTCAAGGTCAAAAACGAAGTCCCAACCGAGACGCCTAGAATAGACGGCTTGAACCTGGTCATCTGGACTTCTCGGACATTGGCGGAGGAGTTGGATCGAATGATGTAATGCCTGCGTGAATTGTGTGTGTCCAAGGGCGGAGTTGTCTTCAGGGAGACAAACTTCATCTCCGGCATGAAAGGCTCTCCCGAGGCGCGACGCACCACGTAACAGCCACAACTCGACAAGAACCAGCCATACAGCAGCTTGGTGTCGCAGTCAAAGAGGAGCACAGACGGGGTGTCGATGGCAACAAGTAACGATAGCCAGCTTGGGGTTTGTTGAGTTCTTGCGCACCGCAGGACAGAAGGAAAAGATGATCCAGCTAACGAAGTATTTTCGCACGCGCAGGGAAGTACGGACTACTGCTTCTGCATGACTAGCCAGAGTATAAAAATGATAATCACTACTGTAAAACAACCACAGAACGAGACCTTAGGCGACGTACAGGCCGTAATCTCGAAAGAGCCCTTCCAAGTCTTTGACAAGACAGCAATGGTGTCGGCCGTCCTCTTTAGGAGTACTTCCACGTCCATATTGACCGCCTTGGGAGACCTTCAGCCTGCGTTCCCGAACCTCTGCCTGAACTTGAGTTTGGCGGTATGGAATTCGAAGAGTGCAAGTGATAGATCCAGTAGCTCGACTCAGTTGACTTGTCCCAAACGAACATCTTCAAGCTTGTAATTCCAGGTTGGGGGGCGTTGTTACCACGTCTGTGATCCAGTGATGACTACGAAATTTAGTTCTTGACGCTCGCCGTGCCGGTTTTGAGTAATAGTCAGTAGCGGAACATACGAGTGCACGTGAATCAGTATTCCGATTAGACTATTGCTGAAGGAACGATGATCCGAGACAAAGCAGGGCTACCGACGCAAGGCGAATAGGAGGATGCGGCCTTGTTGAACACTTGAACGTTTGATTTGGTGCTATCTGCGTCCTTAGGGGTGAAATGGGCACGCCCTGCAGCGCACACAATCAGCCTTGGTGCTCGGACATAGTAGTTGAAATTCGAGCACGGATGGACGTAAATCTGTGAGGCCGAGCAGAAAATGTAAGAGACTGCAAATTTGCCAACGAGCAGCCGCAGTCAACATAGACAAATTTCTCTGTGAGACGTACCTCGGAGCATCTCGTACCACCACAGCGCCACACGTAGCTCGCAGTCCTCCACCGAGTTCTACCGTGGCCAACCAATTATCCCAGGGATTCCTCGGCTCAACCAAGTGGTCACAGAGCAACTCATGCTCTTCTGAGTGGGCATTCATGTCTAATAGATACAACGAAAATTGTGAACGACGCGCCAACTTCCTGGAGGATCGCGGAAAAGATGAACACGCACCAACAAATGCGGCAGACGATATCCCAGATTTCCCAGCTCCCTGTGGCTTTCAGTTTATCGCAAAGTAATGGATATGAACCTCATAACTTAGAACGTGGTAGGGAGAGAATTTGAAGTTTTCTACGAAACCATTGGAGCGGGAGCAAGGGTTTAATTGGTGTCGTTTGGCGAGAGTTGGCGAGGCGATGTGGCCGTTCTGGTTGCCGCGCCGCCGCTTCCGGCGACCACCAGGCACCTTTCCTAGCCATACTGCAGCGCGGTGTTGGCCGCCTTTCAAGCTACTAGTATTCGGCGCACGGCCGGTCGACATGGACTGTATGGAATCCTTTTGCATTGAATCTCTGGAACCTGGGTTGAACCTGTCTTGAATCCAGGTTGAATCCAGGTTGAATCTTGAAACCTATGAAACTATGAAACTATGAAACTATGAAACTATGAAACCTTGAACCCTTGAACCCTTGAATCCACGTTGAATCTTGAATCTGCTTGGATCCCTAGCAAGTTTGTTTCGGAAGGATTCCAAATTTTCTCTCGAGTTTGCGGTGCGAAAAATCTCGCATGCATTCGGGATACTTCTCGAAAATTTGTCCAATGCCGTGGACAAGCTCCTGACCTAGGGAGGTACGACTAAGGCGCCATACGGCGACAAGGTGGTTCCTTATTTCAAAAACAACGAACCTCGACTCCTACAAGTGGTCAGAGTCGTCGGAACGCTGACATGACCTTCGGTGATAGTAAAAGGTTCTCATCATGGTTTTTGCAATGCACGCGATGACAGGGCGGAGGAAGCTGACTTGCGGGCCGAAGTATGTGAGTCTGTGTGTTCCCTCTATTTCGCATTTCGTGCTGCTCTTGTCTGCACACTTCGGGAGTCTGTATTTTGAAAGATGCTGATCGGGGCTGTTGTCTGGCTGTGGTCTTGTGTGTCGGCTGGATCACGCATTTGAGTGCCTCCTGCAGGTTGGAGGGTGTTCTTTCTATTGCAATTCTATCTTGATGTTGGCCTGCGGCGTCACACATCACACTTTCAGAGGTGGTTGTTTATGAAGGAAAAGTTTTATTGACTCGCCTTCGTGCGCTCTCCAACGGCGGGAAGTGACACGTGACGTGACGTCGGGTCACGCATCGTTGAACGCTGGGTTTTGCACCCGCGGAGACGACTGTCAGAGAGAGACTGAAGCGTGGGCGAGTCCAGAGGACAACTCATCCCAATCCATTAACCAATAGAAGTGCAAATCCGTTGGGAATCACTGGATGTGGTCTGCTGTGGATGGCCTCGGCAGCCGTATTTAGCATGGAAATTTGCTATACCACGCACTTTCGCTGAACGTCGCTCAGCAAAGTCTGAAAGCAGACATGGAACAAGAGATTTTGCATTGTTTGGGATATACCAATATCGAGGACCGCTGAGAAGAGAGATATTATTTGCAGGAATCCATACAATGCCATGATCACTCGCTCACAGGCAATTGAGGGCTTGACATGCTACGCATTCGCAGTGTACTTGGATATATAACCGGCTTCATCACCCGCATTCCATTGCTCAAATCGTTCTGTATATTCGCGGAGGCCGATCGACGGAAGCATACTCACGAGCGCGGAGTCAGAATGTGGGGTATGGCAGTTGTGTCAGAAAAGGTCGCGTCGCTACAACAGGATGCGCGTTAACCCAGATCAACTTCGAATGCCAGCTTTCTTTCTTGATTCAATCGATTCAATTTTCTTGATTCCTGGTTCTCCCATGGCATCCTACAGGGTCGTGCTCCCTCTCCAAAACCGCCATCTTCCAAGACGTCCCCCTGGCCTCTCGCTTTCCTCATCGTCTGCTTCTAGCGTCACCATTAAGCATCACGACGTCTAGACTCGATAACTCGCCACTGCATTGCATATCGTTCAATACTCTTTTGCCTTCCCACATTTTCTATGTCTTCTATAGACCACTACCCTAGACTTCCTCCGTATAACTCTCGAACTTGTTTCCGATATCATCCCTACCCAAGAGTTCGTCGGCGCTATGATCAAATCAAACACCTCAAGGTGCGCTGCAAATGTCTCTTCGATTTTCTCGAGACAGATATTAGTCACACGCATTATTCAGAGCAAGAACGAGAATGAAGACGATGCGAGAGAAATAATACTGGACTCGCAGCCGCCCCCAATTTACCTGGTATGAAGTGTGGATGTCGCGTCCACCCCATGACTGACAGCATCACACTTTTTTCTGTACGTGACAACAGCTCCCTGTGAACGGGGTTAACGCTACTTCAAACGATGACGTGTCGACGCTCAGGCTCGAGGTTGACGATCGGGCTTCTCAGCACGCGGGAACTGATGCTGGACAAAGGCAAGAAAGGCTGCATGCTGTGAAGAGGTGGTTTGCCGTGAGTGTTGTCGATCCTTGTGCTTGCGACATCCTTCTCACGAACTTCTGGAATTTAGAATGCTGTGCTTGCTTTATGGCGCAGGTGGTCGGTGCTTCGCGCGGTGCGGTCGTACCTTTCTGCGAAAGCGGAGTAGCCTTTACGAGTAAATGATACTGGCTTGATTCACACAAAATCGCCACAAGAGGTCGTTGATAATCTTGGATATTAGCTTGTATTTATGTATCTATCGTTCCTTCGTCTTTCCCCAAGCTGATAGCAGTCTATGAGGCTCAAGTGTGCAGAAATGATTATTCCCTTCCACCTATCCAAAGCGTGGCATGCAAACTGACGCAATACAGCTATAACTGACCTGATGCTGAGTCCATTTGATCACATTTGTTTCCTCTTGAGCGGTTTTCTTTATGTCCAGGTGAGCCTTTCATTTTGGAGTAATAAATCCTTGGTACGACGAGTTGGTAATGTGTCGGTATGGAGGTCGGGAGTGGGAGTATTTAGGTGGAGTAAGTATGTTCGTGGGGTGTTTTGGTTACGAGTGTGAATTTATACTATTATGTATCGTGTCAGGTTGAAGTATGTAGGATGGAGAGGCCGTTCTGGCTGTTAGCACTAGGGTTGCGCAGTCGTGAGTGCGATATGGGTTGTTCCATTTTGTGGATGGATAGTGGATCATAGTAGCGCTGACAGTGTGAGCTGTCATGTAAGTGCTAACCAGCTCCGTACAACATCCTATCGTCTCTCGGTTGCTCAGGATATCGCTTCGTCAACAAGCCAAGCTGATTCCGGTATTGGAAGGGGCTCGGCATATTGATGACAGCGAACGAGAGTAGGGCGCAGAGGACGGAGTCGAGATGAGCTGGGCGGAGTGGCGACCTCAGATGCTTAAAAGCGCTCCTGGTTGAGCCCCTTCGTGCAACAGTGGCTAAATGTGCACCCAGTTCGCCTGGAGAATGCATGGTGTTCGACACAATATGTTCATGGTGAGTAAGGTGAGACCATTGTTTGCGCCGGGGCACATTTGGCCATCTCCTGATCGCGGGTAGATCGATTGTGGACCCACAGCAACGATGGTGTAGTATGATCCATCGTACAAAAATCCACAGGTATCCGGCACATTATATCTCTGTGTCTGCACAACCTCAGAGGCTTCCATTGGGCCAGGATAGTAGCTCCAATAGGGCCCACCAAGCACGTCATGGTTGTCAGAACTAGGAGCAGGAGGAGCGAAACTGTCATCAGAGGACAAGACAATCCCTGGTGACCAGCAGTGGATCCATGCACACAACTCGCTCGGTGTGAAGGTCGGGCCATGATAGGCATCGCGCGTCTCTATGGGCGCTTTCCACCGTGCTTCGCGCACAACATGACCGATAGGCTGGATATCCGGTGCGGCCAGCTCTAAAAAGAGCATGCTTATAATTATTGATGTATAGTCCTTTACATAAACAATTATAGGCATGCTCTTCCTAGAGCTGACCTGTGGAGGGATATACGGACATTCCAACACTATGTCTGAAGGAGTGCGAATTTGAGGACGTACACGAGGTATCGGAAATAACATCCACGTTTCCGTACCTTACCACCTTACGTCTCCGCAGTGTGGACGTGAAGAAACCGCAGATGCTACAGTGGCAGGAGATGCGTCAGCGAAGAAGAAAAGTACAACTCCAGCTAAGAACTCACGCGAGAATGTGTCCACATTCCATTTACACATGTCATACACTGCCCAAACCTCTACGTCCTCTTCCAGCCGATAGGCCACAGTGACGTTGATGTGCGTCGGGTGCACGATCTGCGGCGACGGACGCCGGGTCGCATGTTGATGGACAATGCGAGCCATGTGTCGGCCTGATGTGCAGGGGGTGGCGGACCTGTGGTGGTTTAAAATGCATAGGACTAACGTGTGTGACCTGACGTGTTTTCAACCGGATTTTCAGCTTCAGGTCGAACATAGGAGACGTAGAAGTGGATTAGGAAGCTCTATGAGAGTGAGTTTCACTAGGCGTAAGGGTCGGAATGCGCGACGGAACAGCTGTTGAAGTCAACGAGGTGAAGCGAGAACGAACAAACCACCTCTTATATATCTGGCCCACGCCACTAAGGACAAAGGTTTTCCATAATGGGAAGGTAATCCCAGCAACAATAGGACCAATTTCCCTGTTGCTTTTGATGGCGAAAGCCAATGACATCATCAACTGGGTGCTTGCAAAGCGGCCATGCCATTGTAAAGAAACATGCCGTTGGTAGGGTGCAACCGTTCGTACGTAAGTGCTTATATGAAAGTTGTTAGACGAAACCGGCGAGAAAGAAACTTGATGCCTGCTCACGAGCGCTCTGCATATAACCAGCTCTAGGGAGTTGGCAGATCTACACTTAGGATGCGGTGACATGCATCCCAAAAATTGACCCGGATACCAACAATGTCAGAGAAAAGAAACTTCAACATATGCCGTTTTATTTGCATCTGTAGGAAATGGAGTCACATCTGGATTTTTTCTTCGAGTGTCCAGGAGGCTGTAGTCGACTCCTGTCGGTGTATGCCCTCTAGTCCTGAAATTTGAAATAATTGGATAATGTAGGATGGAATTTAGTGAACGCATCCGCGCAAGCCTGAGATTTTCCCTATTCCTCGACATTTAACAATTACGACAAAATCTGTGCGGAAGGACTCGGCCTTAAGTTGAGGTTATAATGAGCATGTATCGGAATGGGAATGCCTGCAGGAGCAAGGTAGACTCGTCAGACTCGAAGGAAAAAACTCTTCGACTGAAGCGGAACGGCACCGACTCCTCAGCAGACCAAACAGCCTGGTCAGTCTCATTCACGTTTTATATGGGCTTCAGAAAACACGCAGGGATACACCAGACTCACGATGCATTGAACAAGCCCTTGCGACTGGGCTCGGGGCTCATCCTCATATTTCAGTGTCGGTGTACACGTCGGTAAGATCTACGATCTGAGGCGGATCGGTAGCACTTGAGGTTAGGGTTGTCTGTGCCTTGGAAGTCACCCACTACTTACTCAACGTTAATGGGTTGCAGTACGGCACTCTGACTATCACATAGCTCAGTAAGTGTCTAAGACTAATACTCCGACCATGGTACCTCCGGGTCTTCTCTCTCGGAGACTTGGCTGTTGGTATTCGGCGAAGTCAGCTTCTTCGCTCACCCTGAGTCGTTTGGCAGGTGCTGTTTTGAATCGTTGACGTTCTACGTCCTCCATGCACCCGAAATCTTTTTGAATAATGGCTCCCTGTGACTCATGCCTCTGTCTACGCTCCCGATTCCAATCCGACATGGATTTCCCCCGGCGCCTGGGAAAAAGACGCCTCCATAAAACGGATGCTTGCCAGAATCTAGCTCGTCTGCTAGGTCCGAATTCTATCGAAGTTGTATCTTCTTCATGACGTCGTGGTTGACCCCAATTATCCAATCAGCACAGGGCAATGGTACTCATTCGGATTCGCCACAGTGTGACGGACGTAACGGACGTCCATTAATGGTCGTGGAGTTGTATCCTATTTTCTTGTTAGGTCCACTGTGTTTCCGTTCTATTGTTCCAACAAGGTTATCGTTCTGTAGCGATCGGGAGCCAAGTCCTTGTTCTTCCGTGTGACCACCGGCCGTCGAGGTATATAAGACGCGACATCTATCTCATATGCTCCTCAGACCATTCACTGTTCATACACACATGGATTACCCACTTCTCCATAATAAGATAGACCCAGTTCAAACCCGACCACTATCACGTGACCCATTTTGTCACGCTTACATTCTTTTGGCGGACGAGAAGGAAAGAATTTCTTATTTCTCAAGCATCATCACCTTCAAGGTAAAAGTAGGACCACAATCTTATTAAGAATATTTTGCTTCAAATAATTGTGGTCTCCGACTTTTGAGAAATCTCACACACTGAGAGAAATAAGATAAAATTTTACAATATGGACATGTTAAGTAATTACCACATTTCTTGCCTGTGGCGACACGATCCTTCTCCACTTTCATGGCGAAACGAAAGCTCGCGCACCGGCGCTCTATTGCAAACCTCGGGAACCATGCAAAAAAAAGAGTGTGCCAAAGACAGGATAGTGAAAAGGAAAACAAAGAAAATGTGAGTAAGTTAGTGCAATCTAGGCTTACAATACTCACCATTACTACAGGAACCACCTTCCGAACTTCTCGCCCAGACCGCAGATAGTTGCGGGGATACATCACCTGCAGATAAGCAGTGCACGACATCACACAGTGTCAGCGCCAGGGCAATACCACCGAGCGCCGGCACTGGCATGCATGGGCCACTTGCATTGGAACTCTCTGGCCACGAAGGTGTTGTGGAACAATATCAGATTCAAAATGCAGAGGACACTATGACTGTACCTGATAATGCCAGTGCATTCCCTACATCCAAATCACATCCCTACATACCTCCACCCACCATTGAAGATGCAAATTCTGCTTTAAGCGACATACTGGCATTGCTCCGGCCACGGCGGAAAAATGGAAAGGGAACAAAGCCATTTGATGGTGATGATTTCCTTCATCGGCGCATGGAGCAGATGAGAATGTTGCTGTGGTTCTATGTCAGTGGAGAGCCACCAGCCTGGATTGATGCATCATTCAAAGTTGCATATGCATACCAGAAAGGTGACTTCATTGCAAAGGCTTTGCGCACGTGGACACGCATTCTTGGCTGACCGGCATAACCTTCCAACCAATCCATATGGGAAATGGAACAACTCAATGCTACAGAAGGGGGACCTAGCATCAGCAATCGGAAGACACCTGCAAAGTATTGGCAAATATGTTCGTGCTATGGATGTTATGGAGTTTGTTAACAGTGCGGAGACACAGAGTGAATTTGGACTCACAAAAGGTATTTGTCTCTCAACAGCCCAAATGTGGATGCATGCAATGGATTACCGCTGGCGCAAGACCCCACATGGACAATTTGTTGATGGACACGAGCGTGCAGACGTTGTCAATTACCGGCAGGAAATATTTCTGCCATTAATAGCCGAGCTGGAATATAACGCACGTCGTTGGAGCCGAGATGGTCTTGAGGACATTGATCAGAATGAACCTCAACCTCGTAATTGCCGTATGGTGTTTTGGTGGCATGATGAGTCAGTCTTCTATGCAAATGATCGTCGCTCAGTGCGTTGGGTGCACGAAACTGAAACCGCAGTGCCGCAGGCAAAGGGAGAAGGCGCATCAATCATGGCGGCAGACTTTGTCTCGGCAGACTATGGCTGGGGGCGCTCTAAAGATGGGACCAGATCAACCCGAATACTTTTCAAACCGGGAAAGAATAGAGAAGGCTACTTCACCAATGAACGTATCCTCGAGCACTGTACAATGTTGATGGACATAGCATCAAGAGACTATCCAGATGATGACCATGGTATAATACTCGACAATGCACCAACTCACCTGAAACGCGCTGACGATGCACTTTCCGCTCGCAAAATGCCCAAATTCCCACCAAAACCTGGCGCTCCAAACTTTGGTGTTATGACAAATGTTATTGGCGAGAATGGCAAACCTGTATATGGCACTGATGGGAAGATCCTCAAACGATGGATGCGAATGACAGAAGGAAAGTTTGCAGATGGCAGACCACAATCCTTGTACTTCCCACCTGGTCACGAGCGCGAGGGACTCTTCAAGGGTATGGCAAATATCTTGGAAGAACGTGGCTACAAGGGTGTTCAAAATTTGAGATATGAATGCCCCAGTTTCAAATGCCCCCCTGGACAGGAAAGATGCTGCTGTAGAAGAATGCTGTACAACGAACAAGACTTTCGAGATGTCGAGACATTAGTGGAGACTCACTGCAAAGCTCGTGGTTTCCATGTGATCTTTCTCCCGAAATTTCACTGTGAGCTCAATCCTATCGAACCTTGCTGGGGATTTGCAAAACGTGTATACCGCCAGTTCCCGCCTTCAAAGTTGGAGGCCGATCTTGAGCGCAATGTGGTCAAGGCATTGGATGCAGTCCCACTCGAAAGCATGCGACGGTGCGTTCATCAATTCTGATGTGATGTGATGTGACTCAGATCACACACAGCTTCTACACTCGCGCACAACGCTTCATGGATGCTTATCGCAAAGGTTTGAATGGTAAGCAAGCTGCATGGGCGAGCAAGAAATATCGCGGCCATCACATCCTCCCAGAGAGCATCCTCGAGGAACTTGAAGCTGCAAAGATATAACTTATATTCATAGTTCAACTATCTTGTATACTTTCATTCTTGTGTATATTCACTATGTTTCTACCTCATACACTGAGAACGCTGACTCATTTTATGTCGACGCTCCTGCCGCTGTCGTGCGTTCAGTGCCTTTTCGGGACTTATCCAGGCGCTAAGTGGGTTGCACGTGAGGTGTCACAGTGTGACGATAGTGGTCGGGTTTGAACTGGGTCTATCTTACGAAATACGCTCTTCAGGTGCTTCGCGCGCCACGAATCGCGCACGTTGACTTTATGACAGGCCCATACTCGGCGCAACGGTGTGTTCTTGTGTTCTTTCCCCATGTTGCGCCATTCACGCCTTCCAACTAGCTCCTAGGTTATGTCGTGGCGTTGAGCACAAGGTCTACGGCTTAGTGCCTACTGCGAGCGCGGCTAAGGAGATCTGTAGAAGGGTACGTCGTGGATGAGTGTGCCTTTATAGCTACTAACCTCAGTGGTTGTCATGCAGGATCACCGACTGGATGAACAGAATGAGTTCATCCGTGCAACGGCCACACCCTCCTTCCCAGAGGCAGGGAATTCGGCAGCCGGGCGGTTCCTGCACAACGGCCGGATGTCCTGCCTGCGAGATAGAGGTGGCGTGCGCGGTGAAAGCATGTTCAAACTGGGAGTGATCTCCTGGTGGGAGAGGAACGACACTGTGATAGTATTGTGAACGGTACGGATAGGTGGCCGTTCCAGTTCAGAGTCCTTCGCATGGCCGCCACTATTGCCGCCACTATCTCCGTGCTGCCGCATCCCCCAAAATGCCCGTGCAAGGCCGTTGTGACCCCTTCACTCGAGACCAGGTCTCTGTGGTCAATGGTCTCTGCTCCTCCATTGTTCCACATGCGCGCGGCCTGTCAGCCTCCCTGCAGTCATGACCTTTTGTTGAGGTCGGTCTCCCGGAGCTTTTGGCGAAAATTAGGGTGGCCTTTGGATAGGTCAGCCTCCCCGCAGTCGCTACTCACATCGGCCAGTGACGGTCATCTTCTACGCGTCACCTCGCTACCAGGTGCTCTACCGTGCACGCGGCTGATCACCCACATTCTGGTCCATGCATATACTGTCCTGCTTTTTGCTACATTCCCTCGGCATCAACATCACAACCGTGAGCGGTTCGCGCGATACCTCTTCCTCTACCCCCTAGGTGAACAACGCCCGAGTTCAGTCTTCAGATCACACAATAGATCAAGTCATCCACATGGCGTAGAGATATCTCATGCTGCAATCCCCAGTCCGGACGCTCTATATTTCTAAACCCATATCATTCTCACGAGGCCGCAGTGTCGACTTCCTTTCTCCAGCCTGTCGAATGTCTTGTTTCGCCACTTCTGCACGTTATCAACTTTGTAGCGAGTTACATACAGCAAGATACATTAGTTTGCATATGTTGGAGCAGGCCATTTGACCGCTGGCGCTGGTGCCGCCACTAGTCTTGAGCGATTAAGGACAATACCAGCATCATCGCTTAGCTTGGAAGAAATGAATACGGGTTTGAGAACTGGTCCATCCCTGGTCGATTTCTTGTGTCCGCAGTACATCTACCTCGGTAGAGAAGCCGTCTAAGTCATCGGCGAGAGGTTTACGCTGACGGGCATGTACCTTTCCGCAACAAACTGCACGCCACAAGAAAATATGCGCAATTACGAGACCACCGCGCGACAGGCATGCAAACAGCGCAGGAGTTCAAAATCATCCCGTTCCTCTAGCTAGACGCGCACGATGGACGACATCCAGCGGTGAGACGGAGAAGTCGTGAACTTCATCATAAAAAGCACAATGTCGGTCTATTACTGCTCGTCTCCGAAAGCTTCGGGGTATGATGTACTAAAGATATTGCATGAAATGGCTCCCACTCACGCCACCTTCTTGCTGCCATACCGATACGCCTCGACCTTGGCAGCCTCTACGACGCCCTCCGCCTCGACCTGCTCAAGCATCTTCTTCTCCGTCGCGGCGAACTGCTCCCTGCTGAGGCCGGACATCTTCAACTCATTCATGCGCGGGCGGTGCTCGAGGTACTTGATGTCCGTGCCAAACAGGCGGTCGCACCAGCGGAACGACGTCGCGAAGTTGTTGGTAAACGCCATGTGGTGGAAGTCGTGGTGTTCCGCACCCGCCCAGAAGGGAAGGATGTGCTGCAACGATCACGGGAAGTCGTACCCGCTGTGCGCATCCACGGCCTGGAAGAGGCGTAGCGTAATCCACACGTACACTGTGAATATATGGAGATCCCTCTTGACGTAGCAATACCCCCATGGTCCGAGGATCGTGCCCGCTCCCAGGATCATGACCTCAGCCGGGTGCGCGCACTCGGCCGCGAGCCCCAAACGGCGACGGGTATTTGTGGAGGATGTTGTGGATGTGCTTGTACAGCGGGCCCCAGTGGAGCGCCTGGTGAGCTGGGGCGTCGCTGTCAGATCCGGGCGAACGAAAGAAAAATCGAAAACTGACCGAAGAAATGGAACATATCCTCAAAGACGAAGAACAAGGCAACCTGGGGCACCATGATTTGCCACGATGGGAAAGGTACCTGCCAGGTGGACATGCCGAACATCTCTGCCATGGGATGGAAAAGCCAAATCTGTAGCTAGCGTGACGGTATGTTCAAACTGCATATCCGTTGTAACTCACCACCGGTAGCTCGACCATGAAATGTGAGTAGAGGACCTGCTTTGTGCAGTCCCACTGTTCTTGGACCGTTGGGATGCGGTCAGGCTGCAGCTTCCATTTCTGGAAGTACGACGTAGCGTCTATGACTCGGAAGATCTACAAATCCCAGGCAAACAGTTTGAGGGTAAATCACGGGTTGGAGTGTGTGAATTTGCGAGACAGGCAGCGACCGAAGTACACAATCTAGAAAACTTGCTGAATTATTCGGAGAATTTTTGTCGCCATAGTGAGGATACTCAATTGGTAGATGCTAGTACGTGTTGTTTGTGTCTTGAACTTGCTTGGTCATACTCATGCCCTCCAATTCATGCACCCAGGAAGAGCACTTAACGAAACTGCGTGATTTCTCTTGCATTCGTAGGGTAAGGAATCATGGTCAATAAGGTCCATTGCTCATGTCAATTACTTGCGCAGATTGGCACAGCAAACCTCTGGCTGGCTTTGTGCTAGATCGCGTTCACGGGTTTCAAGTTAATGCCATACAACAATCCCCCGTGTCTACTTCGGTACTCGATTTCGGGGCTATCGTAAATCGTATGCCTACGCATATATATTCACACTTCCGCCGTCACGAGCAGGTACTATATCTGACCCATTGTGGCTAATGCCGTACTACGTGCTGAATTCGGTTGGCGTTCTCGGGTCTGCAAGTATCTCGTAGCGGAACTGTGTGGGGGTTTATCGCTGAATCTCGATGCTCTCTTGTATGGGATAGAGAAGTATAAGATTATTGGTTCTACGATGAACGGTGGAACTTGCGGAAGTGATAGCCGTAAAGAAAGTATCCTCGACGGACATTGGGCGTATCTGTGCATGCATCCAATTGCTTGCCTGCTGGAAGAAGACCAAGTGATACTTCTGTAATAAACACACGAGGGAAACGGGGATCGACTTCACGGACAGAACATCAATCTAGGTGACAAGATAGACAGCGAGGACACATGCGGGATGGAATTGCGACAGCGAGCGCTCGAGTAAAATCACAGAGGACTGGTTTTCCTGGAGTCACTGGTAAATGAAGTTGTAGCTGCGAAGGGTGCCCGCGTCAGTGTAATCACCAGGGTGTAGAACGATTCGGCACTGACCGGGACAAGAGATGCGGGATGGCAGAGAGTTGCGGGCCGTACCTACGAGGGCGTCATGAACATGTTATGTGAGTGTGCAGGTATCTCGTTGGGGGGAGACATACCGCGCGGCATTGTCGTAAAGCTCGAAAAGTGGGATGGCAAGCAGCTTCATGTTCTTGGGAACAGCCAGCACTTCTGCGGAACGGACGCCAGTATCAGTACATGCTAACAGAACAGACCACAGATCGTTGATGACGTCGGAAGTCGAGCATATATTGACACGGGAATCGATGGGGTCAACTTCCAACGGGGACAACGGGAAGATGCGGTGGAATAACTGGGTACTTACTGCGTTCGGGCATCTGGACGAGGAAGAGCTTCTTGCACTCCTTCGGCTTAGTGATGTGCGCCGGGATGAACGGATACTGGATATCGCCCGCGCGTACGTACATGAGGTACACGTTCTACCGAACAGAAAACACATCTCGCCGCGCCACGCACCATGAATGTCTCGAAGTTCGGGCGCCACCACTGCGCGAGGCAGTCGCCGATCTCCCACTCATTGTCTAGCCCGTGCGTTGCGTTGAACTGGCGGGACTCGCTCGGCGGCGCCAGCCGGTCGTCAAGTCGGCGCTTGAGCCCTTCGATCTCATCCTCTCCGGGCTTCAGGTAGTCGCCAGGTCTGAGCACGCAACGTCACTTATGCAACCACAAACGGTCTAGAGATGAGATGATGCGCATACGCACAGCTTGAAGAAGGCGTTGGCAATCTGGAGCATGAGGATGTGGGGATGACCATGGTCGTGCACGACTAGAATCCCCTCCACGGTACGCCGCATGCCAAAGTCTTCATAGTTGTTCTGCAAGCGCTGAAGGCGTGCGGAGACGGAGGGGTCCTCTTCGGGCTGTGCCTCCTTCGTGCTAGAAAGGTTATGTTAACTCTGTTGACGAGCGGGAAACAGAGTGCTACCTGAAGGTGAAGTTGGAGAGGGGATACCTTGATAAGCGGTTAGTAATTCTGCATACCAGCAAACGAAATATATCGTACAAGGCAATGGTGTTCGACATCCTGGCGGTAGTCGATAACTTGAAGTTCCGAAAAGAGCGTGATGCAGAGACTCGGCCGTCACACTTGTGCTCATCTGTGACAAGTCGCGTCACTACTCGCTCTCTCCAATATTTCGCTGGGCCTCATCTCGGGAATGAGATGTGCATGCTTCGCATAAGCACGGCGACAGGTGCGTTGCTTTTGAGATATTTCTGATTTTTTTGGCTGATAACAACGTGATGATTGATGATAAAGTCATTGGTACATACCACTAGTCACGGTGTCGAAATTTCCAGGCATGACCTGTACAGAGTGCAACGGCCATGCAGAGCTGTATCATCCACAAATTTTTGGTGAGCCGCGTGCGGGTCGCGTCTGAGCGCAGTTTCGTTGCCTTCATTCTCGCGGTGCCGCGGCACGCTGACGCTACTTCGGTCATTTGCCAGTTGCTCATCTCACGAGCACTTTACAGTACATCCTTTTACATATAGTGATTCCCACGAGGTAAGCAGAAGCCACCGTTCCGGATAAACAGCAAAGCAAACAATCTGATATCAGTGCCCTGGGGATACTCCTCTTTCCTCACGCAGGTTGGACTTTGGTGAAGTCTCGTCAGCATGGATATCGTAGCTTCGCTCAAGGACACGGATATCGCAGTGATCTTCAATCCCAGTACGCTCTGTTTGTGTTTTGCCGTAATTGATCCTCGCATGATGTCATCCTCATAGCCAGAGACGCGTTTGTGCCCCTTCTTGAGGCTCATCGCGCCGATATCGAGAGCATTAAAAGGACAACATTCAAGTATGGCATAACGGAGAGGCAGCAAGTAGGCACTGTGCACCTTCGATTGCCCGGTATCTTGCTCAATTCCCGTTCAGCTCGACGTGTACCATCCTCCTTCAGACAGCACGCTTACAAGTAGGAAGGCGCCATTACTATTCTTCGTGTACGGTGGTGGCTTCGTTGAGGGCGATAGGCAGTTCTCCTCTCCGTACGATCTCGGTTACGTGAACGTCGGTGCCTTCTTCGCCAAGCAAGGGTAAGTTATGATCGATAACGATCCTCACATGTAACTAAATCACAACTAACCAGCTTTCTAACCGTCATCCCCGACTACCGGCTGGTGCCCTCAGTAACCTATCCCGAGCCAGTAAAGGACGTCCGGGACGCGATCAGCTGGGTGGTGGAGAACGCTGAGAAGATTACCAGCGAAGCCAGCATCCAGGTTGACCTGCACAGCATCTTCCTGATGGGTCATTCTGCAGGCGCCACCCACGTCTCAACCGCGATACTCTACCCCGGATTGATCCCCGCGGGCATTCGCGCTCGGATCCGCGGGCTCATCTTGAAGGGTGGCGCTTTCAGCTTCGCTGAAGAAGATGGTGTGGGGCCCCTCATTCTGCCGTACTACCTCTCTTGGGAAGTAGCGCGTGCGCAGATGCCCACAACGCTGGTCGAGCGGGCTTCCGATGATGTTATCGCGAACTTCCCTGATGTGTTGTTGATGGCGAGCGAGAGGGAGCCACGCGGAGGATGGAAAATGAGTGAGGATTTTGCTGCAATATTGAAGAAGCGGATGGGGAACAACTTCGTGGTGGTGCCAATGAAGGGCCACAACCACATCAGCCCGCACTGGGCGCTGTGCACAGGCCAGGGGGAGGATTGGGCCGTGGAGGTTGCGGAGTGGATTAAGGTCAGAGCTGCGTCGAAATGAGTAACGAGTAATGTTATGAGATGTGCGTGCGTTCTGCTAATGATGTGGCGTATCGTTATTCTGAAGGTTTAGGCCTCCATGTGATTATAGATGAAGTCCTGCATAGGAGTCGTCTGAACGTTAAATCTCCTGTCCTACACTCTCTATGTTTCGGTCCATATCATAAAGCCAACCAGCCCTGCTCGAAATGCAAGGTTTGCAGTCGATATCGCAGAAGTCTGGCCCCCACAGTCAGCAACCAAATGGATCCGTTTGCTTTCGATCGAAATCATCTCACGTCCGCGTAGTCTACCGTCTCAGTTCTGCCTGTGATTCCAAAATTCCAACTGGACCTTCCCGACTGCATGTCGACAAATATCCTTGGCGACTGCATGATGCCGCACTCAAAGACGTTTTCAGCGTGGACGAAAAGCGTTTGGGTCCGCGGCTTCAGTACAAAACGTACAGGCGAGTGAATGATGTTGTGACAAAGGATAATCTACATTATATCATCTATCAACTGGTCGATTGTGCGTTCTTTGGTGTTCGCTACTTGATCCCTCGTGATTCAATATTGAGCTTTATTTCAGGCCTTCATTACTTGCGATACGATATGCTGATATTGCATCGCAACGTCGGTGTGCACAGCATCATGTGCGAGATACGCAGCGATAGCGTGCATGCTATCTTGACCGACTTCTCTCGTGCATGCCACGTCTCTAAAACCGGGGAACCACTCGGCATCCACGAGGGATGGCCGTCACCTTCCCAGGACCGTCTTCAATCATTGGAAGCCCAGCAATCTGTAGTCGAAGAGCAGAGCAACCCATTCCACCCCGATCTTAGCTGGGTGCCCGGCGACGTCCCTCACCTACTCCTGTACGACTATGAGGGCCTTCTCTACACTGCGGTGTGGTGTACGTGTCTACCGCGTCGTCTCAGATGGCGTGACCGCAACTTCTTCCCATGGTACATCATCATTCACGACGTATCGGACGGACGACCCTTCGCTGAGAGACATCACCCTTTGCCCGAATTTCGAGGCTACACCAAGTGGATGACTGCCTTTTGGGGATTATTTTGCAATGCGCGTAAGGCGGTGAACATTATGGGTCGGAGCGCGTCGATGCATGACCAAGAGACTGCGTATGGGATACTCACGGCCGAGGCGATCAAGGAGAAGCTGCAGGCGGTGCCCTTGTGTGAAGAAGTAGGAGAGTCCAAGTCGGATTTGTTAGAAAGTAGCGCCCAAATTTCTGGAGCTCCAGAAATTGGGGAGCGCCCAAGGGCAGACAAGCCGACACCTGGACCTCACATGTACCTTAGCTAATAAGCCCGGTATATACCCCCTGGATTGCCGGGCTAACTAGCCTGAATTATCATATCTCCTGTAGTTGCCAATAATGCGGGCAATAACGCCGCCTCTCCTCTATGCCACAAGGCCTTATGTCATCGCTATCGCGCCCGATCTCCGAGATAGCGTCGGCATCGTAGATAACGGTGGCGCCGGTGCTGATGACGCGCCTCCCGCCCCGGATAAGTCCGGCAGCGCCTCCCGCCCCCTGCACGTGCGCTCCGCGACGCGCGCTCTCTCGCGCTCGTCGTGCCCGACGACGAGCGCGAGTATCTCCCTCGTCTTTCCACACTTTTTCTTCTTTCCTTTTGCATGTACGTTCGGCAGCGCCTCCCGCCCCTTACACGTGCCCTCCGCGACGCGCGTCCTCTCGTGCTCGTCGTGCCCGACGATGAGCACGAGTCTCTCCCTCGGTTTTCCACATTTTTTCTTAATTCTTGTTATCCCCCTTTCTGTCGAGCTTAGACATGCTATCCTTGACCTCTATATAGTATTAACACCGCTAGTTAATGTCCAATGCACATTTTCATACTTGAGAACTTTGCAATGTCCAAATTTTCGACATATTGAGCATAAAGGCATAAAGAATCATAGTAAACACTTCTATTCATGATGCGAGATACTTTCTACTAAGTTCTCCACTGGCTCCGTGACCACCCGTGATATGTTGACTAACCCCAGCGGCAATGAGAGGTATAGAACGACGGTCCTACATGGTGGAGACGGGAGTAGTATTCGTAGTGGCCATGGCAGAGGGAGATGCGTATACAGCAGCTGTGGAGATGACGTGGGTGTCGCCCGATGACAGTGCACTGTTCATGGTGACGGCAGTGGCGGAGGGGAGCGCATGAGCGGGAACGATATTGGCGGGAGCATTGCCCGAGGATGGCATGCCGTTCTCGTCATTTGTGGGACCCTTGGCCTTCTTCTTCCTCGGCACACCCTTGTCCTTGCGCGTCGCACGCGGCTTCTTCGTGACAGCCACCAGCTCCCCCCCGACACCTGACACGACATTGATGAAGTCCTGAAAGGGTCCTTGCTTGCGCCGCTTGTTACTCGAGTTAGCAGCTGCATCGGCGGGCCTCTTGCGTGTAGTCGATGCAGTCGAAGTCACCGCCGTCGAAGTCACCACCGTCGAAGTCACCACCGGCGAACCCAGCAACGCTTGACTATGGGTCGGTACTCCATCGGGCACAACACGGGCTCCCCCGGCTTCATTGGCAAAGGTGTTGCTGTCAGCAGAAACAGTGATGGGGGAGGGTGATGAATGAACCGTGGATAAGTCCTCTATGGATGTGCCAATTGGGTGCGCGCAGTGAGACTGCAGTCACAGGAACGGGAAGCTCATCGTTGTCATGGCCATTCTCGAGGGCAGCGCGGAAACGAGAATCATCCCATGTCTCGTATTTCGCACGAGACATCTTGTGGAATCTCGTCTCACTGGTCTCCCATGCTTTGTACAACACTTCAAGTTCCGTGCGAGACCGGAGATCGCTCGGTGGGCAAAATTTTCCGAGGGGCCAGCCTTCTATGACAACAGCATGCTTCTCAGTGATCTTCTTCTCAAAGTTTGTGTAGTACATCCGCGGTACCTCCACTTCCGCAGCCGCACCTGTCCAGCCATCAGATACAAATCACAAAGGTAGAAGGTAAAATACTCACGCAGCTTGTCATAAATCATTTTGTTGATACGAGCCTTGAGTTCGGCGACTTGGTCGCGAGACCTACTCACAAGACCTACAAGATGGAGTTAAGAGACTTCTCTCGACAGTAAGAGAATTTTAGAATCATACCCTGTATACCGCTGAGACAATAGGACTCCATTTGCATGGCGACATCCGCCAACTGAGTTCTTAAGACAACAGTGAAGAAGTCGGAGAGGCGATCGCTCGTGAAGAAAACATGCGGTCTATTGTAGTGGTCGTTGCTCGATCTGACTGCTATCATCAAAATCTCTGTGCCAGTGCGAGCGTGTAATGCCTCGAGCTGAAAATTATTACTTAGCTACAATTATATTTGGATGACATCGGACCACATACCTGTTCTTGAACACTCGCTAAGTTGCTACGAACGTCATGGAATGCGTTGATTGGCACGTTCTGCACGGCAAGTTGCTTCGTCTCGCGTTGATCCTGCAGATTCTTCAACAATGGATCAGTGATAGTGATGCGCTCCTCGGGGGACATTGCATCCCACTTTGCCTTGATTTCGAAAGGTAAGCTGTTCGATTTGTATGCCGTCTGGCCCGAAGGTAGTGCTAGGGAACCAAATCTAGTAGATCAGTATATCTTGATCTACACTATCAGTAGGTGTCACGGACCAGCATTAAACCTCTTCAACTCAGCACTGAGGTACGCATTCCAACGGTTGGGGGCCCGTTTTGCCCTCGAAGAGCGAGCATCCTGCATGAGTTGCTGGATGTACCAGTCCACGTTGTGACCACCAAGCTCGGCATGGAGCTTCTCGGCTTCCTCCCTGATGTGAGCATGAGCTGCCGAGAGAGCTTGATGGACAGTCACACGGCGCTCCTGGCGCTTCTCTGCTCACACAGCCTTCTCCGCAGGGGTTCGTTTGATGCTCTTGCATCCAGCAGAAGAGCGCCAAGGAAAGCGCACCTTTGTGGTGGACACTTTGCGGGCCTTGGAAAGGAGATGGGCTGGGCCATTTTCCGAGGATCTTCAGGCCATGGGAAATTTTCGACGTAGCAGTCAACAGAGGATGGGACCCACAGTGCAAAACACATAGGCAACAACATCACGTGATATATTTCTAAGGACTGTATCTTTCAACCAATAAGCTTTAAGTGACATGAGGGAGGATAAGTCACCGCATGAACATTGCGCAAAACATAATATTACTGGATCTCCACTTCAGCCCATACCCAGTCCGACGGACCACAGAGACACCATAAGTACTTAATCTCCTTGATCGGCATGCCCTTTGGAGCCAACTTCTTGATGAATTCCTCCAATGTTCCGCTCAGGCTGTATGCATGACATATTGTCATGTTAGCATCATTACTGTACCCATGAGCTTGCAGGTATGCATCCACTTGATGCCCAAGAGAGAGAGCTGGTGTCGAGTCCGTGCAGGGTCCCAGCAGCGTCTTCACAATCCCTGCCAAATTTCGAACGTGTTGATAGATATACACAGGTGGAGGACCGGAGGCAGCAGCCGCATATTCGTGATCTTGGGAGTCATCGGAGTGTCGAGCAGAACCTTGACGGCTGCTCCGAGATGGTGTTCCATGCTGCACTGGGGTAGGCTGTCGTGATGGCGAATGGGCACGAATAGATGCATTGCTGACAATAGCGCCTTGACGGGCCTGAGAATGTGCAGAAGGTGTAGAAGGTTGTGCGTGAGAGACGTCCTCAGAACGCTCCACTAGAGATATGAATCAGGATTACTCAATCACCGTATATACTCCACTACTTACCGTGCATGGTGAACTGGGTCTGGAATGAGGTGCTTAAGCTGTTCAGCTGCGGATCTGTGAATCGAATTCTCAGCGGTGAACTGTTACAAGATGATCGGTAACGGTACCTTGATGCCTACCAATGCTCGAGCTATCTGCTCTCTGCTCACTCAGGTCCTTCTCGCTGGCTCCCTTCGTCACCATGTAGATCAGTGCCCGCTTGAATGCAGAGCCATTCTGCTCGGAGATCCGCCTGAAGATGGCTTTTGTCATGCCATTGACCTGGGCTATTGCCTCGGTACTGGCATGAATAAGTACACCGGAAGTGTGAACCTAAGGTAAGACTTACTTGGACATGAATATCCCACTTCTATTCCCATAGACAACACACCAGAAGTTTTGGTGAGCACGTAGAATTGTTGGTGTTACCAAGGATTGATTGATCAAGTCGACGATCGCCTCGGTAGTAGTCTCATCCAGATGCTTCAGTGGTTTGACGACATCATTGAATCGCTCGACATCCTCAGCTTGTGCTTGCGTATGACACTTCACCAAGACCGGAAGAGCAGGGGAGAATTTTCCACCACTCATAATCGGCCTGTATCTTGTGAGTATCGCTCCCGATACCCATGGTTATGCCAAAACTCACGGGGTATCCACAATCCCAGGCCGCTGTCCTCCAAGAATGACATACCATCCTCAAGATTCAATTGTCGAAGAAGGCAGAGCAGTTTGCATTGGTGAAGGAGAGTCAATGCGGAGCAGTGAGTCGGGATGAGGTGCGATGTGCATTGACAAGTGGCTGAGACTAACCACAGTTTCGCAGTACGATCGACGCGACTCAATGATTGCTCAAGCGGATAGTACTTTGGCTTGCTTGCCCGTGAATCCACCTGCCTACATCCTATCACTTCGTTATCCTCACATTATAATTATCTTCAGAGTCTCAATATCTCTCCTGTACTGCTATGATAGATATATATTTCTTACGAGAATCTCAGTTGAATCCGAACACAAGTCTCAATTCCAGAATGCAAGAGTATATGCAATTGATAGATCACAGTTCACGAACAGGCAGATTCACTACATAGTCAACAATACCACCAATATCGCCACTCGAGTCCTCATCTTCGCCTAGGTTATCCTGTGGATCTTTCAAGACTTGACGGACCTCTTCTCCCAGGCTGAGGTGCCTTTGGTCCACGAGACGGTCCCGATGCTCGAGAGGCTCGAGCACCAACTCACTGCTGTCCGTGATGATGCAGAAATGGAATTGCCTGCCGTCATTCGCATCGCTGCACAAGCGAGTCTTCTAGTGGTTGGAAAGTACTATGCTTTGACTGACGATACAGATGTGTACCGAATTGCCATTGGTAAGGCGAGGACCAATCATATAGGATATATAACTGATATCTAATTAGTCATGTGCCCGGACAAGAAGCTCGAATGGTTTAACAAGAACCCTGACTGGCGTTCAGAGGATCGCGCGGAAGCGGCCCGCATTTTACAAGCACGTTGGACTGAGGCATATGCAGGGGCATCATTTGGCCAATCCAGCCGTGCATCGACTGTCACGCACGCCGCGCCCTCACAGAAGGTACGTCGTGCAGAAGTATCAACACTTCGAGGTTGACCAAGGTTTCATAGAGGGGGAAGTGGGCTAGCTCCTTCCGCGATGATGCATCAACTAGCAGTCATCCTATTGACAGTATTGAGGCTTATCTGGAGTCACCCCTCGTTTCGAGTGACGACATCAGACTAGCAGGGGGTGTATTGGGATACTGGGCTCAAGCTTCTCACGCTCGCCCTCGACTTGCTCAAATGGCACTCGACTACTTAACTGCTCCAGGTATGTTCTCTATTTTGAGATGTACCTTCACACCTCACAGCCGAGTCAGCATCATCCGTGGATGCTGAGCGAGCATTTTCTGGGGGACGACTGACTGTCAACCACCTTCAACACCAGATGTCATCTCAGACATTCAAAGCTCAGGTCGCGGTCGGCTCATGGGTAGGCACTCCGTTATTGCCGGACGTGAAGGCATGTGCGGAGTTCATCGAGACGAAAAAAAGGCCTGCAGGGGATAAGGGAAAAGCGCGGGAAGTTGTTGCGGTTGAGTAGTATATGGAATACATTTGGTGTATTTACTACAGTGGACCTGCAGGTCACCCGCGGTAACCCGTACTCGACCTGCAGGTATATCCGGGTGAAAGTGAACGGGTACGGGTCGGGTACGGTCATGTCGTCTTGACACTCCTCACCCGCGGGTGTTATCCGGGTTGTATCCAGATATATCCATGCTACTCCCTAGCTTGATGGATGTCGAGAGGTTGGAGAGATTAAGGGACCTAAGGGAGACAGGCCGTTCGCTGGTCGACAGCATCTCAAGGATGAATGTTTCCAGCATATAGTATCTGCTTGGTTGCAAAACCTCTGGAACACCCTCAGGAGTGATGGTCATCTCCTCCGTCCGTGAAACCACCTCTGGGTAGAACAGGATTCGCAGGGTCGACAAAGACTTGAATCTGTGCAGATGGGAGAAGATATAGCCGACAATTGCATGAGATTCTGTTTCTGAGGGTAGTCTTATCTCGTATCAAAGAGGTGGATTTAAAATCGCTTGTAACCACCAATCTCCAGCATCCATTACACGAAGATCTGCACCGTTCGTATGGGAACGTGAGGAGCGAAAGACGACGGTCTCGACGTGCTGCATCAATCGACCCTCGGCTAACAGCTGGTAGATCCCTCGCGCACTAGTGAGACTGCTCGAAAAGTGGATGGTGCGGAAGGTGCGAGGAGTGGCCAGCGCGCAGAATATCTTGTCAACCTCACGGAGATGGCGAAGGTCTCTCAGTTCTCCAGTCGTGGAACATTGTTCCACGAACGCGTCAATAAGTTCAACAGGGCAAGCCTGAAGAGACATTAAGGATAAGATGAACGAGATTCCAGCGGTCGGTGCAGTGCCAAAGTTGGAAGGGTGCCGCAGGGCAGGAGCTGCGCCAAAATAGTACCGAGTTGACCGGGCAAGTTCTTATTGCCGATTTCAGAAGTCTTGTCGCGCGGCCAAATATACACAAATTTCCGCCTGGGCGACCTCCAACTTTGAACGCAGATATCTCTTCAACGGCTGGGCCGTTTCTCTCGATTCTTGCATTTTCGGACTCTCCTGGTCAGCGTGCAGGGCATGGTATCAAGAAATATCTCGTTTCTCCGCTATCTCTGTTCTCTGTTTTCGGCAGCTTCCTTCTGGCTCAGAAGTGAGTTTGTCATCGTTGGATGGGTCGGAGAACATCGGAAAGTGGTGGAGACTCTCTGGTAGTATGGTAGGCAGGGCAGGGATATGCATTTGTGGCCTGAGACGGTCTGGATTGTATGTGATTTATCTTGGACTGCATAGCACATATTGTGGGGTTGCACAACTCATGCTACTGTCAAAGATTCTCATGCATTTTATGTGCAGAATATATATAGCACTCATGTATGGATCAGGAATGAAGGATGATAGTTCTGAAGATGGGGAATAGTGGATTCAAGGGCCTGAGTATTATACCAACTGCAGCACAACCCCCACCATCCTGAGTGCCTTCTACCATCTGCTGCTTGCTTAAAACCATCCAGATATCAACATAAAACATGTAAGATATGAAAAATGCACACTAGGGAGTGTTTTTGAGCATCTGGCAATGGGCTCCTAGTGCCGTGATCACAGATTGAATCCTGCAGTGAGAATAAGGACATGCATGCCTTCAAATTGCATACCATGCCCTCTTTATGATACTAAGAAGTCCTCTCAGAACAATTTCTCCAGTACTGGGACTGTCTGCTGCACGAGAAGTCGGTTCTGAGCTAGTGCGATGACCACCAGATCCGCGAGTATTGAACAGTCCGAATATGTATGTTTCTTGATACCATGCCCTGCGCGCTGACCAGGAGAGTCCGAAAATGCAAGAATCGAGAGAAACGGCCCAGCCGTTGAAGAGATACACTGGATGCAATTTCCGATAAGTTGGCGGGAGTATGCGAATGTTATTGGAAAGATGGAGTGAATAACTTTAGTGTAAGTGGCATGGCTTACAAGAGACTTATCTGAAAGTTATTTGAAACCTATTCCAAAGTAGAAATAACTTCATAATAAGTTTTTCATTTTTAGGATAACTTTCAGATAAGTCTCTCGTACGTAGTGCAACTTACACTCAATTTATTCACTCTATCTTTCAAATAACTTTTGCATAGTCTCCTCAACTTATTGGAAATTGCATCCAGTGATATCTGCGTTCAAAGTTGGAGGTCGCCCAGACGGAAATTTGTGTATATTTGGCCGCGCGACAAGACTTCTGAAATCGGCAATATTCGATTTTGACGTAAACGAGCTACTGATCATTTATTTAATCGATAAATAACTCCGAGGATACGTTCAACATACTGTAGACGAGAAAGCGAATAATTTGTCTGTCTGAGATGTGACCGTGGAGTGATGGGGCTTCATGAAATTGCTATGGCAAGTCTTGCACTGTATTGCTGTTTTCAGAAGTCATGTCGCGCGGCCAAATACACACAAATTTCCGCCTGAGCGACCTCTAACTTCGAACACAGATATCTCTTCAACGGCTGGGCCGTTTCTCTCGATTCTTGCATTTTCGGACTCTCCTCGTCGGCGCGCAGGGCATAGTACCAACAGATATACCCTTTCTCTGCTATCTCTGTTCGCTGTTTTCAGCAGCTTCCTTCTGGCTCAGAAGTGAGTTTGTCATCATTGGATGGGTCAGAGAACATCAGAAGGTGGTGGAGACCCTCTGGTAGTATGGTAGGCAGGGCAGGGATATGCATTTGTGGCCTGAGAGGGTCTGGATTGTATGTGATTTTATCTCAGACTGCATAGCACATATCAGGGGTTTACAGAACTCATGCTACTGTCAAAGATTCCAGTGTATTTTGTGTATAGACTACATATGGGATTCATGTGTGCATCAGAAATGAAGGATGACAGTGCTGAAGATGGGGAATAATGGATTCAAGGGCTTGAGTATCATAGCAACTGCAGCATGACCTCCACCATCCTGAGTGACTTCTACCATCTGCTGCTCACTTAAAACCATCCAGATATCAACATAAAATATGTAAGACATGAAAAATGCAAACTGTGGAATGTTTTTGACCATCTGGCAATGTGCTCCTTGTGCTGTGATCACAGATTGGATCCCACAGTGAGAATCAGGACATGCTTACCTTCAAATTGCATACCATGCCCTCACTATGATCCTAAGAAGTCCTCTCAGAACAATTTCTCCAGTACTGGGACTGTCTGCCGCATGCAAAGTTGGTTCTGAGCTAGTGTGATGACCACCAGATCCGCGAGTATTGAACGGTCCGAATATGTACGTTTCTTGATACCATGCCCTGCGCGCCGACGAGGAGAGTCCGAAAATGCAAGAATCGAGAGAAACGGCCCAGCCGTTGAAGAGATATCTGTGTTCGAAGTTAGAGGTCACGCGGGAATTTGTGTGTATTTGGCCGCGCGACATGACTTCTGAAAACAGCAATAAGGCTCCGGGGGCCGTAGCACTACCGACCGTGACACACCCTGATCGGGCGATCGAAGTAGCTATACAGTACTACTTATCTCGTCACTCGTGTTCGCCTCTAATCTAAATATTCGAGTGCATGCATTTCCATTGAGCCATGTTTGGGGTTTCGCAAAGCCTCCTTGTCACGAATCGCACGAAGTACGAAGCCGCAGAGGAATTTATAACTAACCAATAGTCGACGTTCGAAGTGCAAAAGTCAAAGACCAGGATAATATCCGGTCCATCCTCTGGTTCTGCGTGGACAGCACGAAAGCCTTAAGTAGAGGGTGGGATGAAGTAGACCCCAGCACATTACTGACCTGCTACAGTACTCCATTCCACGATGACCCAGTACAACACAATGGTCATTACGCCGATGCACACTCACCGAACTGCAACCTACAGAAACGCTGCACGTAAGACGGCTAGCCGCGATCCTAAGGAAACGATGCGGGCTCAACATCCGTGCTGCGGGTGACATCCTGCCACTCTTCCAGTGCTTCCAGCGTGTTCTTGCAGGCCTGCTTAACGCCCAAGTAATAGTCCTGGCCGAGACCAATTACTCGAGGGAATTCTTTAGCAACACCTTCTCCTCGAACGAGGTCTACGAGGATCTCTGCATCTTTCGCAGGGTCTCCTGGCTGAGTGTGATCGAAACCTGGCCTGCTATGAGAGGGGATCACGAATACTAAGAGGAGATAGATCTCACTATCCAGCCAAGCACGGATCGGACCCATCACGGAATCGTAATCGGCGATGCGAGAGACAGAAGCAAGAGAGCACACCTCTGCACGGAACCAGCCGAGGTCGACGTGGATACTCCTTAAGCTGAGTGAGATATCTCGGCATTGAGACTCTGCGATAATACTAGGAATAACGACGGTTTCGGTGAACCTTAGATGGCGATCGCAAGAGCAGCCAAGCGGACCTCGCATGGCAGCCTTCGTAGCCGAGTACATTCCGCTCCCTAGCACAGACGGCCTAGCATTGAGACGTCAATGCAGGCATTTGACTGTAGAAACACACGTACGCCCAACCAACGGTGGAACAAATCCATCCAATGGTACCAGCCCTTTCCTTGTGCATGAAGGGAAAGAATGTTCGGGCTACATTAGCACCACCGAAGGAGTTGGTGCTGTACCTCATCATCAAACCTCTGAATAATGTATCATTTCTGAGAACCACTTGCTGGAATTGCCTGATCGACTGACTCTTCATGAGTCATTTCCTCCACTGGTACATTGTGGCCGTAATCTGAATATGGGTGTCAGCTCAATTGCGGCTGAGGAGTAGTAACGGTTAGACGCTTGCCTGCGTTGCTTATCGCAATGTCTACCTTCCCATGTATTTTGACAGCTCTGTTGGCTCCAGATCATCGAGCTTTGACATCGATCGAGGTCGAGTTGCGGCTATGAAGTGATCTCCTCTCTTCAGAACAGCCAGGTTTACAAGTGGCCTTTCAGACTTAACGAGGACGGTGGGATGCCCCTAGGCATGGATCGCATTGAAGATAGGCTTATACAGTATATTCAAGTGATACCGGCTGCGGGTGTCTGTAGCGAGAGACAACAGCTCAGCTCCATTCGGTGAAGAGAAGTTGGGGACATGTTTCATACCAGACCAATGGCGCATGGCGACTACCGCTGTCAAATATACTCATTGACCGCTGCAAGAAGATACTAAATTACCTGAAGTCACCACCGTTTTAGCAGCGCTAAATGCCGGTGCGACGCAGTAGCTGAGGTGCCCAAAAACAAACTCGGCGCCATCATGTTCCAAGATCGTTGGCCAAAACGGGCCACTGGGGATGGTGCAGGGGATCCAATTTCTATCAGAGGTTGTAACGGTCGCGAGGCCTTGACGCTCCTGAAAGCGTGGTTCAATGTCGAATGGAGTATGTCACTGTATGTGGATCGTCTTTTCGGTTCACGTACGTAAGAAAAAGCACGAGACAAGATAATGAACGTGGAATTGAGCTCACAGATTTAAGGAGAATATCGGGTGCTACAAACTGCGGGCAAGAATCTCGGCTGCCAGAGTGCCAGAAGGAACTACGATATCAGCCATCGATAGAACTGTCAGCATCGGTACTCGTACACACTCCCGTTACACTTGAAGATAGCACTTCACGACGCACAGCATAGCCATACCGATTGACAGCGAGATTACCTTGCTGGTCGAACTGCTAGCGCTGCAAAGACAAGCGGGTCCAAATGTGCAGAGGGAGTACTCACGTCCAGGCCATCCTGTCTACATCATGCGTTTGGGAGGAAGACTTGTTCGCAAAGGCCAAATTCGCGCTTGCAACACTGAATAACTGGAATAAATTCATCGAGAAACGCACGTCGAGTCAAATCAAAGATCAAGAGAGTACAGGTCGAAGTACTATGCGATTACCTAAACACTGAAACAAAGATACTTTGAGCAAACCACGCGACGGTGTAGTGGAGAAGTCACACGCGGCCTTGCCTTCGCTGCAAACATCATCTATGTGGCACGGCTGGCCAAGTGCAGAGCCCTATCCATCTCTTCCCTCACAGAGAATCGTTACTACAAAAAGTATCAGACGACGAAATCGACAGGTAAGAATGACCAATACGAGACGAACTAGACACCCGTGCTGCAGATAACCGCCAAAATCTTCCAGCCCTTTCAGTGTCCTCTTGCACGTCTGCATCGCGAGAATATCGGTCGAGGCTAAGAACAATCGCCTGACCTTCCCGCCTTCAGCAATAACCACGCCCTGAATGGGGTCTACAAGTATTTCTGCTTGACAGTATCTCCAGCCTGAATCTGGTACGGATCACGGTGAGGGAAATGCTTGTAGATGAAGGCAGTCGTGAACGCAGATCTTCACTGCATTGCTGACTAGACCCACAAGGACACTATGATCCACAAGCCGAGAAGTATACGCAATGAAGTTGTCCGGGGGGGGGGGGGGGGGGGGGGGGGGGGGGGGGCAGTCCGAGGGAAAGTCGCTGTTGATATTTCGGAGGCCGAGGTGAGATATGTCCGCGTTTAAAGTTGTCTTTGATAATACTGTGAGATGGGGTATGGGTAAAAATAGTTCAAGCTCGAGATTATGACGAGAAGAACCGCAAAAAACCACCTTACATAGCAGCTTTTGAGCCCTAGTGCATTTCGCTACCCGGCTGAGACCTGGCGGTTGAATATTAACCTCGGTATCCAGATCAAGAGTCGTACATAGTCCCAACCAAGGAGAGACTCGATCCGTACGCCACAGTCAGCACTCGATAATAGATTGCTGTATTATATCATTGGAAACTCGCCAGCATTGTTCACCACGACATTTATTTGCTCTGTTTGCTATAAGTCATAATCCACTCTTAGGTATCTCGGATCCTATCCATACCTGGACGTCGAGCAATTGCAAACAAGTGAGCGGGAACACCAAGACGAATTACGAGGTAATAATGACTACCCACATGAGTAATTTCTGGGACATGGCGAAACGATAGTGAAGGCATGGATTGGGAGCGCTGTTATTTACTCTTGAGGCCGAGGTATCTATGGGATATTCAAATGATTATTTCAGTCACAATGTGGGAGAAAGCACTGTGCAAATCTCCATTGCTTGATGTGCTCCAACAAACTCGAAAGCGTGTAAGAAGCAGTAGCTTCCCAATTTTAGAATTGCTATTAGTACACCTAAAGGTCTGGCGCCACGGACGCATCTCCCTGGTATTCAATTTGACATGACCGGAATACGAGACGTTGCTCGCGCGCTGACGGAACACCAAAAGTTTCGTCGAAATCGCTATCTCGGATCTTCACATTCCATCACGGGGGAGCACCAGTACATATCCAAATTGGATAAATTCGAAATCACAATGATCAGTATCGTACAGTCGTCCAGTGTCTCTATTTTGTCTTGTCATTCCATCTGCGTGAGAAAGGCTTGAGAACTCTGCATCACTTGAAGGAAGAATCTGAAGCGTACAGATCCAAGAATAATTTCCATAGGATAGAGAACATGAGACCCTGCAGGCCGTTCGCGAGAATTCTGGTCTTGAGTCCACGTCCAAACAGGCCGAGCAGACCGTCCATAGCTATGACAGCCTGTGCAGCTTCCCAGTATCCAACACGCGCCTCGTGTACTTGGCGATAAGTCTTGACGACACGCAGGGAGTTCGAAACGGTATCGGAGATGACGGAGGCGACAAAACCAATCAATGCCTGGCGAGCCAGCTTCTCCAGCACTGTGGTCGGCTGAGGAAGATTTGCATCGAGGTAATTGTAGGTACCAAACCACTGCATGCAGATGAGTACAACATGATGCAGATATTAAGTTCGCAGCAAATTACCGGGTAATGGCCAACAAAGGTTGCAGCTGCAGTGGCAAATGCACCGTACCAGATTGTGCCAATTCCATATGTCTTTATCTATCGCCTGGCATCAGTCGCTGCCAGACGCCGACAAACTGACAACTCACCCTTGACCGGAGTATCGGTAAGCCTGCTTTGCCCTCAGTCTGCATGATGGTCTTCACAGTATCTACTGGAGTAAGAATCATCCTAAAACAGGCCGCCGCGAGCGACGCGAAGACTGTCTTGACAAGAGCAGGCAGGCGCTTCATGAACGAGTTGGACTGAAGCAGCGCCAGGATGCCTGCATTCGCCGCGGTGTCGCCAAAACGCGAGACCGGCCCCTGTATAAGAGCAGCAAGAAGGCCTTGGTAGTAGCGCGTCCATCCACCGTCGGCATACAGCGTCTTCACTGCCTGCGAGGTGGTCGTGCCGTAGCGGTACTGGTAGTTCATCACAGTACGCAACGGCATCAACGTAAGCACCTGCAGCACCATTGCTGCATACAGCGGTCATTATGATGTGAATGGTGGTAAGAAAGAAGACGTGCCTGCAGCCCCGCTCAAACCTCCACCCAATGCACTCTTCAGAGCCTTCCCGAGGTCGAACTATGTCATCCTCTCAGGATTTCGTCACTCTGAATAGAGCAACGATTCAAACCTCGACGTCGTGGGCATCAATAAAGCCTTTGATGAAGATAGCGAGCGTGGCAACAACAAGAATCGTCAGCACGATATACCAGGCGATGGTCCACCACGAGCGTTTCCTCTCTGGAGGAACATCAGCAACCGAGTTCTCCTCAGCATCGTAGTCATCGTCGACGAGCAACGGCTGTCGCTCGTCGGGAATTACTGCAGCGGCGACAGCTGCACTGTCAGACATGGCGGCAAGTGTCAGGAAAAAGAGGGGCCGTTGGCCGACTCGGAGGTACTTCGAAGCTCATCGCTGCGGAACCCAGCGCGAGCCTCGCGTGCGTAAAGGGACGCCCACGAATCCACATCTTATCAATTGTACTCAAAGAATGCTATAGGCTCGTCTCACATTGCAACCTAAGGATCAGAATGCATACATAGAATCGTACAACTACTGGGCTCAGTTTGACGATGGGTAACTGACGTGGTATGATAGGGAATGACAGTCCTCCTCGAGGGTTAGAGGTCCAGGACAGGCATAAGATTAGACGAGAATAGCTTTATGAGAACTTCCATCTGCACGACGACTGTGAGTAATGAGGGGTGCACGTTCGGAGCAGTAAGCACACCTATTGTTACAAACAGTACAGCTGGTATGGGACAAGGGTATCAGCGACAATCACAAGACAGAATGACATCACCCACGTTACAAACGTCTGCAGAGCGTTATGTGAGCAACGATTGCGCAACATGTGAGAAGACAGAACGTACAGTCATCGGCTCATCCGCACTTCGGGTCTGTGCTTGACGGTATCGGCACTTTCGCTGAAAACAATCAGTATCGGAAAACGGGTAGCTCACCTCACCAAAACATACCTGCTTGCATCGTCCGCATTGGAAGGCGTCCGTTTCGGCCTGCGCGTCTTCAGCACCAAGAGTTTTGAACAAGTTCTCTTCCTCGATCTTCTTGTCCGCAGCTTTCCTCTCTTCAGAAGCCATGTCCTGCAATCGTATATCAGCGAAGGGGGTCATGAAGGGCATTGAGTTAGTACCTGGCTGGTCATCTTGCAGAATTTTTGCACGGGCAAATCTCCAGTTACGACACTTTCTCGCAGGCCAGGGTTGTTCTTGTCCTTGAGATTCACAAACAAAGAGCGAATCTTGCTCTTGTATGCCGCAGTAGTGCCGCCGAACTCTGAGACCACAGCACTCTCGATGTTCTTTGCTCGAGAGAAGATAAGTTCAGTCGCTGCAAGAATCAACTGAGCACTATATCGGCACTGCATGGCAACTACACTCACGAGCACCCGAGTCGAAGGCCAGAGCGTCATAAATGAGCTCAAGACACTTGTCTCGCGTCTTATCACCTGTGACTGCAGACTTGATACCATCACCCTTGGCAGTGCGGAGATCAGTCTTCGAGCCACCAGCGATGGTCGGGGTGACGGGCGTAGTTGGCGCTGTGGAAACGGACATTGTTGAAGCCTTCCTCATGACTGTTCAAAGACATGTGGGTCTATACATCTATGTTGGTGACACAAACCACTTACCGGGATTCTTTCCTGGAGCAGCTTTAGTGGCACCCCCTGCCCCGTGTTTCTCTCGCTCCACTTCCGTCTTCCATTTCTTGACGATTTCCTTAGCAAGATCTGCGACTTCTTTGGCGGCATGCGAGCGCAACTTGCCCACAGCCAATCCTGCTTTGCTTTCCTGGCAATTGACGGTCAGAACGACTGATGCTCAGGATGGAAGTAGAACATACTCTGAGGATCGCTTCGGTTATCTTCGCCTCTTGCTTGAGTGTATTTAAAATACCTATCACCTCCTACTCGCCATCACGACGAAAACGGAACGCAATCAAAGTCAGCTAGAATCAAAATTGACGGGGAGGCCGTAGGAAACTGATTATGCACACACCTCATCCGTTGACGCGCCATGGAGGCTTTTGACAAGCGATTTCAACTCTACAGCTGCTGACATCGACTTCACCACTACTCTACGAGCACGTTACAAGACAGTAAGCGATAACAAATGGCTTCTACGGCCCCAGCAGCGACAAAGATCCTTCGCCGATGTTGAGGACGATGGACGCAGCGACAAAGGTGGAATCGTAGGTGATGCCTAGATTCGGTAGGCTGAGTCAGCAACTTGGGCGCTAGCAGTTGCACCCTTACCGCGGCGGCGACGACGGCGACGACCACCAATCATCGAAAAAATACCCCACGCCGAGATTAGTTGCGGTCTAATACTCCTCGCCTGAAGATTCTGCGCAATGTCGACTTCTGCGCTCCCACCACTCAACCCCTTACTCCAAGTATGCGGCAAACGAACGAGGGACATCTTTGCGTCGTGTCCCGATGATAGTATGGCGGAAAATGAGAAGAGGTACGTATTTTACGCGTTCTTAGGCGGTATACAAATGAAGTGATGTCCTACAGTGCTCGAATCCGGCTATCTGTCAGGATGAACGACGAATACAAAGACGTTAGAGAGCTCCCCGCAGCACTGGCGGCGCAGCAGGGACCGGTTGGCCCTGCACGGCCAAAAGAGCAACGAAAAGCTATCACTGCAGGCCGTGAGTTCTCTCGTGTCTATAATCTTGCCACGTCCTTCATTTCTTCTGCAGCCGCAACCGACACAAGCCGTATGATTGCAACCATCGACAATAAGCCACCTCCTCAGCCTTCAACATTTGCATCATCGTCAAACCTCTCTAAGGCATTGCAGCTGCACAAAACGACACGGACAATCAAGCCCACTTATCATCCGCCATGGAAGCTCACGCGCGTCATCTCGGGGCATTTGGGTTGGGTGCGGAGTGTTGCAGTGGAGCCCGGCAATAAGTGGTTTGCAACGGGGGCGGGAGACCGAGTCATCAAGATTTGGGACCTGGCGTCGGGTGAGCTGAAGCTGTCGCTGACCGGCCACATATCCACTGTTAGAGGATTGGCGGTGTCCTCGCGGCATCCATATCTATTTTCTTGCGGTGAAGACAAGGCGAGTTATTTTGTCGTGCACAGGTTTAGCGTGCTGACGCTCCGGGTAATGTAGATGGTTAAGTGCTGGGATCTGGAGGCGAACAAGGTCATCCGGCACTACCATGGGCACCTGTCTGGAGTTTACGCGCTCTCGCTGCACCCAACGTTAGACATTCTCGTCACATCTGGGCGAGATGCGTCAGCACGTGTATGGGACATGCGAACGAAAGCACAGATCCACGTCCTGTCCGGCCATACGGCGACAGTTGCAGATGTCAAGTGTCAGGAGTCGGACCCACAAGTCATCACCGGCAGTATGGACTCAACAGTGCGGTGAGTACCCCCCTCCATCTTCTTCCGGTGTACCCCTTACTCGTCACATCAGGCTGTGGGATCTAGCGGCTGGCAAGACGATGGTGACGCTCACGCATCACAAAAAGTCCGTCCGCGCACTTGCCATTCACCCAACAGAGTTCTCGTTCGCATCTGCCTCCGCCGGTGGCAACAATATTAAAAAGTGGAAGTGCCCAGACGGGACATTCGTGTTCAACTTCAGCGGGCACAACGCTATCATCAACACACTGTCCGTTAACTCGGAAGGAGTGTTCTTCTCTGGCGGTGCGTGTACTCTTATGTTCGCCGTTTACTGCCTTTCCGTCTCATACGTTCTCCATCAGGTGACAACGGTACCCTAACATTGTGGGATTATAACACCGGCACTGCGTTCCAAAATATGGATGACATTCCTCAACCGGGTTCCCTCGAAGCGGAGGCAGGTGTCTTCTGCTCGACATTTGACGTCACTGGTACGCGATTAATCACCGGCGGAGCAGACAAAACGATCAAGGTGAATCTCAACGATATGGCCTCATCCTCGCTATCCTGACAGTGCCTTCTGTAGATCTACGCGGAGCAGTCGCAATAGATTCGGATCAGACCTGTTGTATTTTATGGATGTTGCTTTTGCTATGTATCGCATTATCGCTGTTGCGGCATGACAGCCTCCAGGCGCTGCGTCGGAGGTGTACGCATGGTTATTACCCTGGTGTTGAGGCGTGCGTCCGTTGGGTGTGGTTGCAGCAACTCTTCCCGGACAAGTAGAGACTAATGTAAGACCCAAGCATTGTATCCTGTGAAGTTTATGGAGACAAGTGGTATGTATATGCCCTTGCGTCCTCCCGTCCTCGCTCCACGTCCACACTCATTAGGGCCGGGATGGCCAGCCAAATCATAAGCACGAGGAAGAAGAATGCGTAGCGGATGTTACCAGTCGTGTCTGCAATGAGGCCGACGATAAGGGGCCCGACGAAGGAGCTCGACTGCGGATCGAAAACAGTTAGACATCGAACCAAGATTCAAATTGTGATACTTGCCTTGTCCGTGATGGAGAATAGACCATACCTGTGTGAGGACAGATCAATACCTCGGGAAGACAAAGATGGGACCCTTGAATCCTACCATCGAGCTTCTTCCCCGGGAGGAATGAGCTCCGCGTAGAATGCACGTGCGTAACCCTGGAAAGCCCCGTATACCGAACCCTACAGATGGAAACATGATTAAGTCGCGTCATTCGGCATGCAGGCACACGCGAACAGCGGTGAGATGCGAGAGAAGGAACACTCACGAAATACACAGCAAGAACATACATCTCTCCCGGAGTCGTGAGACCACCAACATGTGCACCCTTCTGGAAGATGGGCAGGAACCCAAGGCACCCATATGCCGGAATTGCAGATCCCATACCTACAAGTGTCACAAGTATGCGGAGATTCGTCCAACCAGCACGCCGCTGGAGCACGGGCCATATCAGGGAACCTAGGATCCCTGCGGTGGGGGTGAGTACTCCAATGATAATCAAAGAGAACGGCGTCATATGTAGAGTCGTCTTCGCAAACAGAATTGCAGTGGAGGTTATAGTCGTGAAGCCTAGAGAGCATATCATTCAGTGTCGGGTCTTCCGCAAAACGAAGTAGGGACGAAGTAGAGAAACTCACCATCAGACAGTAGAAACCACGCGAAAAGGTAGACGAAGGTGTTTCTTAGCCTTCTGATCTCCCGCCATTGCAACATTCCACCCAATCTCCTCCACGCGTTCCGGACTTCCCTCCATGTATTCCATCTCTCGCGTTCCCCTTCTTCTATACCCCCTGCTTCCCCGTCGGCCAGAGACAGAGATGACTTGGGTTCAATGTCAGAGGACCCCGGAAGCCATATTGCAGCAGGTACAGAGAAGAGAGCCCACCACAACCCACTGAGTCCCACAGCAAGACGCAGGGCGAATGTCGATCCGCCCAGCATGCGCACAGGAACCAGTGCGAGTAGGAGCATTGCTATACCTGCCGCATATCCAAGCGCTATGCCCTGAGCAGAAATACGAGCTGTTGCGCTAGAGAGCGCGCTATCATGGGCAGCTTTGGCAGCCACCACATCGGCATCTGTAGCTGGTACTTGGTGCGAGAGTAGCGGGTGATGAGGCTGCGCTTCTTCCTCGGGGTGTTCTGACTCGCATTCTAATGATGGTGAGTCGTCAGACAAGTCAAGAGGATGTGCATTGTTGAGGCGCCAAAGTGCTGTACGCGTGGCAATGACCTCCTTGGTTCCACGCGCAAGTGCAGGAAGGTACGCATTCAGCGCAACAATGGAAGCCCCAAACCCTACGTTTGCCAGGATTGCGAGTGGTGCGGCGAGAACCCACACTGGGGAGGAAGAGGGAAGGGCTAGGAACAATGTCGCGCAAGCGGAGCCAAGGCCTGCGAAAGCCAGTAGAAGGCGTTTTCGGTGAGCCGCTGTTAGGTAAGGGTGTGACATCTTGAGTATGCGAATGTCGTTATAGGCAAATGAGTTGGCGCTTACAGTGGTCGGCAATTCCGCCCATGGAGATGACAGTGAGAGCCTGTAATGCGACAGATATAGAATAGACATACAAGCTGACAAGGAGTTAAATCATCTCTATTAGTTACTCCTTTACCAAGTGCAGCTTACCTGAAGCTCGCACTATCTATCCACATCCATCCAAGCTTCACCACGCAGCGTTCTTCTTCACCCTTCGGCGCCTTTGCAGGAGTTGGAAGGGCGGACGTACAAGGTTGCGTGCGGTCGGGTAGAAGAAAGCCGTTGTCTCTGCGTTATTGCGAATAGTCAGTTCTTGCCGAAGCATCTGGGCATTGACGCGTGTGTGACCATAGAGAATAGAGGGAGTACGCCGCACGAACAAAGGGGAGATTCTATAAGGAAGTAGAGGATATTACACATACCTAGCAAATTGTTCGAGACAGATGGGTAGGAATAGCGTTAAGGAAACGATGACGAACACTTCACTAAATCATGACCGATGTCAGTATTCAATTTTGCGGTCAGAGATTGCAGCCAAATCGACGGAGGAGGGTAACCACAAGTACAGTGTGCCGTAGGCAGGGTCGACAGCACAATATCTCCTGCGCGGATATTCGAGGAGCAAAGTATCCAACTTGCCGCATCGCTCCTTGCTACAGTAGAGCATATGTTACCTGGCGAAAGCATAGCTCAACCATCCACCGAGCTGACGTTTGTATGCCCGATCATTATATTCTGGAGCCTCCGAATCGTCATCGTGGAATGGAGCCATGGTGTCCTGTGTTATAGCCAGCCTAGTCTAGTGGAGCAATGGGGCCATACTTGAGCGTCAGGACGTCGACTTGCACACAGAACTTCTCAAAACAGCTGCGCTATATGAGAACACAGGAATGTAAAGATGAGAGTATGAGAGGGGTACAACAATGGCAGTGGTTCTTGTTGACGTTCAAGGACCGTCTGGCACTTCAGGCGCGCGTGGAAATGCGCTGATAATATTCTCATGCATGTACAAGTACACAACTTAACGCATTTCGAACACTACTCGAGAAAGGACAGAGAATAAGTAATGCGTAAACCACACCATGACATAAGTGCCACCGAAGAGTAGAGTAGAGAAGAATAATCTATCGCAACGGTGAACATTATCTCCGATGTGGCGGGCGACCTCCGCCTCCCAGCTGTTGTGCAAGATAATCGTTCAATTATATGGCACAAGAATAAGGGAGTGTGAACTCACCTGCTGCAAATGTGCGTCGATCGTGTCTCCATCCTCCATTGACATCTGGTATTAATTTGAGTATGGTTCAAATTTTAGAAATATGAAAACAGCTGAATGCTCACTTCCGCCGGTGTAGATTCAGGATTCAGTCGCACACCTTCGAAATGAAATTTGAAGGTTCCTAGAGATTGTTCAACGCAAGTTGAGGATATATCTGCTCTAACAGTGCTGACCTGGCTCCTTGCCAAACCTCTTCTACTTGATATCATCAGAAATGCAAAGCAGAGCACTTCATGTAATACCGCTCACCTCTGCCGCTTCAAAAACTTTCTTGAAGGCCATCCCAGATTTCACTTTGATTGTACACGCTGTAACGCGCGTGGTGTCAGTCGTTGGCACAACGGCCTCAATTTTGCACTTGGCTCACTTTGTCCCTCAAATTCGACAACGAGGTTAATCTTCGGTTTTACATCTTCGTTTTCTTCCGCAGCCATGATGTCAGAGTTATGAAGACTTTTCAGAAATGAGGACGGAAGTTAGAACTGATAAATTGGACAATGGACAAGATGTGGCAAGGTTGCGGTCACGCCGCGTTGGACGCAGCGTGTCAAGCACGTGACGGACGCGTCTGCTCGGCGCGAAATCGAGATTCCTGAGCCGATAGTATCCAGTCCGGTTTCACCGCAACCTTCGACAAAAAATCCATGCATTTTTTTAATTCAGGATGCTGATGCTTCCAAAGGCATGAAAGTACAGGATGGCCGTTGTATGGATGAAGACAACAAATGCCATTTACGAGGCCCGTGAGCGGCCCGGGAGGTATGGCCATTGCTCTGGACTTTCTCGTATATTACTGATACGCGCGCAAATCTAATTTCAGTAGGAGGGTCTGATCTAGTAGGAGGACAATCAAGCACCAAGATCTATCATTTGACATCCGGCTTGTGGAAAAATCATGGATCAGACAGTGAGTAGCTGCTGCGATTAATGACGTCTCTTCCACGAACTTACCATGTTCTTTTCGTGTCGTATCACAGCCTCAAATGCATGTCTGGAGCTTACATCGTGTATACACGATTTCCATGGATCCACCCGGTTAGTTACGTTCTAGGGGCAGTGAGCGGGTCGCCTGCCGCATGGTAAGCATGCGCGAGTGTGCAGACCCGCACACCATTAAACCGAGCGCAGGAAGCAGCCAGCTGCACCACTATCATGCTTTCGACCTTGTTCATTGGTAGCATAAGAAAGCGACAGAGACGCGCCGACAGGTCTTCAGAACCCACCTCCCAGCCCACTCCACCATCCAGCACCATGGGTAATGCTCCCAGCGCTCCCAGTACCCCGAAGAGCAAGCCGGCGCAGGTCATTCGGTCTCCGACAACGTCTTCGCTTTTCATTCCTGGGGCCGAGGAGTCACGTCATGCTTCCGTCGGTAGCCAGGAGAACGCGCCCGCCAGAGAAGTCCCTGCTTACAGCGTACATATTGATCTCCCGAGCATCGGAGGCGCCTTTGGTGATCTCCGAGCTGCGTTCGCCGCCAGCGACGCCCGTAAGGACGACGAGGTCACGAAAACGCAGCTCGAGTCGAAGAATAACCGAACGGAGTCTGTGACACCGCGGGCGGTGTCTACCCTGGAGGGCGCGGTGGTTTCGGAGGTTGAGCCTACGGAGACTGCTTCACAGGACGACTCGCATAGCCGTGGTGACGATACGATACTCCACGGCCTGAAAGCCGGCCCTCCATCTAGTGTCACTCTCGTGCACGAGCACGAGCATGAGCACGATAATCATGATAGCGGAGAGTCCGTTCATATCGAGGAGAACGCTCATAGCTGTACAGCGGACAGTTCGAAGGACATGCCACCCGTCTATGCTCACTATGTCGTGGACGACACCCCCCAGGACCATGCGATGCAGGTGGTGCACGGCCCGCATGTTCACGACATCATCGAGAGCGATGCGAAGGAGTTGTTCCATGCTCAGTATCTTGTTCACGACGTTGTTCCGGAGGATGCGAAGAAGCTCGACCATACTCTAGATGCGGTTCTTGACGACGTCCAGGATGACGCCAAGGAACCAGTGCCGGCCCTTGTTCAGGATCAGACTCCGGATGTTACTTGGGAAGCAGCACCAATTCCCATGCAGAACGATGAGCCAACCGTTCATGTCCAGAACGATGCGAATGAGCCTGCCTCGGTTCATGACCAGGACGATGCCAAGTCTTCCTCGGTTCATATTCAGGACGATGCACATGAGCCAGTCCCGGCTCTTGTTGACAATGCGCATGGACCAGTACCACTTGTTGCCGAGGACGATGCACAGGAGCTAGTTCCGGGTCCCGTTCAGGATCTGTTGGAGGACACTGCCGAGCGAGCGGTGGAGAGCGTGGCGAGAGATAATGTTGAGGAGCAAGCCTTGCAGGAAAATCTAATAGACGTTGAACTCGATCCCCTGATCCACGAAGCTGGAGAATGCGTTCCCGCCATCGTCCTAGAGCAGCCGCAGGAGCAGCCGCATGACGAATGTGCTCGTAGTATTTCTCAGGACGACTGTCAAACCCCCGCCAACGGCGGTCCCAGTGCTGTGGAGATCTTTAGCTCGACAGAACCCTCCCAGTACTCCTGGACACCCGGGACGTATGTCCTAGTGAATGCCAGGAGCGGCACTGCGCTGGATCTGTCTTGCGGAGATTTCAGAACTCTCACTGGCTGGCCTCTCCATGGTGAGCAGAATCAGCAGGTGCGCCCGTCTTGCTGCTCCTCATTTTCGGACCTTGACTGACGAAAGGGTGGACAGTGGGAATTCGTGCCGAGCGGACGAGGGTATGTGATCCGGAGCGTCTGCAGCTCTCCTTGTGGGATGTACCTCACTGTCACGGACGGCCTCTATGATAACGTCGCGCTTGTCGCGAGCCCGTTCCCGGTTAGCTGGGATGTCCAGGTGATTGAGCACGAGAGTGCTATCAGGTATGTCTCGCCCAACGATCCCGTGCACTCCGAGCTTACGACGCGCTTTCAGGATTGCATGGCCCGGCACAGACTACGTGATGGACTTGGCCGACTGGGGATGTGATGCTCCCGGCACGAAGGTGAGTTGATGCTCTCCTAGTTCTATTGCAAACAATTTTATTGACGAGTGGCTTCGGCAGGTACAACTTGTGAGGCATAAACCCAGGGAACCTTGTCAAATGTGGAGATTTATTCCACGCCCAGCGTCGGTCGACGTCGTAGAGAAGGTGGCTCAGGCAGCTATGCAGCCCATACTTACAGAGACAGTCATCGTCTCCGAGGGTACTGATTTTGTCACGACGACCCGCACCACCACCACTACGACAGTAACAACTGTCACTACAGTAACAAAGACGGCACGGCACAGAGTATTGTGATGAAATTTTACACGAATTTCGTTTGTAGTACACGCGGGAGGACTTCGCTGCATCAAGCTACGTACAGTAGCTAGCACTAAGTTATATATGATACTTAAGGTTGCTCGATTAGTACCAACTACGACCTGAATCTCAGTTTATTCCAACTGTTCGAACTGGACGCCTGCGTAGACGGGGTTTGCAAGAGTCATTGGTTTCAAAGAGGCTGTGTCTGAGAGAAGGTGTATAACACCTCATTGAACGCGCCAAGCTTGGAATCGAACGGACCTAGTGTCTCAGACATGGCAAGAGGGCGGATACAATGCAGGAGTATAGCAACGACCTTCGACGACGGCTCAGAGGAGAAGGCAGACATGAAAACATGCACGCATCGTGGTCTTCTTATGTGGCAAGCCATTCGTTGAACGTTGAGCAGCTGTCATTGTCATGTTCCCAAAGCTTGACGTTGCATTTCTGCGACCAATAGATCTCCAGATCTTCAGATCTTCAGACCGCAATGACTTGCTCGCAAGGCTAAGATTGTAGCGACTCTGAAGCAGAACGGAACATTCACTAAGGGTATCAGTGAAAATCTCTGGCATCCTGCCAAAACACAAATTGCAAAATTACAACGCATTACCTGAGTGCGAACAATTAGAATATCTGGATATCCACAGCGAAAGCAACAAGATACAGCATAGCCTCGATGATGACCAACATCGTCCCGAATCCCATGTCTAGAAGACAAATATATCACATACCCGCGAGACCACTCTTGACTGCAGGGCTAAGATGCGGTACTGGTGGAATCGCGTCGTAGTCCACCCCGCTCTCTCCATACATCGCCTCTACGCGCTTTACGAAGCGTTCACGGGCCTTCGCGCTCTTCTCCGTGTCCATGAAGCTCTGCCGGCCTTCTGACACGCTCCACATGCTGGAGCGGTCCCCCGCCTCACTGCGCTCTTCGTCAGCGTAGAGTGAGCGGTCATCAGAGTCGGCATCCTCGTACAGCGACTGATCGTCTTCCATATCCAGATACATCTCGTCATCTATGTCTGGTTTCGGCGGCTCATCGCGGTGGATGTCCACATCTTGCCTCAACCTTGAGGATGGCCTGTCCAGCGCGGACGCCGAACGCGGCTGCCACTGCGCATCCCGCTGTTTACCGAAGTAAATATTATCTGCAGACACCGGACCGCTGCCGTGGGGGTATCGGGGTATTCTACCTGCACCCGGTGGGGCCAGCGTCGACGTTTTGCGAGCCAGGCCTGCCACATCTTCGTGCGAGTGGATGGGTATTGTAGGGAATGGTGACTCGCGGCCACGCTGTATGCGCGAGGCGGGCTGCGACGACAGTGGAACACTACCGTTCGCGTTCAATTGCGCAAGGGTCGGAATGCTGGTGGGCTCAGAATGAGAATGTGCTGCGGGCGCAGTAGATGGGCGCATAGTAATGGATGGCGACAATGCGCGTGAGAGAGGCGGAATCGCTGTAGTGGCTTTGGCACCCAGCCGGCTTGGAGGCCTCATTGGCAGACTGTCCACTGATGGAGTGCGTGACGACAAGCGCTCCGCGCGCGAGGAAACGTCTGATGGAACATCCGGGAGGGGACCTCGAGGAGGAGGTGTGGGTGGTGGCAGCTCGTAGTACGCTTGCACGTGTGGCCGCAGTACATACTGGGCAGCTGTAGGACTTGGTGGGACAGCTGCCACCGTCGCGGACGGAGAGGGTAGGATATAGTCGGATGAAGGAATAACAAGACTGGACGACGGGCGGGGATTGAGGGCTGTCGGGGTGGACGACCCGGGCGGAGTGACAATAACATAGTCAGGATCAGGGGAGATGGGGAAGTGTTGCGCGGCTTGCGAGCGGATAGATGCGGAGGACGCAGAAGACGGAGTGAGCACGAGGGGAGCGGGGACATGTTTTGTAATCAACGTGCTGGTATTTGGGGCGGATATTGTTGGGCGTGAACCTTTCGCCTTCGGAAGAGCAATAGTCGGGACGTCTGGGAAACGTGTAGGCGATGCGGGAGGCGGACGAGGACGCGATGGACCCTTGGGAAGAGCGTGTGTACTCGCACCGAGCTGGTTGAAGGTAGACAAAGTATCAATGCTCGGGTGACGTACGGATTCAGCATCGCGGAACGCTCGAATGAGGCCATCATGTGAGGAAATAGAGCCTATGGTCGAGGGCGCCTTGTCTCTCTCCGCAGACGTCCATGTTTCCGAACTGCCGCGGTCGCTTAAGGAAAACTGGCTCGGTACTGGGGTCACAGTCCTCGACCTTACGGCATCCATCGAATTCGGCGTTTCACTCCGTAAGAACCTTTCTGCAATCGGCAGCTGCATGGGCGGCAAGGCGGGCACGGGAGGAATCAGCTCCTCAGGTGAATCGACCAAATCTCGTTTCTTACGCGGAGAGCGTGTATTCAGGCGAAAGAAACCTCTCTTTTTGACGGACGCCTCTGATAAGTAGCCACCATCTGACTCGTCGCCCGTTGTCGGAGAAAGGAGGGACGTCTTTCGCGGCCGTTGGCTCTTCTTGCTCTGCGAACTTGATGCAGATACCTTCAACGTGGAACCCCTATCGATCTCGTGATCCGTAGCGGGCGACTCTGCATCCTTCGCCCTAGGTGTTTTGCTTGTTTTCCGTCTGGAGATGATGTCAGACAGATAACCTCCATCGCTCTCATACTCCGTCGCATTGCCATTCTTCTTGTCTTTCTTCTTGCTCTTCTTGTCCTTCTTGCCCTTCCCGCTGTCGCTCAGGTATCCGCCGTCACTCTCATTCCCGGGCGCTCGCCATTTGCGGAGCTTGTTCTGCTTAGGCGCGACGGGCATAGGTGAAAGAACACGAGGCTCTGGAGTTGCACTGAGGTCAAACTGAATGAAACGCTGTTGGCTTTCTAGAGAGACGGCATCAGAATGAAGCCCATCTCTCTGAATATTCAACGGTGAAGGACCAGGTCCGCCGGGTACCTTGCCATAGAATGGCCGAGAAGCTGAGATTCCAGCGCCAGGCTGGTTCCAAGAAGTAAGAAAGTTGGAGGGCAATGCCTCCTCCGACGTTGCAGTCGATGCATATGTAAGGCTTGGGGAAATGGCATCCTGCGTGCCATAAGCATAACACACGGTGCAGAGGTGACTGGGCACTGACAGATTCTGCATCCTCGTCCACCTCTTCTACGGGGTTGAATATCCAATGAGTGACGGTACGACTGGTGCCCACCCCAAGTTCTAAAGCACTTTCGAGGATGGAGGTGCGCAGAACCGATTCGCGGTTGTCGACAATTTCACGCTGTCTGGGAATGGGGGTAGAAGCCATAGATGGGTTGAAAGAGTGTGAATAGAACGGCACTTGGATTTTGAGTATGAGCAGCGAACATGTGGTATGCTCACAGCTCAAGGAAGTGTCACTGTCAGAAGGAGAGGCAAGGAGAAATAAAACATACTACAGTAGTATGAGGATCAAATAGGGATTGGTGAGGAATCGGTCGCACCTAGACCTCATACAGACCAGCAAGTCCGATTCGACTCCGAAGCTCCGCAACTCGTCAATTGGATGATGGACATGCCAATCTAGCTTTTTGATCTCCATTCAATTTTAAGGTGCAGAGATTAGATGAACAAGGCCAGAAGAAAAACATCTGTGGTGAAACGACGTCACTAGCTAGTGACTATCTAATTTAGTCCATATGATATCATGGACACAGATTATTGCATCCACAACAGTTAACAGAACGAAAGCGCAGAATAAGGAGATAATATTGAGATACTGCTTATGCCTTCGCATCTTTCGTTTTCTTCTTTTTCCTCTTTCTCGACGACCCATCTTTCTCGACTTCCGAAATTGCAGCCGATGTACCTAGATTATTGTCATCGTTTTCACCATCTCGCCGCCTCTTCTTCGCGCGTTGTGTAGCAGTTTCCTGGCTCTCCAGTGCAGTCTCCAACATCGTTGGAGCGTCTGCTCCACCGCTTGGAGCTGCCGCTACCGAGGCAGTCGTGACTGTTTCAGACGCCGTACGTTCTGGCAATGGTGGGGGCAGCGGTTCTGACTCCGTGTTCGACGCTGAAGCACCTGGTATGACTATCCTAGGTTCCGACAAGATGGCACGATATGTCCTGCGAGTCTCTGTGCTTAAGGTCAGCTCAAATAGACTGTAGCTTCACCAGATTGCAACATACGAGCCCGAAGGATTAGAGACTGCGGAATTTTGGTAGCGGCATCATGCGCAACATCTTGCGGCAACCCTAGTACAGTTATTCTGGAAAGCGAGGACATTCAACAGCCGATAGAAAAACATCGGGAGACACTGACAAATTAGCTACATCTCTTGGTGCTCTCAGATCAGCATCGTTTACTGCACCTCCACTGACAAGAATGCCCTTGCCCTTCGTGACGCGCACCACCTCCCTTGCGGACGCCCACCAATTGCGCTTGACGCTCGTGCCACTCTCACCACCGCCGGGCTCGCCCTCGCCGCCGAGGGCACCGCAGTAATTGATTTCGAACACAGCACCATTCTTCAGCGCAGCTCGGACGAGTGTGTGCCTGAGGTTGAAGGGGAGACGAGGAAGAGTGAGGGGTATGCAGATGATATGCGCAGTGAGCGGAGAAGGGAGTGTATGCGTCAGACATGCAAGCGAGAAGGATGTGGCTGTTGTGGGTGCGAGGGCTATGATATCGTAAGGGGTAAACAGGGTTGCATTCGATGTTGTCTATCAGTAAGTTTAAGAGAAGTTACGTTACAGAGAGTTCGCTGAACGCACCAAACCGAAACCTTTCTCACTCTCCTCGTCTAACACAATCGTAAGACGCTTCAGGAATGCAGCGTCTGTTCTTCTGCGCAGCTGAGACAAGAGGGGATCGAGCGCATTGACATGTGTCTTCGGATCAACTTTTTTCGATACTGTCTGGTTCAGCGCAAACACAGTATATCCCACTACCCTTTCGTAGTCAGAAATTGCACAAAAAATTTAAAGGTGCTCTGACTGACAGTGGACAAGCAAGTCAATGCGGGCCTCGATTGCGGAGATCTGGGCTGGGGTGAAAACGGCAGTTTGAACACTGGCCTGCTGCTTTCCCTTCCCTTTCTTCGACTGTGCTTGTGGTCCTGGAGGTTGTCTCGATGTTACTGAAGGTATAGGTATGTTCAGATCAATGAACATGGTGCTGCGGTAGTGCAATACGCCGCCTTGACTCGTCTTTGCCGCCATAGGCGCCCGACTCAGAGCATCGACGGGGCGGTCCGCAGCGGTCCGCGACATCCAAGCCGCTGCTCACTCTTCGTCTGCCATGGCGCAGGACTTTTCTCTCTCTGTAGCGTTGGCCTCGGCGTCGACGCTCGTCCTTCTCCAGTTCTTCTCTAGGATTTTCACATTTCTGCTCAACCAGGCGTTGGTCCGCCTCGTCTCTCCTCAGGCCTTCGGCACCGCTGCGATCCAGTTTGAGCTCCTCCTCTCCACCATCCTCTTCCTTTCGCGCGAAGGCGTTCGCGGTGCCCTTCTACGAGCCACACCGTCGTCCGATGCTACGCCGGACAAGCCCGCTGATCAGCACTCAGAAGTACTCGCAGCTAATATATCTCTCCTTCCGGTACTCCTTGGAATTCCTGCGGCGATACTTATCACCGTTTTCTACACGGTCACCGCATCAGTTTCCACTGTGTCGCAGCCACACTTCCGTCTCAGCGTCACCATCTATGTCTGTGCAGCTCTCCTTGAGCTCCTCTCAGAACCTCTCTACATTCGCGCCCAAAATCAACTTCGGTTTGATGTACGCGCCAAGGCTGAGGGCCTCGCCGTCGCTCTCAAATCCGTCGTTGCGTTTGCTGTCCTAATTGCCGCCTCTGCCGACTGGGCTCTCGTTGCCTTCGCTATGGGACAAGCTGTCTATGGCCTGACTATCTATCTGTCTTACTTGAAGACATATCGCGGGTACAGTCTCTGGCCGAGAAAGGTCACAACGGTGGTACATGGCAAGTGTGTCCTTTCTCAGCATTCCTCCATCATCGAATAATCAACGGAGCTGCAGCTCCAAAACGATGTATTTTGACCCATCGTTGTTGCATCTCGCTCGTGCCATGACGGGTCAATCTGTGATCAAACATTTCTTGACCGAAGGAGACAAGTTTCTCGTGTCCAGGCTGAGCCCACTGGCTGATCAGGGTGGATATGCCATGGCATCCAACTACGGTATGCTTCCGCTGTCCTGAACATGGTCTCGTCATGACTGTGTCTCTGGGGACTAGGTTCACTCGTTGCCCGCATCATACTCCAGCCGATCGAAGAAACCTCGCGCATGTTCTTCTCCAAAACGCTCGCTGCGAAGAACAAGGAAGCGCTCGAAACAGCATCCAGCATGCTGTTTTCTCTACTTTTGATGTTTACACATTTGTTTCTAATGCTCGTGACCTTTGGTCCGCCGTATCTTCAGCTTGCTGCATCACTCCTCCTCCCGCCACGATATCTCGACACCTCTGCGCCCATCATCCTGCACACGTACATCTACTATATACCCATCATGGCATACAACGGGATCCTGGAAGCATTTTTTGCATCGGCATGTTCGCCCGCGGATCTGCATGCACAGAGCCGCTGGATGTTCGTGTTCTCTGTCGGGTTCGTCGTCGCTGCTGTCGGATTTGCAAAGGGCCTGGGGATGGGCGATGCCGGACTCGTGTGGGCGAATATTGCAAACTTGCTTTGCCGGGCGGTGTACGCGTGGCTATTCGTGCAGCGCGTCTTCAGAGAGGAGAACAGCGCGCATTTGGTGAGTTGGAGGAAGGCAGCCCCTCCGGCAGCCGTGTTGGCTGTGTTCGTGATGTCCGCCGCTATCACGCGGTGGAGCGAGGTCAGACATTCCGACCTTCCTGTGAGCGTCGGTGCGCAGATTGGGCATATATCGGTTGGTGTGGCGTGTCTTGTTGGATGTCTGTCTACGTGGTGGGTTATCTAACTCATGTCTCCGTTCGAAGCAGCTGACGTTGTTGTAGTGCGATGGTTGAACGGACTACATTCGTAGAAATGTTCAGATTTCTTCGTAGACGGTAGTCTACAGAACCAATTGATGAACGTGGACGTCCGTTCTCGTGTTAAAATTGCGTCTGTAGCGGTCTAAAGCTGAAGAGCTGCCAGTGGATGACGTCATCGTGGAGACTCCCTTAAAAGCACTGTTCGACTTCATCTAGATCTTACGACTCCATATTGTCTTACATTTACCGCCATGTCGCAATCCGTTACGCCGGCCGCACGCACAGATTCAGCAGTTACTGATGTCAGTATGCTCCTTGTACTGGTCACATAGCGGAGCGCATTGACCGTACCACATTCGCAGCCGCGCGAAACTACTGAGAGCTCTCCGATTCAGACCGAAGACCGTCAAGACGAGATTGCGGGACCGTCCACGGCAGCCTCTGAGCCTCCTCCGCACCAAGGTAGCTCCCATCGTTCGTCGTTGCATCAGTCGGGCAGTTCACGACGGAGCTTCTAGGTGCAACTCAATCCGGGGATACTGCACCTCAAGTGTACGTCCTCCAGCCTCCTCCGACGTTCAAGGAGCAAGTGATAGGTGAGTCACTTCCAGTCGTTCTCCACGTAACGAAACGTGCTGAAAGAAGCTGCACCAAAGGATACGCGAAGGTGAGCGAAAATGTCAAATACCCAGGACGATCTCAAGTTCTAATAAATATCATCTTCGTCTTGCAACGCAGGAGATCCGCGGATCGGTACGTCTGCGAACGTCTATGCATGCACGAGTCCTCTTGACAGGTATCATCGCCTCTCTCAGATCTTGCGGCAGGTGGGCAAGCAGTGAAAATCAAAGCTGTGTAGAATTCACTGACGGGCACGCTTTCCAGCCGGAAACCAAAGAGTATGGTGAGAAGATTTTGAGAGGAGAAGCTTCATACCCTCCCAAGGACTGAATGTCGACCGCGCTCTCTGGCGTTCGTGCAAGGGTACATGGGTAGCAACGAACTTTGTAGTTATCTCCTTTTAACACTTTATTCTCCATGGATTTGACGAAGTACTCTTACTTGTCTCCCTCCGAAGCATGAATTGGCTCGTCCGTATCAAAGTTGCTCATCCATGCGCAGAAGGAATATTTAACAGATTCGGAATTAGTCTCTGAATCTGGAGTAAATCTCGAATACTCAGGCTCTGAAACCTTGTCCGAGTCGATCGTCGTCGGTTGGTCTTGTACTAGGCTCGTTAACCAGCCTCTGGTAGATAGGAAGAAGTCTCTACTTATATAGGCTGGACCTCGTATGAGTCTCCCGTGGGAACGGCGGAGTTTGACCATGCCAAAACGCATACAAAAATTGCGATGTCGAGGAGGCAGTGCGACATACGACGCCTATCAAAATGTTGGCGTAACTTCCAGGAAATGGGTAGCAATTTTCTCAGCACTTTTTGCCGGCTCATTTGCGCGGCGTTCACCAAGCTCGCGTCACGGTCACGTGAAAATCATGTGAAGGCGAGCTGCCCTCTCATACGAGGTTCGAGACTATACTGTGCCATTACGACCAATCCGGCCGGGGGTGTGACAACGGACAGCCTTGTAACGATCCGGCCACCCGGCCGGAACAGTCGTGACAGCGGACGGTGGACACATTGCGGCCAGCCGGCCAAGCCAGCCGCTGGGGAGGGAAAACTGACGGGGTGACCGGCCAGCCGGCCAAGTCACGGTCTGCATCAGCAAAAGTCAACTCTTGCTTACCTGGGTTATTCCCTTGATTAAGGAAAAATTAAGGAGATCCCCATCATTATTCTTCCTTATTCGCCTTAATTGGCCAAATAAGGAAGCAGACCTCCTTAATCAAGGTAATAAGGGAGCTAACCAAGAGTTGACTTTTCCTGATGTGGGTACCCAATCCGGCCACTACACCCGTGACATAGGACATGCCTAGGATTCCGGCCAGGCCAACCCCGTTCGGACGCGTGACTGGCCGGATTGGTCGTAATAGCACAGTAGTCTGGCAGTCTGGCAGCATGCGCAGAGCCATGGTGAATTTCTTTCGATCTGGGGGTCTCCACTTGCAGCATTGCAGAGTGTGAATGGGGGCGGGGCTGAAGCTAAAGTTAACTACCTATCGCGGTACAATACAAGTGGTGAGTAGCCTCATGGCCGCTCCTTCGGGCGCTACTTTCCGATCGTCTGGGCGCTAGAGGGCGCTAGGCGTTCGTATAATCATAGAACCACCTCAACTCTACCTTAACGTCTCTTCTCCCCACCTTACAGACACCGCTGTTATCAAATTGATCATGGCGATACCTATCCGTGTTACTGTGCTAGGTTAATTAGAAAGTTACCCTCTTGTACAAACTTAAGCTCACGATAACATTGCAATGCACTGGCAGGTGGTCCGCAAAGCGGCAAGAATTCGCTCATCGCTCGCATGGTGAGCAGCTCTACTCGTGCCACACAAGCATTGATATCTAAGCATTTCTTCATTGTTGTGCGTAGAACAAAGAAGTTTACAGGCGAGTTGCCGATCGACGTGTATTCCTGTTCAGTATGGTGGATTGTGGCGAGAGTGTCGAGCTTGCCGCGTCATGCGAAGAGCCACTCTTCGTACTATCAATATTTGATCTCGCGCAAGGTGGCACTGGCCTTTTGAACGCAGTGGCTTTAGCTCGCGCGGTCTTGCAGTTAGCCCATCGTGCTTGGCCGATCTGTCTTGTTGGCACCAAGCTAGATCTCGTTCCACAAGACTATTCCGATTGGGACTTGGAGGTTCGCCAATATGCTGCAGAAAGCCCTTGGAGATACAATATGCCCTTCGTGGCTGTAAGCAGTGTCACTGGTCAAGGTGTTAACAATCTCTGCGAGCTCGTTAGTGCGTAATCCTGCTACCATTTTCGTTTTTTTACTGAAATTTGTTCTGCGTTTTACAGCGAATCATATATACCCTATCGGAGAAAGGATGTCAATTGCGGACATGCTTCATGTTGTGGTAAACTGGTTTCTAGATCACGTAGCAGCTACATTTTCACTCCCGGTACCGGGGAACGAGGAGGTAATGTCTTAGCAGTAAATCACTGTAAACATAATTCTGATCTTACCCTCGGGGTTTACAGACACCTGACACACTTGAGTTAGACGACGCCAAAGTAAATGCTCTCCTGAAAACCCCGGAAGCGGTCGCCTGGGACGATAGGCTGAAAACCTACTCGACCTTTTGGAATGCTAGCTCCGTTCACAAGATCACGCCTTCATTGGTAGTTAAACGATTTACGAGCACGGAGCTGGAGAACATGCTCTACGTGCGCAGACACACAAAAATTCCGGTCCCGCAGCCGCGTTGTCTCAACCTCTCGCGCTGGCTCGCGATGGATCTCGTGGATGGCCAGATGCTGATTGACTGCTGGTATTCCTTGTCTTTCTTCATGCAGTTCCGTGTTGCGTGCACTCTCCGGTCATATATCTCCCAGCTCCGCCAATTGACTCGGGACGTTCCTGGTCCGGTAGACGGCGGGTCATTCAGTGGTGCTCTATTTGATGAAACGGAATACGGACCCTTTCCCTCCTCTACACGCTTTCGACAGCAGTGCGAGATGATTGCCCACATTAGCTGGGCCCGTCGTGTGCGATATGTAAAGTCTGAGCATAGTCCTATTCCTCCCCCTCCGGTATTTGGCGGCGATTGGTCTCTTTCGTTCGTGCACGCCGATTTGGGCCCATCAAATATGATCCTGTCGAAAGAGGGGGTGTTATGGATCATTGATTGGGCGGATGCCGGATTCTTCCCCGGATTCTTCCCTCACTGGCTGGAGGCGGTGGCGATGCAGCGATACGTTGACACTCCTAGAGTCCCGAAGTTATGGAGATGGCTGCAATGGTTCGTCACTGGGTCCTACCCAGCCCAAGAAGAACTGTGGGAATACTTCATGGCTGATGCACACAGATTTTCATCTGATTACTCGTCGAGCAAGCACCCCTTGGCACGCGACTCATCACTCAATGGCTGCAGTTACCCATCTAGATGAGCTTGACTGTTTAGTCACCATGTCTTGAAGAATTCTGAGGCTATTTGCAGACTAGTTAGTCAGATGTAGTCATTATTGACTACATCAATTGACTGTGTTACTCTCCTTACCTGTCCAATAATAACATACCCATTGACTACATTGTCCCATTGACTACATTGTGAAGACTGCAACTCTGACTACATCATTAGGACTACACAGTGGACTAGTTATCCAACAAGAGAATAGAACACTTGACTACATCAATGACTACATCAGCAGACTAACAAGTTAAAGGACTGAATGATCAGTGACTCCATCCATCCACTAATTTACTTGACTACCTTGCCTACTGACTGACTGCTTAGTCATCAACATCTTCAATGCTGAATGAGGGCATGCCTGAGTTGAGTTGTGTATCGATCTGAGTGACACTAAGCACCATGATGTTAGTGTTTGCCAGAGGAATATGCAGATGCTCAGGGATATGTTTCCGAGCATCATGAAGCAGCCGAGCATACATAGCGGCTTGTCTGTTTATACACATTGTAAGAAGCTTGCAATATGTAAATTTAATAAGCTTACCTTGCTGCAAATGCTGCTGCTCCACGACTAACCAAATCATACCCTCCTTTCTCTGACTCGCCTTTCCACCACTTCATAAAGTGAGCAAAAAATCGTTGGGTGCGACACATTTCTGCCTCGACAATACCCACTTCTTCGGTCCAACGCATGGTTCGTGCACTAGCTCTGAACCACTCAATCCGTGTCGCTATGTTGCATATTCACAATGTCAGTAGAGAAGAAAGGATATTCAAAAATAAATGCTCACCTTCATTGGCCCAACTGTTAACATTAGTGCCACGATACGCCCCATCACGCCATATCCAGGGTATCTCCTTCTTCTGTTGTCCTGGCATCTCCTGGTCATGCCACAGCTTCAGCGGTTGACAGTCAGGTGTTGTTAATGGTTGGTAATTGTGGCTGTCAAGTGGCTCTCCAAGAATATTCAGCTTCTCACGAGCACATTCATACTCGACACACAGTTCATCAATCTTGTCTCTGGTTGTCTGTAAAATCTTACCACTCCGGGTCTTCGCTGATTGACTGAAAGTCCCAGCTGTCTTCCTGAACAAGAAGGCTTGTAGGCCAAGTTTGTTTCGAATGTCTCGTAGGGCCTCATTTGCCTGTGCTTGGCGCAATAGACGCTCTGCTGAAGTGAATGTCATGAAAGCGGAGTGATTCTGTACTGCTTCTGGGTAGATGGATGGAATCGGGAGAATCTGATCCTCTGGGTCACAAGGCTCACGACTTGGCCAAGCAACATCTGTGAGCTCTTCCTTTAGCATGGCAATCATCGGTCCGAATACTGCTGTATGGTTCGCAAACCAAGTGTCCATCTTATCAACCAGCTTTTGACGGGCTTCGTCAATGCTGTGTTCTTTTTGTGCTGATGGAGCCTTTCGGTTGTCTTCAACAGCAAGCTTTAGTGCTTTTCTGTGTGAAATGTCAGTGTTGAACAGTAGTCATGTAAGAGTACTGACTGCTGTCGCTCAAGATCTATGGCAATTATGAGCAACGCTCCGAGATTGGCAGCCATACTCCTCGCACCACCGTCTTCAAGTCCATCAGAATCACCGTGTTTGCGCTTCTCACCAGACTGCTTCTCTGCTGCACCCAAAGCTACAAGAACATCCTTGGTTGTTGGTGCTAGAACGCACTGTATTATTACTAGGAATGAGCGACAGAGAACATCCTCACCAGTGTCTTCCTCTGGCTGATATGGGCTTTTCATCGTCTTGCATCTAGGGTGCGGACTTACAACATAATCCTGGAATTCTTTCTCATGCCTTTTCCATTCATCGAGAGGCATATCATTGGAATGCAAAGTGCTCTCGAGTTCTTCCAGTTCTGCAGCATTTTTGTCGCGAAAGTGGAGCGCTTTTTCGAATTTCTTCTTCAGTGAATGTGCTAGAATGTATATTAGCAGTGACCAAGCGATACAACAAGAATGTAATCAAAACTTACCCATGTTGAAGACCTTCTGTATATTGTAGTCTGAATTGTGTTCATTTAGAATATCTTGGCGGTGACCAGGTCCCATTTCACGACAGGATTGGGCAATGGCATTGATAATTGACCAGCGCCTTTCCGGAGCTTCACCATCAGTCATTCCTACCTATGGCATATAATACAGAGTTTCCGGTTACTTATTACTTGCCCTTACAGTGTAAAGAAAAGTCATGTCGCTACCATGGGAAACCACAGTATTTGACTGCAGCACTACCCACCCGGTATCTCAATCTCATTGATGAGATGAGTGCAGTTATGGCTCAGCAGGATGATGTTGACAAGGCCCGGCGGAGAGTTGAGGGCAAGTTGAGTACCATTTTACACAAGTGCGGGGATGGTGCACATTCAAACATTGCTGTTGCTGTGGCCCCCTTGGAGTTTGTTGATGATGATGTGGCTGCAAGCAACACTGATGCGTATATTCCATGTATGTGCTACACGTTTCTCAGTTGTAACACTTGACCAAAACTTCCCTCTATCTCCAGATAGACGTCTCCCCTACCCACCCAGTATCTCAATCTCATTGATGAGATGAGTGCAGTTATGGCTCAGCAGGATGATGTTGACAAGGCCCGGCGGAGAGTTGAGGGCAAGTTGAGTACCATTTTACACAAGTGCGAGGATGGTGCACATTCAAACATTGCTGTTGCTGTGGCCCCCTTGGAGTTTGTTGATGATGATGTGGCTGCAAGCAACACTGATGCGTATATTCCATGTATGTGCTACACGTTTCTCAGTTGTAACACTTGACCAAAACTTCCCTCTATCTCCAGATAGACGTCTCCCTGCCCTCTTCCCGGACCCTCCACCTGTTGCCGGTCCATCAGTCGCACAACGCCAATGCCACAAAGTCACTTCATCTTCACCACTGTCTTTTCACCGATTACTGTCCGGTGCTCAATCTCTCGCCATGCCACCCAAACTGAACCGTTCCTTTGTTTGGAAATCTCGTGTCAATGTCTATGCATACCTAGAAGTAAGTGTTCTCTACTCAAGGTTCCAATCCTTACTGATTCTTCCTTACTCTAGAACAGTGTAAAAGCGTCAGAATACTCATTTGTTGCCCAGCGCTCGATTTCCTGTATGAACATCTTCGAGCCATTCAGCATTCAAGAATCCGATGTCATTGGTTTCTTCACTCTGGCAAATGATGCTTGGATGTACATGATGGCGTCCGAGGTGTCCTGGAGGAAGCTGAGTCTACAGGGTGGTGGTATACTCATTTGGGCAAAGCATGGTGTCACTTCCTTGCGAGATGTTGACAAAGTTATTGGTGAGTGTCCTTGACTTCTCTGTGAAGTGTGAGTTGCAGAAATCTAATTGTATTGACATTAGATGTAGGACACCGCACTCTCGGACTGCGAAGGCCTGAAGCCGGCGAGATGTTTGCTCCGCACCAACCTGGTGAGTGACTTCTTCATTGACTATGTATATTGACTGATGGTTAATCACTGCCTACAGGGGCTACTTCTCTTGACTAGATAGATGACTATGATTCTCAGCTAGCTTAGATGACTATTGGGAGTACTCAGACTTCATGACTGTCAACCTAGTCATTCTAATCTAGTCTGTCTGTCTACTATCATCCAGCCAGTCACTATGTAGTCTATAGCTTCATGTAGTCAATGTATCTAGGCATCTTAAATGAGATTCTCTGTCACACATAATAGTCAATTGATCTAGTCATCTCTTGCTTCAAATTCCTGGTCATCTAGTCAGTCAAGCAGTCAACTCCATGCAGTCAAACATGCTTATACTCAATTTCAATCTAGTCATGCTGCCTTCTCTAGTCAATGTATCTAGTCATTACCTCTCAATACTCAGGCCTAGTTAACTATTCTAGTCACTGCTAATCTAGTCGCACTACTTCTCAATCCAATCCAGTCAATGAGTCTTTAAGACACATTGACTATATACTCAGCATGATCTAGATCACTAACTGAAGTGGCTCCGGAACTTCATCACCTTCGTCGTGGTGATGCCCGCGGGAGATAACGCAGCTCACAGTTCCTGTCAACATGACCAGTATAAGTAGCACCACAATCTCCCCATCCGAATGCCGCATTCCGCTCGCACCCTGAAAGTGAAAATCTTGTTGTGATCCTTGTCAGCCAAAGCATTCCCTCCAGTTTCCCCAATGTCGTTGGTAGGTGCCAGTGAAGCAGAGCTGGTCCAACTAGCTTATGACAAGTTCGTGTTTCACCGGAATTGTTTCATGATGCTTGTGCACTGATGGATCTCCCCTTGTTAGCATAACAAGCAAATACTGCAGTATAGCAGTTGCAGGTGAGTTTTGCTGCTGAAACCTTGACCTAAAGCTGATGGAGCTCCTCACTAGCTTTGCTCTTTTTCGAACATGCAATAACCCTTCCTGATGAAGTCAACTACATATGGAGACACAAGAAAACTGGAGTTGCAGTTTTGTTTATATCCAACTATTTCCTTGGCGTGGTATTGGCCTTTAGCACGGTAGTGGGGATACCTCCATGGAGTACAAATCCAGTAAGTTGCCATGGTTGTATCTGATGCTTCTCACATTGTGACTGATGCTTGTTGGATCTCTGTCTACTCAGAGGTCTTGTTCTTCTTTAATAGAAAGCAGAGACCAACTCATTATGTCCTAGTTGTGATGCCACACTGCTGTTATTGGCAGCTTGTGAAGAATTTCTTTTCATTGAATGGGTCAGTAAGTCACTGTGCATCTCAATGGTAATTCAATGTTTATAGTTATCACCACTCTTCAGTGTTCTCGGCTTTTTGGGTGTATGCAGTAGGGGGTCAGGCATGGCTCTCTGCTGCAGTAGTATTCATATTGAGCTTGGTGCCCTTCGCAACTAATCTGGTACTGTCAATCTCACCGGAGCAGAGGTAGAATGCACTAATGAGCAACATTTTAGTATAACTATGCCACAGCCTCATATTATGTCCAGCTCATTCCTGACTTTGGGCCCATCTGCATGAAAAGTGAAAATACAGTGCAACCTAAGATGCAAGTATTTTCCTTTCTCATTGAGTCTTCTGCTGACAGGCAGACAGATGTATGCAATCTTGCTTGCCTTCTGTGATAAACTTCCCGTGTACCATACTTAATATATTTTTAACAGTTGAAATTGCAACACGAGTCTCTGTCATTGCAGCTGACATCATTGTCCTTGTGGTAACCTGGATGAGGACATACAGTATCAAGAGATATGCAAACTTGGCTCACATGGAGGCTCCCCTGGCAACACTCTTACTGCGAGATGGTTAGTGCATATACTGTTCACTGAACTGTTCCTCAGTTTTAAGCTTGCCCCTCTGTTAATTTCTCAGGCACTTTTCACTTTACGTGAGTATGGAGTGTGCCAGCGGTTCAAGCTGATAATGCATTATAGGTTACTTCTCCTGCTGAACCTTGCACAAATGCTGTCAAACTACTATGATGTGCATTCTGCTACTGTTACTTTCCACCTGCTTACCTCTGACATGCATTCTCATCAGCTCTACTATGCATTTACAGACTACTTTGTCAATACGTTCGCTTGTCCCTTCACATTGATCAGAACTCACCCTCACTCATATAACCTTGCAGATTCATGTGCATTATTATATCTCATTTTCTCTTGAACTTGCGTGGGACAAACAACATGCAAAACCATGTTACTTCTGACCTCTCTTTCTTGCACACACCTGCGCAGAGCTTGCAATTTGCCTCGAGGATTGTTGAGAACATGGGTGCATCACTTAGTCTTGGATCTCCCTTGGAAGTTGATGACCTGTATGGGTTGGACATTCCTGAAGATGACCTTGATGTCTCAGATGGTGGAGGGGGTAGTGGTGGTGAGGCTACTACAGGAGAAATCAAGCTTGTTGAGGTTTAGGGAGTGTCTCTAGAGCCTTACGAGATGGAAATAATCCCTGTTGCATGAGGGATGGAGGATGTCATTCCTGTATAAGTGAGTGTTAATCATTTCTTATTGTTGTATCTGTTACTGAGGTTGCCATTGATATCTAATGCAGACATTCTCATTGCGGATCGCTATTCTCGACATTCTTGACATGTGGCTAACACCTGCAGCAAATTCAAATTCTTGTGATTCTTGAATCAATTGTTGACATGTATTTATGAACAATCCTCGTCTGCACCACAAGGCCAGTTGTGGAAAGCCATCCTGAAAGACGGCCGCGAGACATGGATCACCACATGTTGCATTGACAGTTTATTTTGATTGGTTCCGACAACTTAGATACTAAAGCTATTCCTTCTGCATATTTGATGTCAACCTTCCCAGATGACTTTTGTCGAGCACGGCATTTACATTATTGGTAGTAAGTGCCCTGCGATCGTAAGCTCCAGCATGTGCACTGACCACAATGGATGCATCCATTATTCGTCTATGCAGGTGCTTTGATGGTCACAGAAGGTCTGCGACATGCTGGTCTGCATCATTCCCAAGGCCCAGAGGAGACTTTGTCGACATAACCCTTGCTCTTCGGCACACACTTCCAAATGTTGTATGTGTCAGGCCCATACTCAGCTCCATGGGTAGTATCCGTGAAAGTCCTCAGCGAGCATGAAGGCACAAGACCCGCATAGCTGGCCGGTGGTCACACTCTTGATGCTCAGCAGACACTGCGATATACTGGCAGGTCTGTAATATGACCGGTGGAATGGACACCGATCAAAGGGTGTACTTACCGCTTTTTTGCACACAGTTCTCCTAGTACTGCGACGGAGCAGGGTATCGAGTATTCTGATCTCCGGAGATGCTGCATGTTTGTACCAAAATTGATGTCTCAGTTCGTATGTGATCCAAATGCTGAGAGTGAGGAGTGCATACTTGCTGTACCGCGTCGTGGAGCGTGACACTTTCCTCATGCCTCACATCATCGATCTGCGGATCCCGACAGTGAGAAACGTTAGGGAGGAAAGGGGATCTTGGCGTATACTCTGCGTTAATGAGGCATTGCTTTCTGATGCGATTGGGTGGGCAATATGATGCTCACCAATTATTTTGGGTGACCACATAATATTGCGCCAAGCACATGACACAACACCTTGAAGGAGAAGGGATTCGGCAGGACGGGTCAGATGATGACGACAACGACAGCGTTGCGAGAGCTTAGTCGACACACTTTAGGATATCTTTGTACCTTTCTGCTCCAAATGAATAATGTGCTGGCCGCGAGACGAAATAGTCCTGAGCGACCCGAGCTCGAATCAATGTCGGCGTGAGTAAAGAATACTATTCTCTAACGAACGGCAGGAAAGCAACCACATCGTCTAGTTTTCTCCGTGGTTCCTGATTTGGCTAGAGGATGCTGCAAGTATCCGAGATAGTCACGCGAAGGCAGAAGAGAAGATCACGAGAGGAATTAATACCGCTGGACGTACCGGATGTCCAGCGAGTAACGAAACTCGACTTTAGCATGGTGCACAGGGGTTATGAGCTTTCAAGCTTATCACACAGGGGACGAAGGGAGTTTGGAGATTTTTGCAAGTATCACTCGATTACTTTGTAGCTTTCAAACAGGGTGTGGTATCTATGTGGACGAGCATGAGGTCAGATAGGTGATTAACGAGAGATCATGAATTATCACCATAGAGGAACGCACCACTTTGTCCATGTCTGAGCCCGAGACGAATCGGTGGCCAAGCTGGAACCAGGCTTATGGGTGATGTAGTCCAGTCTCCCAGCGGAAGTTCCTACTAGCGGCTTGTGCGCTATCGATGGACCACGGCACTCATGCACCAACTCAGCTCAGTCTACGGGAAACCACCGCTTGTGCAGCAACATCGGCGGAGGCGCAAGTTGAGAGCGCATGATTTTTTTTGTTTGCGGCATGCATCTTGAGCGTACTCTAAAGGAAGGGGCATCCCCCATCCTCTCACCATACGCAAACTCCGTGGGTCAATAGGATATGAGAGAAGGAAGGAAGTGTGTACTCACTCAGAAGAAAGGAGCCGCCATTGTGATTCTCCGTGAAGCCAACGAGATCTGGAGCTGTGACTGGGATGAGCTCACCGCCGCGCGCACGATAATGTTAAATCAACATTTAACAAGAGAAAAGAGATTTACCATGATAATCTCCTCCAGCGCGTCGTCGTGCTGACGTCCCGCGATGGCTTCTTTTAGCGAGTGCTGGGGGCGTTACTACGATCGTCGATGACTGTGCGTTGAGCACAATGAAGTGCGTTCTCCTCAGCTGTGCAGTTTTTTCACGTTGGTGCAAGGACTGAAATTACGGGGGTAAATATGCTGCCACAGACGAGGACCAATGAAGGGACTACTAAGAATTCTTTCACCGCACCTTTCACGCTGGAATTCTCGATCTTAAGATACGACGCAAGGGCCAACATAGAGTGCTTCTGGAAACCAAAGATATCGAAAAAAGGGTTGCCCGATGAGAAGAGGTACATGAAACGCAGTCAGCGTGGAGATGGTTCAGATTTTCAGGAGACGAAGTATATGTCAGCGCACAGGTAGCCCTTCGTGTCCAG